CGAAAACTACGTCAATTTAATCTTGACTTTATCAACATGTTATAAAGTCGATTTTTGATCATCAAATTTAAAATCGCGATGGCAGTGTTATAATTTGGATCGTGAGAAATATATGGAGTTTCAGTTGAACGAACTCTATGCCGTTGTGATAGAGTTTAGTTTTGTATAATAGCGGTAGTAATACCTGTTTGTTGACCGACAATGACCTCTTAAAAGAGAGGGAAAATCACCTTAACGACAGTTATGTTGATTTATTTTGAACTTTGTGATATTGAAAAAGGGTTTATTTTCTATTGCTTGGCCTTTATCAATAGTTGATATATGATGTAATATCTATAGAAAACAAAGGTTGGATAAAAAACATTTTTATTCTATGAAACAAATGCACGTGTGGTCTCGCTGTGCGTGGGGTATGGTCTTTTAGGTATGTAGTGAAAGATATAACCAAAGGGAGTGTAAAGCCAAAAGGTTACTATTCTATGGCACACCTATACAGATTTTGATACGTTAAGTACCGAAGCCAGTAAAGTGGTTTAAGCTACATAATACTAAATGGAATAAATGCGAATAACACTGAGTAAACGATGCCTGTAAAAGCGACATAATAATATTTTCCTTCCTAGGCGGGATTCAAACCCACGATGAACAAGAAACGTGTCGTCCTAGAGGATTAACTACATTGACATTAAGAAAGGAACTTCTAAACAAAATTACCTTTTAAATAAAACTAAAGCCGCTTTTACTCTGAGACTTTATTATTTTATTGCTCCGTAAAGCATTAAAAAGTTAAATTTGCTGCAGAACAACACTGATTGCTAAACACAATACACGGCTTTTACTATGACTATTGTTTAACTGCACATACAAAGATGATCGCCATTTCTTTTAAAACAAGCGTTATAAATAGGTGGCTGTGTATATCCCTTCTGGTACCATGCATTTGATATCATCAGTTTGATGCTCGGTTACAAATATGTATGTAATTGTTTTTTGTCGTGGATGTTACAAAACCATCATGTCGTATATTTAAATATCGCGGTGGCATTTTGAGGTTAATAAAAACATTAGATAATATAGGCTAGAATGTACTTTTACCCATGTTTTACCCCCAAAATGGCCCAATGTATTATAACCGGCTAGGAACAATAAAATAAATAGTTATATAATAAAATGCACTACGTGTACCGCCGCGAGGAATTTTTATATAGTCACGTCCATTCTAATTAAAATCACATATTAGAGGTCATATAATGACACTTTTCAATGGTGCCTACCTGCCGGTATTAAAAAAACAGTAACCAAAACGTTCCCAGAAACTGGACGAAGGTATGCGCATGCGCTATTATGTGGAACCTGTTTGTTACAAAAAAAAAAAAAAAAAACCCGCTCAGCTGATTCGGTTGTACTTGAGGCACCCCTGTACTATGTTATGTTTTCTGTTTATCGCTTTTCGGTGTTTCGCGATAAGACAGCTTAAACATCTCTGTCATCATAAATACCTACATCCCTTTTGATAAGCCGAGAAGAACTTTTGATTATTTAAAAATGTTATTAGGTTATAAAATGGAGAACTATATATGAAGCGATCTTTGTTTTTCACGGCCGATATTCGTCTTTTTATCTCTACTAGCCTGGTAACATGCTGAAACAAAAAATAACTATTTAATCTATCCAGTATTATTTTAGGTAATATTATGCTTACTTATTTGACTTAGCCTGTTTGCGATACGAAATCATAGTACAAGGCCCGGTTGAATCTGTGACGTAGGCACAGCTGATTGCCGCCAAAAGTAAGCGTCATGGCGTATGTGTCCGCCCAGGTCCCGCCATTTTGTAAACAAAGCATTGTTCGGAGTGTCGTGACAGAAAATTATACAATAATTTAAAATAAAACTAAATGTAAGTAGGATTTCTCCTTTATTCTATTACATGTAACATGTAAGTACACATCCCTGGAAAATTTCTGAGTTATTCATTCTTATCAAACATAATATTAGTGCATTGCCTATAGAAAACTACCGAGCTAGCAAGTCGAATATGTTGTGAATTGAACCCTAAAATTCAAGCCCGACAACATTACCTGACAACGTGTCACCGTTTAAAACAGAGGCGTCAGCTGATCCCCGCCTCTTTAGGCACAGGTTGTTGCTAAGTGACTACATTTAAATCGGAAACTATTATCATACCTATCGATTATAAGAGACATCGACAATATGTCGAACAATGTCAGCGACGTTTTATAAACACGCCTAAAGTTAAATGTATGAATATTATTTATGCAACTTCGGTGTTCTGTCCGACCGAACAATTTATGTTTTGACAATACAAACGCGTTTTACAGTAAGCCACAAGGCAACTCGATAGTAATAAACTTAGAATCGAATTGAAGACAAAAGACCGAAAATCCGTCTCATATGGTCTAAGGGATAATGGAGCTACGCCCTCTTACCAAAAACCAATTGGCCACTTCTAAAATACCCAATCCCTGTTCGACAAAAACTAGTCGTACCAATAATATTTCAAACTATTGTGTTGCCGTCTGCAATTAAAATTCCGTATGGTATGCGGATTAATACGCCCTTGTGACGTCACGGACCGCTGTCAGATATGCGTAACGTCAAATTAATCAAAAACCCAGGCTCGGGCCGTTCAGAGAAATGGTTCGCAGGTTCACTTTCGCAAAAAAAATATTTAAAAGTTAACATTAAAAATAACATAAGTAAAAAATAACATTGGTGCTTGAAAGAAACTCCAGAGGTTTTAAGTTGCTTGCACAATTGACAAATATGTTTAAATGGTAAAATTTTGGGAGAAAAGACAAAAATGCTGGTAAAAAGACGGCCATTTAGCAATGGCCGTTATATTATATCGAGCGCAAAATAATCGACGCGGCACTGATTCGTATTCACAATACGACGCAACGAAATTACGAATTGCGTAACGAAGACTGGTTTTCATATAATTATTATTACTGCCTTTGGTCCGCTGCTTGACTCGTAGTCTAATTAAATCCTGCACGGAATAAGACAACGGCGCAGAAGCGGCTGAAAAAGTTTTAGCTCTAGCTCTTCGGGAGCCCCTTTACTACTATAGCCAGAAATCTAAATTAGAAAAATATTAAGACCCGGCGGGAATCAAACCAGCATTGGCTATTAGCCATAGGGACATAGCTCCCAATTGACCGACGAGTGTTTCTATTTACAGCCTAGGTCTTTCACCTTAGTCGAGACCTCTCGAAGTTATGTGAAACTTAAACTTAGATATTGACTCATTACCGAGCCGTAACTAACAGTATCAATACACGGCCTCTTAGAACTAATAAGGCCGCTTACACACGAGCAGTTGAACGGCGAAACGGCAAAATATATATCCATTCGTTTAAATTTAAATTGTTTTTTTTTGTATATTTGAATATATTCACATTTAAATAAACTAACGGTTTAAAACGTATTTTAAGTGTTTTATTTAAATTAGCTGTGTAATTAAAGATGGCTTACGTGGTGATATTTATTTTAAATCGGACTTTTCACTACTTGTTTATTAATAACACCAATTGAATCGGTTACAAAGATGTGTCTGCCAGGGCTCAAGCGCTGAAAACGCTAGTGTATACGATGCCTATCAAATAGTAAACAGCGTAAATCACTTAGCAAAACATCCGTTCGGACTTGAAACTTATTTGAGCTTACTTGAGATTTGCAACGTGGAAACTCTATGTAGTTTTAGTTGACTTTCTCGAAGAATGTTAAGAACATAATGACATTGTTATCATAACATTGAAGGTGGCTTCATGTACCCAATGTGTCTTTTCACTTACAATGTTTTCAGTGGAACTTGTACAGGAACTGTCACTGCTGCCAGTCTATAAGAAATCGTTATATTCGTTTCACTTGCAATAAGGTACAGTGCTGTTTTAGATTCCTAAATAAATAGATGATAGTAAAATTGATAAAATTAATAAAATAATAAAAACTTTAAAGAAGCTTTGACGTCGATCTGTGGTTTTAACGTTTGTTTCGTGTCTCTTTAGTAAATGCGCTGTTAATAGTTACGAGTAACAGCTATTGTTGTACGAACGTTGAGCATTCGGTTCTCGAAGCCCACAACTGCTGTGGAGTTTCATTACTTTAGGCTTTACTTTTTTTGCAACGAGTGATGAAAATTGCACTTTTATTTTCACAAAACCCGTTAAGCTCGCCGAGCAGCCATTATTGTCTGACGAAAAATTGGCGCCAAATCTAACGTCATCTACAATATCACAATCGGATACTTGTGCATTCCGCGAACGCAAATACCGCATTGAGTACCTTTAAGTAGGCTTTTTGTGCCATTTTCGGGAATACACGAATCCTTTTGTACTTTTGAAAAGAACGGAAGTTTAGCCGGTTCGAGTTTGTAAGGTTTCGAGAGATATAAAAACTACTCAGAACCGAAAGAATGTAGGTATTGACAAAACGAACGAAGTGGGTTCCTGTTATTTGAAAGGTAACGAATCAAAAATATTGTAGAAGTAGAATTATTAGTAGGCTCGCAACGCATAATATTCGGTTACTATTCGATATTCCGCCTATTGGGCGTCTCTTATACTATTCGGCCGAATACCGAATACATACAAGTTGATATATATAATAGGAATTTAAACTATCATCTTATTCATTATTCAGAAAAGAATATTTTAATTTCTTTTCTAATGATTAAAGTAAAAGTTCTATGTTAGTAATCATAATCGAAATATATGAGAGGAAGTTTGCAAAATGACTCATTTTCTGCATTTTTAGCTTACTTCTGTTTTTCTAGTAGACTATTGCACTTTACAGGAAAGGTGAAGAAAAGGATCTGAATAAAGTCTAAAATCTAAGTTGCGAACATAATTATTATGGATTTTTGATTTGTTTAATTCTTTATTATAATATTTTGTGCTTTCTACCACAATACTTAATAACTAACTGTATATACATAATTTATTTTTAGATCCGCCCGTAACTATGGCATTATATAATTTATTTGGAGTAGATAGCTAAGGTAATACCGCTGGAGGTGTAATCCATATTTAATAATTTCTTCAACGTGCCGGCAAAATCATTGGTATAGCCAAAAGCCTTGTACACATTCGCTTTAATTACTGTCTCTTCATTACTATAACTTGGAAAAGACCCAATTCTGTTTAATCTTCTCTTATCTTTGTAAAGAGAGAGATCGTTCTCTCTCCCGTGAATTAACGCATCCTGAATATTCATTTTTAATTCTGCTTCATAATTACTGTAATCGGAATCTCTTCGTAATTCGTTTATTTTTTTTAAAGCTGTCTTTTCTTTTGTATTAATTTTAAATGCAGAATTTACCGATTCTTTGACACGTTTTCTCTTTTTACTGTATTTCGTGTCATTCTTATTTAAACCACCCTTAAAAGCATACGGGTGACTCTCTATTGTAGCATCAATAAAATCTTGTCCCGATTTATCAATGCTGGCGTATTCATAACTACACGAATGACTTGTATCTTCCCCAGAATTCTTTGTATTAACCTTATAGCTAACCCTGATCTTTGAATAACTACGTTCAGTAGTTTCTTTGACATTACTGCCATAGCTTTCCACAGTTTTATCGTCTATATTACTTAAATTATAAAATATATCATTTTGTTTGTTATCTGTGTCAGTTTCTTGCTGCCTATTATCTATATCGTCATTTTTATCACCGTCACTGTCAGTGTCACTCTTATATTTAGATTTTCTGAACCATTTCGTCTTCGTAGTAGTCGACGGTGTTGTGGTCTTCATTTTATATAGATCTTTCTTCACGTACTTCCTCAAATAATATTTGCTCTTGTGCAACGGCGGCCGCACCGTCGTTGTAGTTGTCGTTGTCGTTTTGCCGCGCTTCTTTCCCGCTATTTTCTCTTTTTCTTTTATTTCCTGCGTTAAGAATAACTTTTTAATCGCAGTCTTGCGGAATGCTTTTACATTCGATGCAAAAGTCAGGAGTTCAATGCCTAGCTTTCTCATAAAATATTTGGTACAAACAGTTTTTGAAGAACCAAAAGGATTTATGTTAACTTTGGAATAATTTTTGGACCAATTCTATTTAATTCGTTTCATTTAAATTGTTACTTATTTGCATATAGACATACTTATGTCACTTATCTAACAATGAATTAGTAATAGCTCGAATTCCAACAGAGGGATTTACCTTCCACTTCTTCTTATATGCTTTCATCTGCCTCTTCAACTTCTTCATAATTGTTTTGTTGCGTAGATAGTCCAGATCAACATCTGTCGTCGACACTGTTGTCGTCGGACTTGTCCAAAAGTCGAATAGCCGAACTGGGTCTTTGTAAAAGCGTATCGGTTTAAATTGATATTTCAACCCTGCATTGTTTTTACTTGTCAAAATTGAGGTCTTTTGTTTTTCTGACTTTATCCTTGTCTTTCTTTCTTTATGTTTCATATTTTTTCTATTGTATTTTGGTTTCCTTAAAGCTGAAATACAAGAAAGAAAGGAACTACACAAGTTTAATAGAAAAGTTGTAAAAAAAACGTTCGAGGTCCCGATCAAAATGTATCTCCATCGGCAAATTCCTTATGCGCGAGCGAGTAATAGATATGCAAAAACCCCTTAAGCCTATAATCTTACTAGGATACACTAACTTCCACGGTACCGTCTAGCCCCGGCTATTTTCCGTGCTACCAAATTCTCAATCTCCGCCATCAATACTTTCTCCTTCGTGGTGCCTCTTATCCTATGATAAGGAAGGAAAAACGCGACCAACAGCAAATGTTTGGAAATGTCCTTATCCGACTGAGAAACATTCGGGAATGCCTCTATATCGGATATACAAGACAGGATGCTCGTGGTATCTTCGACCGTATATTCGTTGTCGATGAGATCGAAAATTGCGTTGGTATCCGGATTGTAGTACTCCCTTCTATTTAGTAATGTGCCATAGAAGTAGGTCACTTGGGCTGCAATGAAAAATGCCCATATTACTGATAGATTTCGCTCTTACGATACGATTGATTTTACCATTCGAGAGAGCATTAGTAAAAACCTACATTTTAATACATCAGCATACAACAAAGACCACATTTCAGACAAGTCTGTCAGAGCACTAGTGGTGACCGGGCCGAACATACTTAATTGTCCTAAGTTCAGTGCACTGAAACGAAAAATGAAAGTCAATATCTCTACCAATATTGTGTGAATAAAATTACCGTTCGTTCCTCCCAAGTTTATTTTTGTGTGTTACCACAATTTGGGTCTCATCTTAAATAATAATCCACCATGATAAATGCAGCCACAAGCGCCTGAAGTAGATCTGTATTCATAAAGTTGAAGAGTTTGTTTGTTTATCTGAATGCGCTAATCTCGGGAACTACCGGTTCGAATTGAAAAATTTGTGTTGATTAGAACATTTATCGAGGAAGGCTATAGGCTATAGAACATCGTTTTGTGACTAATGGAAGCGAAGATACAGCGAGAAATATGATAAAAATTTGGAAAGTTATTCATTGTATAAAGTTATAATGGTGAAGGGGTTTGTAAAACAATTTCTATGCCCAAAATAACGATACTCGAGGACGAAGTCACTGACACGCCTAGTACACAGATATTTTTCTTATTAATCGAACTCCCAACCTCAAGAATGAAAATTTTTGATAGATCAAGTTCCTTTTGTTTGTTGTTCATTTAAGATACACGAGGAATAAAATGTAACGAATTATCTACATACTTCAAAACTTCGTGAAACAATGCCCGTTTTAAAGCGTCCAAGTCTGAATCTTCCTTCGACGCAGTAACTCTCATTAATGTTGCCAGTAGAGCAGTGAAATAACCAATTTTGTTATTCTCCATTGCCTTTTGCACTTCGAGCGTTAAGGGGTTCAGCGTCGGTGCAGCGGAGGTGTGAGAGGCTAAATTATTAAATTAATTTTAACATTATTAAACCATTTTATTTCGTGTATAGCCCTCGTGTATCTACATTGTTTTTTTTATATGGAGATGGGTTGGAAAATATGACCTAAAACATATTTTAAAGCATATCATCGGGCTTTTTACAGGAAGATTGTTTGACCTCAATTTGTCTCAATTAAAAGGAGTCCAAGCCATTGAATCGCTATTGTTAGTTATGTGTAAAGGAATTCCATTAGATCTTACGCGCATCAGTATATTTAGCCTCCTTGGTTATTAAAATCGTAGCGTCGGTAGGTGTCAAATCTTCTAAATTATCTGTTATCGAATAATTTGTTGTCACATCAATTTCTGTCGTTTCGATACGGCTTACTATTGCCTCTTTTACATCAACTGTGGTTGCATTATCAACAACTGTTACAATTTCATTACTAACTGTAAACAAATACAATATAGATGATTCTGTCCCTAAAAATGTTCTTCAAAATTACGTAATTAGGTTGCGGTACTCCTTCGCTGTCTGGAAAACAGCAATCTGATCGCCCATTCACCTGAGAAGATCAGGAAGGTCAAAGGAACGTACTTTTGCATTTGAATATTAAAAATTGGTATTACCTTTCGTTGTTAACTGAATTGTTTCATCGTTCATTGGTTTTGTGGCGTTTGTTATGTCACTTAGTGTTATTTCTGAATGTGTTACTTCAGATACGTTTAACGAATTTTCGGATTCGGTTGCAATATTTATTGTAGTGGCATTATCTACTGTAGTGTTTTCATTATGGACGGTAGGACTCGTGTCGTCAAAGTATAAAAGCGGTGTGGTTTCTTCCCAATCATCGAAATTGTAGTCGTGGAAATTATTTCTTTTTACACGTGTGAAACCAATTGCTGCATCTACGAATATATTCTTTAGTACGAGAGTAGAAGTTTAATTATTCTTAGGAAATTTTAATAATCTCTGCTTGTTCAAAGCAGCTATTTATTTTATTTAAAAATAAGACGATGCATTAGAGAGTACTGCTTTCGTTCCTAGTAAATTCTGAGATTTTTCGATACTTCGACGTCTCTCGTAAATATATTATGTTTGACCAAATTCAGTAATTGACCACCTTATTTTGCTTTTGACTGCTAACTGGCTATTTTGAATGGAAATCAATCAAAATCGATTAGTAATTATTCTTCACATTGTTAAATTTGAATTACACGTAAATACACACACTGTCCTATGCCGACACTTTAGATTTCGTACTTCTAGTATATATTGTAAATAATTACCTGACACAGAAAACATATTATCCACAAGGACATAGTACAAGCATACATATATTAACATTTAAGCCGATAAAATAAAAAGAACCACTGTTTTATGGATATCGTAAATAATACATATAGAAATTTCTTTGCTCATAAAATACTATTGTTGTTATAACGTTTTATTAGAAAAGGACGTATAAACAATTTGAGAAATATTGTAAAATATCCAATAAGATGTGAAATATGAAAATTTCTTCTTTATAGACGTAAATGGAGCATAGTGAATTAAAGACGTATTCAGAAACATAATATACGAATCGATGTCAAATTCGTTTTCATTATATTGCATTAATCCTTAGAAATCTATTTCAGTTCGTCGTTTTGTCCATTCCAACTTTAATCTATGTCTATGTATACTAATATATTAAACTGAAGAGTTTGTTTGTTTGTTCGTTTGAACGCGCTAATCTCAGAAACTACTGGTTCGAATTGAACAATTATTTTTGTGTTGGTTAGAGATACAGAATATGATTAATAGGAGCGAAGAAACAGCGGGAAAGGTGGGTAAAACGGGGAAAATTACTAATTATAGAGGGTTTCCAATCCGTACGCTGCGAAAACGCTTCAAGATACCCAAAAAATGTTTATGAAAGAATTATTCCTATTTAAAGAATCTATAAAAATGTCCACAACTCTATATGTATATCTTTTAGGGTCACTTGTGAGAACGACGGCACGCGACCGAAGTCGTGAGTAACAGCTTAAATTCATAAAAAAAGGAGGAGGTTTGTCCAAATTAAATATACGCAGACGAAGTCGCAGACGCAGTTAGTTTTTCATATACTGTCTATAGTTTACGCGAGTAGACACATTTGAAACGTCGGGCCGAAGTTAAAAATCATTTTCAAATAAATTTAACTAATATATCGCGTTTTAAGCCGTTAAAGTGTTTTATTTAAATAGTTTTTCATATGTTGGAACATAAGCCCTGGTTATTTCCTAAGGTTGTGTCGTATTGTAGACTGACCTTAAGTCGATATTTTGAAGAAGTAAAACAATGTACAAGATTTTTACATATGCCATTTATTTTGCCATGCCATTTAACAATGACATTGTAGCTATATATTTCAAATGAATAATAATATAATAATCTTTTCTAGTCGATATGCTTTAAGTCAGGCTAACTATTTTGCCTTATAATATTATTCATACGTTACTTTTCAATTTGGCAGCAAAATCATTTGTATAACCAAAAGCCTTGTACACATTCGCTTTAATTACTGTCTCTTCATTGCTATAACTTTGAAAAGACCCAATTGTGTTAAATCTTCTCTTATCTTTGTAAAGAGAGAGATCGTGCTCTCTTCCGTGAATTAACGCATCCTGAATATTTGCTTTTAACTCTGCTTCGTCATTACTGTCATCGGAAGCTGAATTTTCATGAAGTCCTACTTTACCTGTTATGGGTGGTTTCTTTTGAAATCGCGCATACCTTGCCGAATGGTGTTTATGATTAAGAATAATATTATATATTTTAGTCTCGCCTTGCATTTTGTTCCTCGCAGATAGTGTTGTATCTTTTTTAAAATTGGTTTTAAAATAATTCCTGTTAACATACTCTTTTGCATTTTGTCTAAAGGATGCTTTAATTACATCGTTTGATATAAGACTACCTCTTCCTGTGTCATATTCAAGACTTATATCACTGACATCGCGTCGATATTTAGACGTTTTATAAAATTTCTTTATTCTGGACGTAGAGGTCCAAAAATTTCTTTTGTACGTGTTTTTATTTTTTCTCAATGTTCGTCTGTTTGTAGGCGGTCTATTCGATCGTATTATAGTTATATGTCCATTATGGGGTCGCGACGAATACTTATATGTTATCGGTTTCTTTATGGCTGAAATCAAAAAATGGGTAAACGTTATAGTTAAGTTGCAGTAATAGGATAGGATAAATATTCGTTGCTGAAATATTAAAATAATTATCTTCTGTATTCCAAGATGCCTGAAATACCTCTACTAAGTTTTATCAAAATCATCCTAGCAATTGGGCATCATGTGTGTGGCAAACTTTTACTTTCATATTATAAGTAAAAGTTAGCTACACACACGTTGAAATCATATTGAGTAGGCAAAGACAGCATATACTATTAATACTATTATAAGTATTACTGGGGATACCGTATAGATTTTCAATCATACACATCCTGACCAAGTCCCGGGCTTAAAGTATAAGAGTGGTGGTTCGACTCACTTCCTAGCCTCTTATGTCGTCTGCCTGACCGTCTTAACCAATTCGCGATAAAATTTTCCATCTCCATCATGAACAGCTTCTCCCTCGTAGTTCCTCTCATGCGATTGAAAGGCACCAATATAGCTACGAGAAGGTACTTTTTAACAATATCTATCGCTGACCGCGTCGTGTTAGGGTACGCGTCCACTTCTGCTATGCTATCTGCGACCCGTTTGGCATCTTCAATCGTATACACATTGTCTGCGATGTCGAACATTGCGTTCGCTTCTGGTCTAAACTGCATCTTCCTGTCCAGCATTATGGGGTAATATTGCGCAGCCAAGTCTGCAAATTGATTGAAAATTTTCAAATAGTATAATGTAAATTAAAAAAGTCTTCGAAGGTGAAGCAATTGCATACTACACTAATCTATATGGTAGCACGCTGATAATACTGACGGCCTGAGAATGCTTTGCAGTAGAGTAGCCGTGATAATGGTGACTCTCCGTCGGGGTTTATATTTCCATTTTCACTACTCAGTTTAGTATTCTTGAGAGTAATGGGATATGTGCAAACAACCGACTTAAATTTATCTGATCATAGTAACTATAAGCTTTTCATCCTGCGATTGTACCTTTTAATATTTCTGTGTCAATAGTGTTCCCCCTTGCAGTCAGGTCGACCACTAAACCTGCGCCTATCGCTCCGAACATTTCCAATCTACCCTCTCGCTGAGCTCTGAAATTAATTAATATGTAAGGTGTTATCAAGTGACCCAACGCTTGAACGACAATCTCCTCCTTCAAAATAATATTACACTCACTCCATCACTATTTCATAGAAACTACTCTTCAAGTCGTCGAAGACGGAAATGTCTTTTAACGCGAGAACTCTTAAAAAGGTGCACATCGAAGCAGTGAAAAACCCGACTCTATGCAGTTCCACTTGCTTTTCCATCTCCAGTAGAAAAGGACTGATGGTGGAGCTGTCTGTTCTAGCTGAAACACTTGTTATTACTTGTTGCCTAGCATTGCGTTAAGCGTTCAAATTGGTTCAATTCGGGCTTGAATCCCGGTGAATTTATAAAATAGTAACACTAAAATGTTATCTTACACCCGTTAGCGACCGGTCCCTCTGTCACTAAGGGACTGGTTGTGCTTGTTGTAACATAGTATTCCAAAATGTCCTCAGTCACTGTCGAACTTGTCGATGGAACGTCAACGATAGGCTCAGATGTCTCGATGATTTCATAACTTGCTGTTGTTGCGTTACTTTGTGTTGTTGTCATATTATTAGTTGTTGCTTCGATAGATCGCGTATCTATGAAAGCTGTCAGTAACAAAACAAATTAATGTCCTGGTTAGTAATGCTATGACTCTTCTTGTACTGTACAGGCTGTTCGCCTATGGGATAAGCTGCCACCCGCGATTAGGCTCTCACAAAGTCTTAACTCTTTCAAGGCAAAAGTCAAACATTTTCTTGAAAGTATTGTTCAGTCTTGATATTATTGGCAAAGTCGCATCTTTGTAATATTAAAATGTAATCTTAAGTTTTAACTGTTTAGTTTGTTAACGTTTTTTGTTGTGTTGTTATTTAATATTTTTGTAATAAATAATTTATTGAATTTTCTCTCTCATTCTCGTTGGCTTTTACTCATATCATTCCTTTTCGTTATACAAAGGTTGCCTGGAAGAAATCGCCATAGGCAATAAGGCCGCTTTGGCACTAACTCTTTTATGTAAATAATTACTATAGTATTATTATATTTGTATTTTAAGTGTTTCTGTTTTAAAGTGTTTTATTATTATTATTAATAGAAAAAATTTAATTCTTCGTTTGTTAATGTTTTTCGCACTCGAAAACACCTGAATGAACTTAAAATTTCGGCTTCAGTCCGATTTTAATACATACGATTCGTTAGAGATGTGGTGTCAGGTTCGGTTACAAGCTGACTCGTTACTTCAGTATCGTTATTGAATACTTTCGTGCTTATGGTTGTGTCAGTAGTACTATTAATCGAAGGTACAACACTTTCCATTGGACCACTTAATGTGGTCGTCGTGGGAATAGCGTACATCGATTCTGATTCGGCTGTTGTTGTTGTATATTCTGTGCCATTCGATTCGTTCGTTGTATAATTTGTTGTGTTGTCGTCGAAATATAGCAATGGTGTCGTTTCTTCCCAATCGTCAAAGCTGTAGTCGTGGAAATTGTTCCTTCTTAGACGTCTAATTCTTATTTTCAGGTCATTAGCACGAGCTGAAATAATAAAATACCATTTATTGAAGCGTGTAAGAAATAAAGGTCGTAGGAAGATGTCATTTCATTCTAAACGTTTTAAACGGTTTGGATCATATTTAATTCTGACTAATTAATTAGCACTGCTCAGTTGATTTCAGATAAAAGTTCCTTAGTTTAAATATACTTCTAACGGCAGTTGTAACTACGCCTAAGGCGTTTGTGAATGGGTTTAAATCTCGAGGAATGTGATAAATTATTTTTGTTCGAAAGATTGTCTCTTTTAAACTCGTAGATCAGAAATGGATAGACTCTATATTATACACTTTTTTCTTATACCGTTAGACAAACCTCTGCAGCAGGTTGCTAAACTGAAATATGTGTTTAAAATATTAAAGTAAATAAAATATTACCCGATACAAAATCCATTCCACATATAATGCATAAGCAAAGGAACTTTAATGTCATTTAAATATTTCAAACGATAACATTATACTTTTTAGATCGCGATAAAATGTCGATTTTCCCAGTAGTCATAAAATGACTTTACCGTTGGTAATTCTTCTATTTTATACAGGTTAGTTTTTTTAAGCAACATTTTACACAACTTACTTATTTTACTCGATTTTCTATCCGAGGTTTTTGTAGACGAGTAATTGAGCAGGTTGCTATAAATAAATAATTGCTTTAAAATTGTTTCCCACAACTTAAATGCTGTCAATCTCTCTTCTTAATTATGTCATTGGAGTAACTAACTTTTTGTAGGACAAACGAAATGCGCAAAACCACAAAGTGTCAACCTAGCACTGGAAACTGTGCTTGAATTCAACAATGAATCAGATATAACCTTTGTGGACACAGTCCAAGATTTCTTAAACAAGGTCAAATCTACGCTACAAGAATCGTTTCGAAGCAATAGAGACAGAGGTTCCAGAAGTTTCCATAAAATAAATATAGAATCACTACCTAAGAGTGAGGACAAAAAAGGTTATAGAAGGTTTGCTAAACTATCAGAAGTAAATGAAAAACATAGCAACACTATAAATAAACAATCGAAAGAATTGTATCTTCAAAAAACTACATACGAAACCAATATACAAAGTAAAACATCACATCACAAAAGTGCACTCCAAGAAGAAACCAGAAGGTTTGGTATGCTATCTTTTACAGATTTCATCGAAGACAGTGTAAATGTACTCAAAACGTATAATGATTTGGATCTAACATATTTTATGGAATTACTCGACACAGAAATAAACAACGACGATTATAAAAATTGCGAAATACATGTAGAAGACTTCGGTCTGAGACGATATATATCTAATAAGATTTCAAATGCTAGAGACACTCCAATAAAGCACATAAGACAAGGCCTAAGCAACATTGTTAATGATCTAAGAAATAACGACAAAATGGGTATTTTATATTCATTCTTAAACTCTTTAGTAAAAAGACACACGCAACAGCGTTTCAAGAGTATCCTAAATCATTTACAGCTGTACAGACGTCGGCAAATGAATCCGATAAACAATTTACGCTCGATAGTACGGGATAGCATTCGATCGATAATTACCGATTATATTTGCAATTTGAATGATGCGAATCGGCGAAAGATAAGAAGTATTCTAAAAATGATTTTAGAGGAAGATTCCAATTCAAAAAAATTAAATAAATATCTTAGTAAACAGAACAGTATCTTGAGAAGAGAAGAGAAGAAAAGGCCACATGAAAAAGAAAACAAAAAAAGTAAATTAGATGATGAGTCAACTATAACATCTAGCGAAGAAGAAATGGCTAGTTTTGAGCAAAAAGAAAAAATTAAAAACGCTAAGCAAAAACATCATGGAAGGTATTCCTATCAAGAAGCAGGTGATAAAACCGTAGGGGAAAAGGTATTCAAGGAAAAGAAGATAAAGAAACAAAAGAACAAAACTTCGTGGATAACTAACAAAGATGATACATTAGATTTGACATTGAATTTTGAAAATTACAAAGATTCAGAGATTACTCTCTTTTCTAAAGAAACAAACCTTAAAGCTACGAAAAGAAAAACGACAACTGCATCGGCATCTGAATTCAGTAGAAAACACTCTACAAACACTAACTTTGAAGACGACAGCTCAGTCAAGAAAAAAAGTCAGAGAAAAATTAAAAGACTTAAACCACCTAAACATTTAAAAACGTTTGTGACTTTATATCCAGAGCGAATTCATATTTATACAAAAATGTTTCAAACAGAAAACAAAAAGACTACGAAAGTTATAAGGAAAGGTTTTACTGTCAAATCAATTAACACCGAGAAAGTGATGAGTGTTGGAGTTAAATCTACTGAAGTAAAAAATAACGCATCAAATGTTTCGCTTAAAAAAAGATTTAAGTAAGTTTTACATTCAATTAAACGTAAAAAAAATTGTATTCCCAAAACGAGTTAATAAGATAGAGCAAGCGTTATTTGTGAAACCAGTAGCGCCGCTATGTTCTTATTACTAGTAGGAAAATATCGTAATGTTCTAATCCGTCTAATAAAGTCGTGTTTAAATTGTCAAATAAATAACCTATAGTTTTGTAATAAAATGTTTTTGCTTTCATGTTTATGTTTTAGGATCAAGTCTAATAGAGAAACTACACACAAAAGACACGAAAGTAAAGGAAAAACGCAAAATCCTGACACAAGTTTTACACAGTCTGTAGTAAACGAAAGCGAGGCTTTGGACCACTACGGTAGCTTATATAAGCAGAAGTTGATATATCCGGACGTTATTTATCGTAAGAAAAACGGTTATAGAAAAAGTAATTTGGATGATGTATTCGATCCAAGAAACTTAACGAACGACGTCTTTACTGAGGAATTTCTTGATAAAGTATTTAATCAATCAGATCTTATGGCATCTGGTGATGTTATTACGCCGAGAACTTTTGGTACATTAGCATTTTGGAGTGGCACTAAATCAAGAACATTAGTCACAGTGTATCCAAGGAATTTTACTAATATGACCGACATTAGCATTGATAGTTCTAGCAGTACTCAGGCTACAGTGTTTCAAGGGAATAATGCATCGAATCCAAAAGTAACCGTTTCAAATACTACAGAAAATGCGGTACAAAGCAGGATAGTAAATCGGTCGCAGATGGAAAATACGACTAAAATTTTAATAGATATACAACAGATTAACAACACAAACACAGCCAACGCAACAGAGATTACTAGTTTGAAAAATTTGGCACCGAAAAGAATTAAAGAGATGGATTTGAGGCGGCTATTGGGCGACACAATTGTGGAAGATAGACACGAGAGTGTAAAGAAAGAGTTAGATGAAAGATTTCAAGAGGACCTGAAAAAAATATTTCTCACTTCAAAAGCAACAGCAGCAGCGTACGACGACTCAACTAAAGACCCCATTGACGAGATCGGAGAAGCTTTTGACATAAGCTAAGAATTAGAATAATAATCAAAATGTTTGTTTATTTGTCTTAGCAATAAAGATAATTTCCATCTGTGGTAAGTGATTCATGACTCGGAACAGGAGTTTGATATTTTTAACCTAGCCCTTACGTGTTTTTTTCAATGAAATATGATTTAGAATTATGTTGGACTCAGTGGCACCCACGGTTCACTCTGAAGCAGTCCTGTCAAAGTTAAAATGTTCAAACTGTTAATTGTAGACAATGTAAAGGACGAAGTCCCCCTCTTTAAGTGACATTACATTAAACGGAGCTAAATTGTATTGTATTATCTGGTAAACGATCTTTTCCGGCACGACACACAAGATTTTTAATTAATAATCACAATATGAAATAATACGATAAAGTATCATTATATGAAATTATAATTTACGAATTTCTTATCAATCTAGAATATAAAAACTTTTCATTACTGGCAAATATTTAAAAATGACATTTGTCCTAGATTTCTTAAACCGTTACTGGCAACACAGTTGAATTGTTTTTGACACGCCTTGTATGTGTTATTTTCGTAATTTACTCAATTTTCGCTAATTTCTGTGTTAGTTTATAATATTTCGCGTGAAATTCGTGCTTTTAGTGAATATTCTAGTGTTTTAAAAGTGTCTGCGTAGTTAAAACAGCGTTGTTAAGGTAAGTCTCGACAATCTTAAATTGTCGATATATCACCCGTCAATATACGATGGCGTTCTAAATAATTAAGACGTATTGAAGGGACCCGCTTTTCAATTTGGGTGTGTTATTTTGCTTAAATTGTTTTAGTTGTTTGTTTGCTTCAATAACATACATTTTGTGAGTGAACACAATGTTAATAAGGATTCATACACAATATAATTCACTTACTGTGTCTTACGTATAGTGAAAAAAGTCATAAACTTGAATTATTAAAGAATTGCGTATGAGTCATACATTCACTTTCTCGTCAATTTTATGAATGTAAGCATTGTTTTTTACATCGCTAGAACAATGCATGAACAGATACTATGAAGCTCTACGTCTTGTAATGTTTAACTTTAGCTGTATCGAATAGAACTTAATGGCCAAGGGAAAATGTAGGTACTTTTTCTAGTACGTAAGTTTCTATTGCAATATAGCAATTTCCCAGTCACAATACTAAAGAGTTACTTTAATAAAATAAATAAAAAATAGTATTTATTTATTTTATTTTTTATTTATTATTGCTTTATACACATAAATGAAGAAAAATCTAACGTGTTAACTTATAAATAAAAGGTGGCCTATCACTAAGTAGCAATCTCTTCCTTATTATATTAAACATGCGCTGCTGTCGAACAATATTACTTAGTCTGAACATTTTTAGTAGTAGTATTCAACAGTAGGTGAGTATAACCTATATCTATTGTTTGTTGATAAATAATCATAATATTTGCATTCATAGCTGATTTGATCTGACATTACATTTCTTATGTGATTCCCTACCTTTACTCAGGTTGGGACTCTATGACCCTGTTAAAATCTATCTTAGGATTTATTTTGCTCTATAATATAGCACCATACTCTGCTACTTTCAGAATGTCAACAATGACTGATCCCTATGACACAACAGGGACCCTTTCACTGAAGTGGGATCCAAAGAACCTGGAGATAAGAACCATGTCTGTAGAGAGGACCCTGGAGCCGCTTGTCCTACAAGTGACAACCCTTGTAAATAGCAAGGACAAAGCAGCCAAAAAGAAGAGACGTAAGTGTCTTGTGTGTGACATTATGTAAAGTGTAGGAATTGCTGGGTTTCAGTCTTGACAAAACACTTATGTTTTATGTTATATTGATTAGGTAAATTATGTTTTAATTTAATAAAAGCAACCTTGTAGGTTTTTTTATAAAATTTGTGTGTATTTAACACCCTTTTTCTATATTCATTTATGAGTTTGCACTCATCAAAATAAATAATAATTTGTTATAAATTGAACAGACATTAACACACATTTTTATGTGCCTTCCAAAGACTAATAATCACTTGACTTAATGTTGTGATTTTTTTTATTTTTAGCTGGCAAATCTAAACGCGCCAGCGCCCTGGTGGCCACCGTGGAGCGGGCGACGGAGATCTTTATCGAGCGAGGGCAGACCATCGCCTATGAGAACCCCGAGATCACGCAGGAGATGCTGGCCGCCGTGGAGCAAGTCCGGAAGGCCGGTTAGTGAGAGGGATGTAATAAAATGAGCACAGTGGCTTATGCCCGGCTTTTTTGTCTAATGATATTCTTGTTTGGCTAATAACCGACGTTTCGTAGGTTCGATCCCAACTGTGTGCAGCGTGTGTCAAAATTTTCAATTTATAATTTTTCTAAAACATGTTGGACTTCATCTGGAAATCTTATTGCTATATAAAATAAAATTCCGTTTCCGATATTCGAACCACCGTCCACAGATTAAAAAGCCGGGAAGTTTAATCGCGTTTTCAGTCTGTGTATCTCCGAATATTCAAAGCCAAAATAGGTCAGCATCGTATCGTGTGTAGATCTATCTAAAATATTGTTCTAATTCATTTCAGGTGCAGCTATGAGTCTCGCAGCTCGAGAGTTCTCGGAGGAGCCGTGCGCGTCCTCAGTCCGTTCCAGCATGGTGCGCGCTGCCAGGAGCCTCCTATCTGCCGTCACGAGGTTATTAATCCTGGCAGATATGGTGGATGTGCACCTGCTCCTGTCTAAACAGAGAATGGTGAGTTGTGACTGATTGACTATGGTCTGAAGCAAAATTATTTTGTTATGTATTCAAGTTATTTGTAAATGTAATAGGACAAGAATTATTAAATATTATATATTATAAATGATAAAAAAAATTAATATGACTGAACAATAACAAAAGTTATATTTAATTAATGTTTTCAACGTTAATATATTTTTAATTTATATATTGTTGTTAGTTTATTTATTTATTAGGATTATATTGCCAGATTATATAATTATTGTGATTGTTGAACTAATTTTTCATAAGACCTATCTCCACGTCATCAGGTGGAGAAAGACCTAGATAAGTTGAAGTCTGCCTCGTCGCAGTCAGAACTAATTGAGAGTGCTCGCCAATTTGGGAGATCGGCCAGTGAGCTGGCAGCCCAAGCAGCCAAGAGGCAAAAGGAATTAAAGGAACCGAGGATGAAGGACGAACTGGCTGCAGCGAGGGCGGTGCTGAAGAAGCACTCAACGATGCTGCTAACTGCTTCCAAGGTCATTACAATAGGGAAATGCAAATAAAAAATACTAGACGAGAAAGGCAAATAAAAAAATTAGTTTTTAATCATGTTCTGCCATCAAGGGTCTTCCTATAAAAAACATATAATTACATTCTATTCATATAATTGTATTATTCTATATACATATATATGAATGTTATATTGGTTTGTAAATGCTTCAAAATCTAATAGGTCTTCACTGATTGAGCTAAAATCTTAGCAAGATATAGAATCCGCACCAAGCGCGTGTGCCAGTGACCGCGCCATCTGCCGGCAGCGAGGAAAACAGTCGCTTCCAACCGCTATAGTAAATATCAAAATACACATGCATTCCAGGTGTACGTGCGCCACCCGGAGTTGGCCGCCGCCAAGGCGAACCGCGACTTCGTGCTCCGCGCTGTCTGCTCCGCCGTCGACACCATCTCGGCAGTGGCGCAAGGCAGGCCCACTCCCAACACTGGTAACTTTAATCCACAGAGATTATAACCCACCTGTTATATTTGTCGTTGAATCGAAATTGAATTATATTCCTTTGCGATTGCAGGAACCAATCGGGTGCCGGTGGAAGGACCGGGTGAATTGGCTCAAGCTTTGGACGATTTTGACGTAAGTCTCCCCGTTTAATTCGACCCTTAATACACAACTAGGTATCAAAAAAATCAGAGGCTATAATCTATAAATGTGACTACGTCAAATAAACAACATTTCAATAAGTTACATTAAACCACATCTTCAAGTGTTTAGTTCCAACGCTCTCTATATCTCTACTGTATAATTGATATCTTATCAGGAGCGAATGGTGATGGAACCGCTGGCCTATTCCGAGCTGAGGACTCGTCCGTCCCTCGAGGAGCGGTTGGAATCTATCATATCTGGTGCGGCGCTGATGGCAGATAGCTCCTGTACTAGGTACGTCCACGTATAAGGGTGGACAAAGGGAGAGTTTGTTTGTTCTTTTTTTTTTACGTGGGGAAATCCTTTCGGATACCCACCGCATCAAAAGGAGCAAATGGGTTGTGTCGGACTTAAACCGACTAAGACCCCACAATAAAAAAAAACCTCCGACACAAGCATCCCGGGATCTCTTTAGAACTCGCACGGTAGCCTCAATATACACAATTGACTCATATCATAAAGAGCACATGGTTCCCCATGCACTAAGAACAATACAAGTAAATTAATAAATACAGACACATAATTGAAGATAAATAAAAACAAATATATATGTGTATATACATATCAGAGGTCAATTCTGCGAAACATGCGTCCGCTCACGTTCAAATCTTTCTTCTGCAATATCACAGTATCAACACATATATTATTATAATATTATTTTTATTTATTATCTGCAAGAAAATGATATCCAGATTTGACAAAGAGTCTGCCCAAGTTGGGGCCATAGATCGCACAATACCCATATACAATTGCCGACACAAAATATTAGGACCCTTTAAATTGGGAAGTAGACTACCTAAAGCACCAGATGTCCGCAGTAGCTTTGGAGATAAACACCTAAAATGATAGTATCAAAGGATATGACCTCACTCACTCCTCTCTTCAAGTTAAGAGACAAATGTGTATTTTTAAGTATAATTATTTAACTATTTGTACAACTATTCAATTAATGTAACTGGCTCTGCCTCTTCGATTGTTTTATAATAAATAACATTATGCATTTCAGGGACGAGCGGCGCGAGCGCATAGTGGCCGAGTGTAACGCGGTCCGCCAAGCTCTGCAAGAGCTGCTGCACGAGTACATGAGCAATGTAAGTGATCTTTTTCTTAGAATTTGCATATTTGGAACCATAGGCACTAACTTTCCCTTCCACAAAATATGTATTTTGTTCTGTTAAGTATGATGGTCAAATCTGTAAAGTATCAAACTGCGTACTGCGTGACGCACTTCGTTCACGATGCACGATTCATGAATAAGAAAGTAGACACTTTGCCCTACTCATAAAACTAAAAAAACGTTTCTGGCTTTTACCACATACACATTCAAATATCCAAGTGTGGGAATGATATTTATACTGTCACCTCAGGCTGGTCGTGCCGAACAGTCCGAGGGTCTGGAGAGGGCTTTGGAGCACATGTGCAGGAAGACACGGGACCTGCGCAGGCAGTTGCGCAAAGCGGTCGTGGACCACGTCTCGGACAGGTGAGATGGATATATATATTTTTTATAATATAGAAGAAGAGAGACAAGCATGAGCTTCACTCGATGGTAGGCGAAATACCCCAGCCATATAACATCTCAACAAGGTGCGCTGTCGACCTATTATGGCTTTGGTCACCCTATTTTCTATATTCCTACCACCCATTTAATATTCAGATTCCCAATTAAAAAGTGAAGAAAAAAATGTTGGACCCGGTGGGGATCGAACCCACGACCCATTCATCCGTACATTGCTACCATTAGAGATTTTTTTTTTCAGTTTTCTGGAGACCAACGTGCCTCTGCTGGTACTGATGGAAGCAGCCAGAAACGGTAATGAGAAAGAGGTCGAGGAATATGCTATTGTGTTTACTGAGCACGCTAATAAATTGGTTGAGGTGAGTGTAACGCCATGTATTTGTTTGCATTATGTGGTAGTAACAGATGGATGTCACACAAAATGGCTGTCATCACTGCTATCCATTGTGTTGTCGTTAGTCTTTTTATTTATGGTGACTATGCAAATCAATGAATAGGAAGAACTTTCTTCTTGTCACAGTAATGGACACTTAAAAGTATCATCCCTGTTTTGTCATCCTTGTATTTCCATGTCTCAACGTGTTCCAGGTCGCCAACTTGGTCTGCTCGATGTCCAACAACGAGGACGGTGTAAAGATGGTGCGTCACGCCGCGGGACAGATTGAGGCGCTCTGTCCGCAGGTACTGTCTCCCCTGAGTTTATCATTCACATGGCGCAAAAAGGAGTCTTTAAAAGATTAATCAATATTTGAAATCTTGTATATTGCAATCTCGTTTGAAAATTTATTATATGGCATTGTAGCGTGGCGTGTAACGGTTAGGACTTACTTACGTATACTTAGGTATTCTTTTCATCTGCTCATTATTACACCTTTTCCATTTCTTTTCAGGTGATAAACGCGTGCCGCGTGCTCGCTGCACGCAGTAGGTCGCGCGTCGCGCAAGAGAACGCGCGCGCTTTTGGGCGTGCTTGGGAAAGCGCCGTGCGCCTGTTGACAGACGCTGTAGACGATCTCACCACGATTGACGACTTCCTGGCTGTCAGCGGTGAGCGTTTGAGTTTTTGTGCTACTGGAACAGTCCTACTTTGGGAAAACAAAAATATTTTAGATATTACGAAAATGGTCCTTCGAGTCGGACCTCTAACGGCGAGATCTAGGGATCTAGGTCTTTAGATTCGAATTTTTAACAGTTAACAAGTGCCTTGAAACTACTTCACATAATGAGCCTTGTCACCGATATATATATCATTTTATCATATTTATTCTTTGGCCAAAAACTACTGAGCAGCTTTTGGTGTAACCTTGAAGTTTCTGATCAAAACATGATCTCACTTTTTCAGTACATTTTATATGTCCCAACATCTGGTCGTATAGAAAATGCCGTAACTAAGCACATTTTGTTTTAAACCCTCGATTAGGTTTATTCTTAATATTAATTATCAATAAAATTATAATAGAAAGATTGATTTCGCATTGGACTTTATACTTCTTAATCGTTCTTAAGTCCGTAATGAAAAAAAGTGGCCTAATTGTTAATAGACTTGAAGTAAGTTTCTTCTTCTCTTTCAGAGAACCATATTCTGGAGGACGTGAACAAATGCGTGGTGGCGCTGCAAGAGGGTGACCCGGACTCGCTGGAACGCACCGCGGGGGCCATTCGGGGCAGAGCGGCGAGGTGCGTGGAACTACTACCTTATATGTAAACAAGTGGCTGGTGGTTTTCACCTACACGGAATTTCCGGTTGAACCAGCATCAAAATAACCTACATCGTAGTTCTCTCTCGGTATCATATACAACGAATGTCTATTTCACTAAAAGATAATGTCTTCCCGGAATATCCCCCCACATCTGAAATAGCTTCACTGTGAGTGTGAGATGAACGTAAAGTCGCCATATTTTATTTATTGAATCGCATCGGAAATCGGAATCTCGTAAAAATATTGCCGTTCCCTTTTTTCATCATTTCCCATTGTTTTCGCTCCTGTCAGTCGCCTCAAACCTTTATGGTCCAACCGACACAAAAATAATTGTTCAATTTGTACCAGCAGTTTCTGAGATAAGCGCGTTCAAAGAAGCAAACTTTTCAGTTTTATAAACTTACTGCGATGATGATATAATAAATGAAAGATGGTATTGAGATTTTTTACTCTTCACAGTAAAAAACACTTATTCGTGTAGGTACACTTTTGAACGTCACATCAGTTCAAAATTAAAGACTACTTGTTACGCAGTCCTTGAAGGATAATAAGTACTTTCGATTCTAGTTGTACTTCAATATACTTCTTAAATCTGATGTCCATATTCTGTCACCAGGGTCTGCTCCGTGGTGGCCCAAGAGATGGACAACTACGAGCCTTGCATCTACACCAAGCGCGTACTGGAGGCTGTGACTGTGCTGAGAGACCAAGGTACGTGGACTCTTTACTGTGTATATACTAGAGATGCGCCGAGTAACACTTTTGCCTAGTAACGAGTACCGAGTTTTACTCGGCATAATTTTTTTTCCAACCGAGTATTTGGCCGAGTAACTCGGTTCACTCAAATTCCCATTTCGCGCTCGTAAACAAGTACAAACAGGTTCGCGCAGGTCAAGACGTCGGCTCGCTCTCAACTTCTCATAATTTTGTCTCATTACTACTCAATCATTAGCATAATTTTGATTTTATTAATTGAGATTTCCAAAGATTTCCAAAATTACTAATAAACACTTTAGGATTACCACAGTTGCTTTAATTAGATCTACCTAAATATATTTCTTTTCTTAAAAAAAGTATACTATATAGATAAATAACAAAGTATACCCGAGTCATTTAGGCCGAGTACGCAGAGTACCGAGTACTCGGTCCATCCCTAGTATACACCGACGAAATATTATTATGCTTCTATTCTTTACGCGGAATAAGTTATTCAGGAGTGTAGAACTTCCTTCTATAGTGGAATACAAAAGGCTGATTGATACCAAGAAACTAATAAATGTTGTGTCTCGTTATGAACTGACTATTACATGTCGCTATTCAGCTTTTGTAATTGTTTTGGCTTTTTCGCCTTAAATTAGGATTTCGACATGAATCGGTTTCACAGTTTACTTACACTTTATAAACTGTTTGTTTTGTGATATTTGATGTTATTCTTTAGTTTCTATTTTGTTTTAAAAATAATAATATTAATATATTTTTTATATCGTTGCCCGGGCGTCGGCACGGTATCTCGGAATTAACTTTGTCTACTAGAAATCTTCCAGTTTTGAAAAGATTTTTGTTTTAATGTCGAAGTTTCAAATTCAGCCTCTGATGGGCGACTTAATTAAAATACTCGACAATACCGTAAACTAAAGTATAAACATCAGAGTGCTCTTTGCGTCGCGAATTAAAAGACAAACATACAATAACTTACTTTATTTTGTATTATATATTACAAACTTAACACGAAACTGGCCACTAGTTAATCTCATCGTGCGCTTAATTCAACTAAGATTTATCTACGCCCTCTTTACTTCCTGTTGGCTGGGACCACTTGTGGGGGGTGCGATCTGATGAACTCCAGAGCTTTGGCGATGGCCTCCGGGATCGGGGGTGGAGTGGGGATGTGGGAGCCCTACGCGAAAACAAAAAAAAAATATAACAATCCATTTGGCCATGTCAGTTAGTAGACCACAGCGCCGAACGTTACGAGAGTGGGTTCGATCCCCGATGTTTGTTAATCATTGACTTCTATATGGGACATGACGTACCTGAACTTGGTACCCGTTCTCGTCGGCCGTGTACTGCAGGGAGACAACTTCGCCCTCTGGCGACGTCCATTGAGCTTGACCCTGCGCGACCTGGGCTGGGTTTTCCTGTGGGCAGATCGTGTCTTCCATTTACTTAAAACGCTCTCAAACATTAACTCTAGGTTACGCAAGTATGTAGTACAAATTTAGATATGATATTTTTAACTACTATTCGACTTCTAGTCCGTCCTCCCCCCCGGTATATATCATCAAATAAATTTATTCTCCTGGAACACTCACCGCTTGCGGGTTGTTAAGCGCACCGCGCGCCTGCGCCGATATGCCGTTCTCGGTCTCGATCGCCCACTGGTACTGCCCTTCCACTCCGACGTCCAACTCTTGCTTCAAAATCTTAGCATCCCTCTCGGAGCCAGGGTGTGGCAAGATGTGTGACACGTCGGCGGCGACGTAGGCCACGAAACAGGCGATCAGGAATAGTTTCTGAAAGTTCGTTTATGTAGTAGTAAAACAAAAAGTTGCTTGAAATTATTACGCATATAATGTTTCCCAAAAGTTATGTTAACGATTACACTTAGATGTATATTCCTACCGAGATATCGCCTCGAGACACATCGTAATCCATCGAACATTACCAAAGACGTAAAATAAAAGACAAAAAGCAAATGACCTTATGTCTCGCGCCCTATACGCGAGATGCTGTCTTGCGCAAGCTTTGGTAATCTTTAAAATATTAACGGGAAGGTGCGGTGCGTTTGGTAGCGGAGCGAGGCTAAAATTCACTTTTATTATATACAGTAGTAGACGAAGTAAAGGTTATTTAGTTGGCTTTTATTTTATTGTAAAATTGAATATATTTAAAGTAATAAAATCGCACGCTTGTTTTTACCACATGCAGACGTGGAATTTAATTACGTTTTTCGTGAGCCATTGAATCGCTAGACGCTCCGCTCGTGAACGCGTCCGCTCCGTTAATGATATTTAAGTAAACAACCTCGCCATTTGCGTTCATTATAATTCGGTTTTTGTTGTATTTCACGTTTGTGCAATAGGCGTTTAAAGCTTTTGAATTTAGTAACCGATTGTGCGAAACGGAGTATCAGCTTTTATAAAAAGTACATTTTACGCGGGCAATTTAACAACCCCTCTAATTGGAAAGCCCGAGATTTAAGAAGTTCTCTTTATGGACATCGATTAGTCGATTTCTGTTAAACACAAGAAAACGGAATTTAAACTTAGTTTAAAAAACTCGACTACTAACAAAGCACTGATTTTTAAACGTAATAATAAAGGAATTACTGAAATATTTAACTTTGATCACGTGTTAGAAGAATGTGAACTAACCATTTTCGTTGTGCGCACGAGTCTGTACTGCTCATCTCCGATCGAAGATGCGTTTTATACGTATGCGCGTGAGGTCACTCGCGTTTTTTCGACCTCAGAACGGGTATTTTGATGGATCGGCTTTTTGGGTCATCGCATAATTGTGCTCGTTGACCCGTTTCTAGACCGACTTGCGAGAAAGGATAATGTTTTTCACACTTCTCGTGTCGTAGCTTAAAAGTGTTTTCGTAGGAAATTGTTTATATATTTATTAACACTATTGCCCAAACGACAAGAAAAAACATACGGAGGAGACGTTTAATATACTAGAAATACGAAGTGCGATGGGCACCCTTATCATTAACGAGCGATCTCTTCCGGACAACCCAAAATGTAAGAAGAAAACGTTTACGGAAAAACGAGATCTGCAAGGCGAGCGCAACAAAATATACAATTCCAAATACAACATTTACAAAATTGGTCAGATGTGTAATTAATGGAAAGAAAGTGCTTGTATAATATTGTATATATATATAATATTGTAGCCATTTCAACGATAGGAGAGAAGGCGCCATACGAAAGGCGACGGGTAAGGTATTCCATACCTGACCAGTAATTTAAAAGGCTTTGCCTAGAAGGCTGGAGCTGTGGGAAGGAACTTTAAGAATCGCGAATATGAACTATTGTACGGACCAGTTTAGCTGCAATCTGTCGATTTCTGAAAGCGCACATTGTTCAAATGTTATCGCCGACGTCGACGTATACAGTAGATCTTGCAAGTTAATAATAAAAGATAGACGAATAAAAGATTATTTATAGATCATTTAAAGAGGAATCATTCTTTCATACATACTTTTTAAATATCTTGAACTTTTTTCGCAGTCCACGCAAAGATAACCCTTAAAGATGAATAATTTTCCCAATTTGTTTTCAATTTCCCACTGTTTATTCGCTCCTAGTAATAGCAACCTAATATTTTATATATCCTCAAAAATTACTTGTTGCATACATATCTACCATCCCTAATGAAATTATTGTTTTTCTCTAATTACATAACTTACGTAACATGTTCTATGAGAAAAATAATTTTGTATTTGATTAAAATCGTACTATTGCAAATTATACATAAGGAACTAGACTAAGTTACTATTTATCAAGGTAAATCAAGACATATTTATTTTCATAAATAGTAGTAGTTTCTCATAAAAAAATATTTAATTTTTCCCTAAAACAGAAATAAAATAGTTATTTAAAACATTTTTTTATGTAACGTGGCTAAACTGTGTTTTTATTTAATATTTATTTATTTATTTAAATATTTATATCTATTACAGATTTGATTTTTTCATATTTTTCCTTAAATAGGAATTCACATTTCATTGTTATAACATCATTCATTCATTCACTACGACAAATCTGTCATATTTAATTTTGACGTTAAGGTTTTTAGCTTTAATACGCAACAGACTCTCAAATGAAATGTAGTATATTATGAGGGCGTACAACACATTCTACATATTAATATTGGTTGCAACTCTAGAATAATCTACAGAATCGATAGTTAAATCCTTTAGTCGAACTCAGTGTTAAAAAGAAATACTGACCCCAAACGGATTTCCCTCGTCGACCTTTCCGTACGGCACCCCCAAGTACATCGAGTAGTTCCCATCTTTCGCTCGGAGACCTTTAATTTGACCGACCTTCGCACTTACTATGGGACCTAGGAGCCTTCCCTGTGTCGTTCCTATTAGCAAGAGTAAAATTGTCCACATGCTATTGTAGGTAACCAACCTATGACAAAATTCGTTATGTAAATTTAAAATACTTTTTAATGAGGTTTACAACGACGATATTTTTTTATTTTGTATTAAAACAGTTGATTGACTCTTATACTTGCTGTACCCTGAGGCGTTCTCTGGATGTTCTTAGGATTTAAATAAAACCCCTTACGGTTGACACATTTGTGCTTTTTGCGTGGCACAGCATCCGAAACGTCGGGCCGAAGTTAAAAAATCATTTTCAAATAAGTTTAACTAATATATCGCGTTTTAAACCGTTAAAGTGTTTTATTTAAATGTGTACTACTCGCGTAAACTATAGACAGTATCTTCTTAGGATGATTAAAGCTTGCGCCCGGTTGCAATAAATAACTTTATCTTAGTAAAGTAGTAATCTTAGTCTAAGTTTTATAATAAGCTGACTATAAAATTTAATCCTTTTTGGCTTTAAAAAGTGCCTTTCATATTATTGTGAGAAATTAACTGACAGACACATTTTTTGACATTCATATTATTTGCACCGCAGTAAACGCCGGTCTATAGGTACATCAAGTCACAAAAACTCTTTAGAAGAAAGTAATTAATTTTTTTTGCAATTTCCAATTAATTTAGAGGAAGCTCCATTAGTCGGTTGTTAATTTATTCTCTCACTTTTAAGATAACATTTCGCTTTATTTAGAAAATTAATTACATCCAAATTTTTAAATTTCTTATTTATCCACATTTTTTAACGTTTTAGGATAGATTTTCGTTTTAATGTGAACTCATACAACTTACAACATAAACCACTTTTTATTTATTTTATTTATTTCTGATACATAAAACGTACATGTAAATTTAACATATATATGTTGAGTACAAAGAATATTCTAAGCGCAATCATTAGCCGAGCACTTCCTCCTTATAAGCCTCGTAGAACAGGTCCCAAAAGGACATTCGCTCGTGGTTAGGCCTGGAGCCTGTCTTTAGCTCTTCGCCAATAAACATGTAGTTAAGCGAGTCTGTGGTAACCGCGGGCCACTTAGTGGGAAGAAGATCGGTTGTTTCTGGTGTGGGGTTGCTGCAAAGGCATGTGTAAATGAATAAAAATCCGACGATCGATAAGTAATATTACGGGGCACACACACACTACAGGTTATTAGGAAAAAGCTACTTTTTTTACTTACCCATGCTTAACAAAATTCGCCCACATGCTTGTCATCCTATCGACTACTACTTGGTCTTGCTCGTTCACGGGTTTGTCTAGCACCACTATATCGAAGATGTAGCCCAATTCGTCGGCATGTGCTGCCCCATCTTCTGTGATGTTCAGCCTCACTTTGACAAAGTTTCTGTGACCGCTGTACCCGAAGACGTAATGGTATATGTTCTTTGCTCCGCTCTGATGGAACCTGTGGAGTTTTATGGCAGTGAAAATACAATGAAGTATAAGATTTAACATTGAAAAAATTTATTGATCTAGCTTAGGTAGTGTAAGTTTGTCATCAACTACATTCAGATAAATATATTTGTCCCATAGATGCTCATCGTTTCACATTAATATTGTTGATACTTTCAAAAGCCATAAAATTATATAGTTATAAGTTTATTTAAAAAAAAACCGCGACAGATTAGCTATGTTCCTTGTTTTAGTCAATACTCGTAAAGTACTTCAAAGGGTCTCTTCTACCCAATTGACTTACCTCTCGATGCTCTTCTGAATTGGATGATTAAAACTTGTATCCGAGTTAAAATTAACCAATTCCCACTTGACAGATTCACCAATAGCTTCATCCCCGATGTAAAAATGCCTGAGAAAGTCATACGCCGCCGCTCTCTTCTCCCCAAATCCGACTTTGTCTACGAAATCTCTGAAAGGGTCAACACCGACGTAGGCATCTACCTGTTCATTGGGCAGTCCTAACATCATCTCGTGGCTATTATAACCGCTCATTATATTGATGCCCTTGGCTTTAGGTAGTTCGGTCAAGCCATAAGGCCGTTCCGTTAAGAAGGCTTCGACTCCATCGAATTCCTGCTCCACGCATCCGACCAGTGTGACATCTACTGTATTAGCGGCAGCTACAACGAGTTTAGTGTCCGTCTGGTTGAGGAAAGCGAGAGCGTCTTTCAAGTCGTTCGTGTCGTAGCCCAGTTGTCTTGCCAGTTTGGACGGGGCTGTGTTGTTCACCGACGCCACTGTCCAGCGGCCGAATATGGAGCCACTGCTCAGTATGGCCTTAAATAAAAAAAATATACCTAGGACTTAATTACAGAGAAAAATCTCTGGTACTGAATGTAAATTGTTATACCCTCCTCTTCTTCGCCTTCCCGCGCGAAAAATCTTTTTACAATGTTATCCAGAAATTACCTGATTGAACAGCTTCTCGTTCTTGGAGATGATGTGGAATTCCACAGATGCTGCACCAGCGCTTTCACCGTATATGGTGACCTGGTTCGGATCTCCACCAAATTCTTGGATGTTATCTCTCACCCACCTGAGGGCGAGGGTCTGATCCTTTAAACCTTGGTTTCCAGATACCTGGAATAGAATTGTATTGAAAAAAATAGGAATTTTATTATTAGATTTACAATAATGATTTGTCACAAGTATTTCACAATGTCAAACAGCGATACAACTTTAAGTTTCCGGATTTCAGAAACGTTATACTTTTTAAAAAAGTACCTAAAAAAAACAATTCGCCGATATTGGCACTTTCTAAATACCACAGTCAGACATCTCACCTCTGGTAGATCGAGACACATAAAGCCATAGGGCCCCAGCCGATAATTGATCGACACCAATATGATGTCATGCCGGACGATGAATCTCGGCCCAGCAGCATATTTAGCACCGCTTCCATACTGAAAGCCGCCTCCGTGTATCCAGACTAGGACCGGCAGTTTATTTCTCGTAGTGGCCACATTGGGCACGTAGATGTTCAGCCTCAAACAGTCAAGATTGCCCCTGATTTCCTTGGAGAACTCTTCAATTTGAGGGCATATATTGGAATCGTCGTACGCTTCGAAGGGACTTTCAAACTTCGGGTACGGTGCGGCCGCCTGAAACGGTTTAGAGTGAAAAAAATTTGCTATACTTGTGAATTAATTTGTAATTTAATGTTAGCAATATATGCTGAAAATATTGTGTAATATGTGAAATCTTAGACCTAATTTGTTATTCTTTAATATTTTTCATCATTTTTGTTTTCCCTGTATAAATCTGTAATAATTCTTATAATTTTGGCAAGGTAAGGAGACTTAAGACGTTATTTAATCATTACTTTTAACTGTAACTGGACGATTTGTGGTTTTATTAAACTTATTGTTACACGAACGACTGACGAATGCACTTGAGAAATTTTTATCTCGGCGGCGACTAGTAGATATTTTATCTAAAGCACTCGTTTTTTTACCAACATGACAGTATATTGTTAAGAAAGTATTTAAAATTTTTTCGCAGTGGGTAGGTCAAAAGTTTTAATTCTTATATTTTATTGCTGGCTGGAGAGCCTTTTTGAGCACCCTATATATCGAACATAGATGATTTAATTAGTAATTATAATACAATCCACATACACGGGTAATAAATGATAAATAGATACATGTGACATCTGTGCTAATATTTATAAAAATGTACTAGTAGGTTATGTAATCAAACGCGTTTATCTGCAAAGAAAAAAAACACATGTCGAATTTTTACTTCAGCGTATAGCGTGTCATAATTACGAGAAAGAACCTAGCCCTATACTATGACTATATAGTTACTGACCCCAAAAGCGTTGGCCGCGTCGACCTTTCCGTACGGCACGCCCAGGAACATGGAGTAGTCCCCATCGTCAGCTCGCAGGCCCTTGATCAGACCGACCTTGGTGTCGACCAGCGGGTCCAAGCGCAGTTGGCCTCGGGCTGCGCCGACCAGCAACAGTGCGAGTGCCCACATCGTAAACTGCGAGATAACTGTGCTTTAGATTGGACTATTCACTATTCTAACGTGAGATGTATAGGGTGTGCGGAAATATACGTAGATAATGCCAAAATATAGATTTCATATACAGTAGCGAAGAAGTCTAAATCGAATCATGTCTCCTGGAAGCCAAAAGACCATTATAAAAAAAGACATGCGCACGTTTTGTGATTTTTCCTACTAATAGCGTATCTTACGTTCCGTCGCTGCGCTTATTACGTGGCTTATTTATATTTAAATAATCCATTTTAACGGTTTAGTTAAACTTATTTGAAAATTATTTTAAAGACGTTGAGCGTTTTATTTAAATGTGTACTATACGCGTAAACTACAGACAACATTTAACTTATTAATACATTAATTACTAAAGACTTAGTTTTAAGTATAAATGCATTTGATTTTTCCCATTTACTATGCACTTTACTAAGTCTTCAGTGGCGAGAAACACAAGATTATCTCAAGACTCATATCTGTCTTTTAAAATAGTTTTTCCATAGAAAAATAAGGTTCAAATGTTCAATTGGATCAGTTGCGGGAAAGACGATACGATTCGATTATATAAACCTTGAATATGGACATTTTAAAATTCATTCCGTATAGGTTCAACTTTATCGAGTCTGACAGATCTTTGAGTTCTCGATAAAAGTTGATCAGCATCTCGCGATAATGTGTAAATAGATAAAGAATTTATTGCACTAACGGTATCTACACATAATATTAATTACGTTATGTAATGTTATAAATATTTGAATGGTTAGGTCATATCGGTATTTCTTTGTTCTTTTAATCATAATTATAAATGTAATAGGATGCTGAATTTAAATTATCGTATTTGCCTTCCTTCCTTATTGACCTTTTATAACCGATCTAGTCGACTTTAATTACGGCAAAAAGTGTATTTGCCATAATAATAAAAACAAAAAGATATAATAGTAAAAAAATACACAAGATGATTTATGCATGGACCGTCTTCTTTCATTTCATCTTTATCAGATCACGAATTATCCTATAAATTGAATCCAAAAGAAGCTGTTCTGATAGGCTGCCTAAGCCTATAGCAATTTATTTGAAATGAAAAAACATTCCGCATAACATTATTATCAAGCGACAGTAGTAAAAGAGACGACTATCGTCGCAGGCGTTAGCATTTATAATCCTATCGGGAGAGGAAACATTGCCTATAAAGTTGACAGACATCCGAATATCTAAAGCCGAAACAGCGACAGCGTATAATATAATATATTCTTGATGTTATATTAGAGCAAGAGCCCACGACGGCCAGACTTTCGTTATTTTATAAAAGTTGACATTTTTTCTGTACATGTCTCCTATACAGGTAAGAACGACCAGCGACTATAGAGTTTGGGTTGTGGTTACCTGGGCAGGTAGTAAAGGTGTATAAAATAGTACTTAAAATTTGTTAGAGCATAATGCTCAATTTTTTTATATTTTTTTCGGGATAACTATAGAAATCTCGTCATCCATTGCCGGACACTTATGACAGTTGCTACCCCTTGCCAGACACCCCTAAACTTTGATAAATTACAATTATACTTTCATTATAGTATAAAAGCTCAATTTTATATATGTTACTTGGGGACCTATAAAAAGATGTTACCTCAATAGCCGGACAGTTTTTTTTGGTTTTTACATCTTGCCAGACACATTGAAAGTCCACTGTAGGTGCGAGCGCGAATACTTAGTCGATTACTATTTTTTAAGATATCTAATAAAAAATAATTTTATTGCGTTCATAGCCATGTTGTATAAAGTAAAAAATATTAGTTTAATATCATAAAAATATAATAAAAAGTGTGATTACAGGTAAAAAAAATATTTAAACTTGTTTATTAATTTAAGCATTGTCGTCGATGTTTTCATTTTCTTCATCACTACTACTCCAATCGATGGCATGATCGTCCTCAACATCACCTTCTTCGTCAGTTTCTGAAAGAAAAATAAGCAAGTTTATACAATTATGAATAATTAAAAAATTATGTATCATAATTTGTCATAATAATTATATACCTGATTGAGTTTTGAGCGAACCACTAACATGACTCGGTAGTTGATCCCCTTCAAACCATTTGAACTGGCATTTGTCATCTTTTAATACCCAGCCGTTATTGTCTGGTTGATATGTGGTTGGATTTTTCAAATGAGCATTATGCCAAATGGTACATATATATAGTTTGCTCGCAGAAATTGCTGCAGTAGCTCGCTTTTGCAAGGCGGTAGGTTGCTAGCGTCAAAATTTCGCAACTTCTTTCGGTCAAAAGCTTCGTTTACATCGGAGACTGTGTACGAGTCGATGAATATTTGAAGTCTAGCGCCATCAACATCAATTACATTAGGGACATTGTAGACATTACATATAAATCTCTGAATAATATTAAAGATGTTTTGTTGATAATTTAAATTTCCAATTAATTCGTTGTTGCCGAAGTTCTTGAAAGCTTCCTGGTACTCTGGATCTTTTTTTAATATCTTGTATGGTCTTAATTTTCCTTTTCTGAAGAGCACAATATTATTTTACCATCTTTTTTATTACAAACGAAACAAATTAATGTATCTCCCACGATAACACTTTTTACTAAAATTATGCTTTTATTTCACAAAAAACTGCACAAATATCAATTATAAAACGTTGGTTGTATCTACACATAACAATTCAATACATCACTAAATAACAGATGGTGCGCAGTAAAAGAACGCACTTGACTAAGTGCTTTATCTCACTCGCACCCGCTTGAACAGTTGTTACCTCGCGCTCGCACAGTGGACTTTCAATGTGTCTGGCAAGATGTAAAAACCACAAAAACTGTCCGGCTATTGAGGTAACATCTTTTTATAGGTCCCCAAGTAACATATATAAAATTGAGCTTTTATATTTAATAACGAAAGTATAATTGTAATTTATCAAAGTTTAGGGGTGTCTGGCAAGGGGTAGCAACTGTCATAAGTGTCCGGCAATGGATGACGAGATTTCTATAGTTATCCCGAAAAAAATATAAAAAAAATTGAGCATTATGCTCTAACAAATTTTAAGTACTATTTTATACACCTTTACTACCTGTTACCTGCCCAGGTAACCAAAACCCAAACTCTATAGTCGCTGGTCGTTCTTACCTGTATAGGAGACATGTACAGAGAAAATTTCAACTTTTAAAATAACAAAGGTCTGGCCGTCGTGGGCTCTTGGGCCATATGGCTTGTGTTTAAACTTTCATCGACTGGATACAGACGGGGCCTGACCATTGTCCTCTTTCATAACAAAAAGTTAGTCCTTTTTTATCGGATTATACATACTTGTATTGGTAACGACATTGTATATATTTTTTTTTTCATATCTATAGTAATATTATTCGACCGAAGATTTTTTGTTGTTGTGTGGGATGTAAATAAGCTATTCGATGTTTATAAACCTAGTACATTTATTTTTTAATTCCTTATTTAAAATAAATAACAAACACAGTTTTTGGGTCTCAAATCTTCACAATGTTACTAGACGGCGATCGGCCGAGTGTTGTAAGCCTGTTCTCGAATTAACAGACTTGGTATCGTGCAAAAAACTCTAATTATTTACGAGATCCACTTCCAAATGAACAACATAGCGAGTGTTGTAATCACACTGAAACGGTTAGAGAATGCCCCGTTGTCCTGGGGTATTTCGCTGGGAAACGCTCGAACAAACACGTCCCAGAAGGTCATTCGGTCGTGGAAAGGCCTCAGGCTCGGCACTAGGTTGGTTCCAATATCTAGATAATGGAGCTGGTCTTTCGTGGCCTCTGGCCAGATCACGGGGAGCAGTGGCGTGACTGCCGGTGTAGGGTTTCTGGAAGGAGAATATATCTCTAGTTTAAGCAGTTACAAGTTTTTACCTATGGATGCGTTAACTTGGAAAAATGCTTTCGTGTGTCTACATTGTTTGAATGTCCTGTTAAATTTGACGTTGCTGTTACATCTATGTTATATTTGAAACAGTGTCAAAATTGTTAAGTGATACATAAAAACATATATTCATAGGCTGCACAAATTATTAACTTCGCTGACACATAATCCAACGAACCCACCCAAACTTGACGAAGTTAGCCCACAGCATCGTGACCCTGTCGACAGTCACCAAATCGGCAGCGCTCCCCAAACCGGACAGTGGCTGCATATCGAACACGTAACCCAGTTCGTCGGCGTGGGCCGCCCCACCCTCGGTGACGTTCATGCGGACCTTCACCATATTCCTTCCACCGGTGTACGAAAAGATATAGTGGTAGGTCTTGAACAAACGATGATATTAGGAAGATAAGCCTTAAGAATAAACGCTAACCTTAGCCCAGCCAATAAGTTCCGTGTTTGCAACTTAGGGTTTTAATACAAACTATATTTCTATTTAATTTAATTTGCTAAGGAGTTCAGAAAATAGATTTTCGTGACACGGAAACGATTACCGCCGTCCACACAAGTTTATTTTAATTCGATAAAATGTGTAATCTAAGTTGATCTGTCGACGGTTCCGGAATGTTTATAAATGCACGTTATATCGGAATATTTCGAATAAGCAAAAAATGGGTCGACAACACATCTGAATTAGTTTAGAAGTGCATTAGGATCGGAGCTTTTTACGCGATATGTCTATGACTGTTGAAAATGCAGACCTTGGATCCTGTGAGTAGGAATCTATCCAGGCTCCTGTGTGATGGATGGTTAAACATCTGATCTGAGTTGAAGTCTATGAGATTCCACCTAAGGTCAGCGGTGATGTTCACGTCCCCGATGTAGAAGCGACGAACGGAGTTGTATACGCTGTCCATCTGTCATTAAACAGCCATTCGCATCTATCACTATTAATTTATCTAATTAATCATTTGAAACACCTTATATCGAATCTATTGTCGTCTCAACCAAGAAGTTCTTCTTTAATTACTTTTCTTTTTTATCATTGAGTAACCGAGGGAAAGCCATCTGAGCTAGAGTTACAAATTTCACAAATTATGTATTCAGGTGCCGATGTAAAACTTACAACTTAGTTGTATTCTTACTTTGATAAAAAACAATCTCCATGCACTCAGTTTTATGTCGATATGAATAGGGGTTTCAGATAAACAAACAAACCTGGTCTTCTGGGTAACCTCGCGCGAAGTTCATGAACGGATCCAAATTTGGAAAAGCGTCTTCGGGGGTATTGATAAACGACATGAGCATCTCTTGGTCGTTATAACCGGTGATGATGGAAATGTTCTCCGCCTTGGGGAGAGTGGTCATCGTGAATGGGTGCGTGTGGAGGAAGCCTTCGACGGAACTGAAACGACGCTCCACGCAGCCCGTGAATCGGTTGGGGACGAAGCTGGATTCCTGCACCACTCTGATCGGGTCTACGGTCTTGAGGTGGGCGAGCGCATCTCTCACGTTGTCGGTCTGCAGACCTAACCTCGCTGCGAGGTTGATGGGTCCATTGTTGTCGATCTGGCCGATTGTCCATCCGCCATAGATGGCGCCACTACGAATTTAAAACATACAAACCGTCCTAATCGAATTGTATTATATTCAATACATATTTTTCTTTTAAGTATTCTGTGAAACCGCTTGCTGCATTTTAAATAATGAAGAAGCTGTTTATTGTGAACGGATATTTTTTTTAGAAAACCACTGATAAAATGATATTTTACACTCTGAATGTCTATGATTGTACGGAGAGAACAAATGTCTAAATTAGGGAAGTAATATTATTTCTATAAAATTATAACAGCATTACGATAAATGTCTCGCACATTCAAGGTTAGTAACCTTGCCTGATGGTACCACGAACTTGTCGTATCTACCTGAATATATCTACATTACCAGACCTTGACAGTATGGCCTGCTGGAAAAGCACTTCGTTCTCTGAGGCCATGTGAAACTCTGCTGACGCTGCGCCAGCGCTCTCGCCGTAAATTGTGACCTTGCTCGGGTCCCCGCCAAATGCTCCTATGTTCTCCCTGATCCAGCGCAGCGCTAGAGTTTGATCCTTAAAACCTTTAAGAGATATTGAATGCCTTAACGTGTTAATTTTATTAAGGTATACTCTATTTCTACTGCTTAGTTCAGAAGGAATTGCACTCTACCTTGGTTGCCGGACACTTCGGGTACATCCAAGCACATGAATCCGTACGGGCCCAACCGATAGTTGATAGTGACAACAATAATGTCATGTCTCACTAAATACTTCGGACCATACAGCACTTTCCCACCGTAGCCGTTCTGAAAGCCTCCACCGTGGATCCAAGCGAGTACCGGCAACCTCCGTTGGTTAGTTGGGCCCGGGGCTGGGGCATTAGGAACGTACACGTTCACATTGAGACAATCTATGGTCCCGCGGAACTCATTTGAGAGTTCCTCGCGTTGAGGACAGATAGCACTGTCGTTGTTGGCTTGAAATACTTCGGTGAAGTCGGGGTAGGGTTCCGACGCCTAGAATAAAAGAATTTCATTTATGAAACAGTTCTATATACAAAATAATCAAGGGCAAATGGCAGACATTATTTTCTTTTTTGCGTTTGACGTAATTAAAATTAAAACTTACCCCGAAAGGGTTCTCGTGGTCAACCCTAGCGAAGGGTATCCCCAAAAACATCGCGTAATTCCCATCGTCAGCCGCTAACCCCCTGATCTGACCTAGTGGTGTCTGCACTAGCAGCGGATCAGCCTCGAGACCTCGTACCACCAACACTAACAGCAGGAACGACAGCATATTGTCCTAATACCGGTGACGCTGATAATCAGCTTTTTATATTAAAGATTACATGCGGCAAGCCCTGCTCCGCAGTTGATTAGATATCAGCAGTAGTCTAAATTACTCAAAATTAGCGAGTGAGTCCCACACATGCTAAACAAATTGATTTAATTAAAAATATATTAGGATAAAAAAAAGTAGAATTTCAATTTATATATTGCCATCGCGTGAAAAATATTAAAGTTTTCAAGCGTTATGATCTGTATTTTCACCTTTAACACTTAACGAGATTACAAAATAAGAGGGACAAAATTTAAAGAAACAGTCTCTTATAGATACGATTCAGTTCTGTGCATTTCTTGGCTTACTACTAGTAATGAGTACAGCAGCTATTAATAAGGATTTCGTTATTTGAACGTTATTAATTTGTATATCAGTAGATCAGCGATTAGCTACTTACGGACATTAATTTCACATTCATCACGATAAAGATAAAAATGGCCGAAAACAATTATCACGTAATAACTGTTTTTATTTTTGTGCTTAAGTGCTACTGAATGCCGCGGCTTTGTTGGTACAAGTGGCATTATCTGTGTACATTACGTATTCGTATAACTATGCTAAAATACATACGAGCAGACCATGCTTTGCCCGGCTTAACAAAAAACACCTTTGCAATTAAAATTCCCTTCTCCATACAACCTTTTTTTCCTCTGGTCAGACCATTTTTTAGTATTTCTTTATTGAATATAATTAACATCACTATTAAAGCACAATCAACTTTATTTACCTAATAACGAGGTATAAAATTCTTAAATCGGCCAAGATGAGACAGCAAGACTTACAATATTAGACACCTAAACAATCTACTGAGTCAAGCTTAATTAATGTAATTAACTGTTCTACCAAATGTGTTCGAATTTTTAAACGAAAGAACTATAGCATTTCAACTTATCGCGTGATCACAAAAAATTAATTCTTCACGTAGCCTTTGACCGCCTGCAGATTGAGTGAATAGAAAAGATCCCAGAACGCCATCCTGTCGGAGAAGGCTCTCGCCCCAATAGTCATCTCCTTGTCGATTTTCAAGTAATGTAAGGTATCCTTTGTCGCCTTGGGCCACGCGATGGGTAGGAGGTCGCTCGCTTCTGGAGTAGGGTTTCTGAAATGTTCGGCGTATTCAGCAAACTTAACTCTTCTTCACAAATTCTTTTAACAAAAATTATTCAAGATATAAAAATATTAAGGATGCTTCTCTATCTTAAATCAGCTTCTCTAGGTTTTAATTACTATGTATCTCGTACTGTAGTATTCGTAGTAAGCTTACCCGTGTTTAACGAAATTCGTCCACATGGTCGTTACTCTGTCCACGATGATTTGATCGTCTTCATTGACGTTCTTGTCGAGCGTCGTCATATCGAAGAAGTATCCCAGCTCGTCGGCGTGGGCCGCGCCGCCTTCGGTCACGTTGTGTCGCTTTTTAACGAAGTTCCTCTCGCCCGTGTATGCGAACATGTATTGGTAAACATTCGCTCCGCTGTCGATGAACCTCTCGAGACTGCGTTGCACGGGGTGGTTGAATCTCATGTCGGAACTCAGGTTGATGAGTTTCCATTTCACATCGGGGCTTATAGCGCTGTCGCCTATAAAAAACAATTGGATAACATTCAAATACAAAGCATTGTTATTTATTACATACTTTTGGCACTGCTTATGTATACCGTGTTTATCACGCCTTACATGATAGCTGTGTAGATATGGAAAAGGAAATGAAATAGCACATAAATACAAAGAGCAAAAAAATCTTAGGGGTTTTTAGGTTTCAAGAAAATTATTATCTCACTAATCATTTATTATGCCCGGCGTGAACCTGGTAAGGTCTACAAAGGCTGTAACCAGACACGCTCCACTTAACGATTAAATCTTAAATAAACGTATAAGAAAGATAAGTACCTATATAAAAGTGGCGCAACACATCGGTCGCCTTTAAGCCCTCATTAAATACCAGCCCTAATAACGTTTTGAAGGGATCCTCTTCGTAATCTTCGGCCGCCTTATTCAGGTACTTTAACAGATCTTCTTGACTGTTGAATCCGGTCAGTATTGGCATGCCATTTAGTCCGCTTATAGTGTCGATGTTAACCGGATGCACGGGAAGGAAATTATCCACGCCATCGAATTGTTTCTCCACGCACGCCTTCAAGTAGAGGTCGATTTCGTTAGCGGCCGCTATGAGGAGTTTAGGATCTACAGTTTTTAAGAATGCTAACGCGTCGTTCATATCGTCGGTTTGGTATCCCAATTTTGTGGCCAAACGAGCGGGTGCGGTGCTGTCGGACTCTGTCATCACCCAGGTTCCGAACACAGAACCGCTATGCAGTATCGCCTGGTGGAAGAGGTTTTGATGATGAGATAGGAGGTGGAACTCGACCGAGGCGGCGCCGGCGCTCTCCCCGAAGATTGTAATCCGGTTGCTATTGCCTGGAAAGCAACTTAAACAGATCTAAAACGCAGTACTATATTTTTAATTACAGAACTCAATGTTTAACATACTACAATGATTCCCACTTTTTCTAAGTAATATATTATGTTAAAACACCAGACGTCGGTATTAGATAATACAGTTCATACAAAGCCTTGAAGAATTGAATGCGAACACATAATTAATAGAACGGAATTTTTGTCATGCTATTGTAGCACTATATATATTTCCATTCAGAAAGGCATTTCTTTATCACGCACCTCCAAAATATTCGATGTTGTCCTTAATCCACTGTAAGGCGAGCACCTGGTCTTTCAAGCCCTGGTTCCCGGCGACCTCCGGGGTGTCCAGACACATGAACCCGTACGGACCGAGTCTGTAGTTCACTGTCACAAGTATCACGTCGTGACGAACGATGAATTTAGGGCCGTAGAGGTATCTCCCTGCGAAACCGATGCGAAAGCCACCTCCATATATCCAAACGAGGACCGGGAGCTGATTCCTGGACGTGGCAGAGTTCGGGACGTAGATGTTGAGATGGAGGCAGTCCAGATCGCCAACTACGGTGTTGTTGAACTCTTCGATCTGTGGACATATGGCTGAGTCGTTTGACGCCACAAAGGTCCCGTTGAATTTTACGTACGGTTGGGATAGCTAAAAAAGTTAAAACAATTTATTCCACAAAAAAGGAAATCATTTTAATATTCATTTGGATAATGCTGTTACCCCGAAAGGATTGTTCTCGTCGACCTTCCCGTACGGCACGCCCAGAAACATGGAGTAGTCGCCATCGTCAGCTCGCAGACCCTTGATCAGGCCTGCCTTCGTATCGACCAGTGGGTCCAGACGCAATTGGCAGAGCGCCGCAGGGATCAAAACGAGTATCCACTTTAAGGGCATGGTGGATTGTGAAAGATGTAATTCGGTATATTGAGATGATCTTATCGGATCTACTTTAATCTTTATTTTGATAACTCTGGTATGAGTTGATTTTTGGTGTCCTCCGTTCTATATAAACGCACTAGCTGCGTCCCGCGGTGATACCTAAGATAATTCTGAAAGCCGTTAAAGGTGAACAGAATAAGCTATTTCAAGTCAACCATTCTTAAAGAATGGACAAATGAAGAAGTCACAGCGATGTTAACATTACTGCTAAATAAATTACTTAACGCTTCATAACTAAAACCTGACTACGCACGAGATATAGGTTTTTACATTTCTATATTGAACTGACTGGTCCCGTGATTCTGAATTTTTCTCGCTAAATTCGATGTGTATTGATAATTTTAAATGTAAGTTGCATCAAGGCTTATCAAGACATCGATAAACCGTCTTTGCTAGTTGATAGCGTGTTTTTAGAGTAGTATGTTCCCGTGATCCATTTATTTATTAGTTTATTCAGGAGCTGTTGTACTTTAAATGTACAGTCCAATTTGCCTCCACTTACCATTACGCCACTGTTTTTTTATTAGATAACGCTGACTAGCATGGCATTCAGACCTAATACACCCGAAAAAGATAAACCGCATTGATTCTGAATGTGGTCGTCTTAATTTCCTACTCAACGCGTGTTCCCAAGGTCACGCGTAACTTTCGTCTAAAGCCTAAATAAGCAGTCAAGGCATCTTCATCCACCTCTGTTATAAAAAAAAATAGCCATTCCATCAATCGTGGTTAAGCCGTTTTTTCGTATTTCGAAAAATACAACATGCTAATTTGATTAATTGCTAGACGAGAAGGTATATTTAGACTTAGACGTTAAAACTGTCCATCGGTGTGGCCTTGACCGGTTCGTTAAAGAGGTAAACAGTGGTTTTAGGGTTTCGCATGCGGCAACAGGAGACCTTGCTCGAAACTGTTTCATAATTCTCATAATACTCTTTTGCCAATTTGTGGATCCCGATGGAGGTGGACAGACAAGTAAGGGGTTTACTTTATGGGAGGTGAAATGTCCCAACCATATTATATAATACAAGATGCGCTGTCGACCTATATTGGCTTTGGATATTCGGAAATCCACAGACTGAAACCGCAACGCGATTAATCTTCACGGCCTTTTCACCTGTGGACGGCGGTCGCGACCCGGACCCGGACATAAAATTACGATATTCCTACCGCTCATTTAATATCCAGATTTCCAGAAGAATGCTGGACTTCGTTTCAGCAAAATTAGGAAAATGTTGGACCCGGTGGGGACCAAACCTATTATATTACTATTATTCGACCAACGAGCCCGTCACGACAGCTGACTTAATAAGAAATTCCTCGCTTTACGACATTAGACTTTAGTATCAACAAATACACGCCAACCCGCCCATCCAAACCCGCGGAACCCCACGCGCTCGAGGCTTGACCGATTTTTGTAGTGTCGACTGGTGACCCGACCTCGCCCGCGTCGTCCTCGACTTTTGTGTTACAACACACATTCTTCGGATTATTGGGTGTTTATCGGCTTATAATAACTTATTTATATTTATAGTGAAACGTTTATGATCTATTGGTTCTGCATTACTCACTTCGATGAATTCTATAATTGTATAGGGCTAAGGCAGAAATAATAAAAACTCTTTCACAATATTTTTTAACACAAAGTCTGTTTTTACAGACACAGTCTTTGTACGCGAACTCCTACATATGACTGTACCGATTTTATTAAAACTTTGTATTTAAATTGAGGCAGTTTACCCTCGTATCGATCTTTTTTTGCCTTTCACTTGTATACTACATTCTCACACACTCGCAATAAAGTAGTTTAGTATTTTTATCTACTAAAACCCGGGTCGAGTCGGCTAGTATTAAGCCCGTACTATATGGAGTCTGAGAAATCATCATGGAATACCACTGTCCGGAATCACAAGCCGAAATACCGAAAAATATAAAGGACGTGTGATCACCCTTGCCCTACTTGCCTATGTTACTATCGTATCGTAGCAGGTCCGATTTTCAATAGTGGACACCCTTGTTAACCATCATTAACCGAATGACACTCTCCTTTCCAGTGATGTCCAAGTTCGCCGTACGCGTAGACGCAGCGGTCTCGGCGCTGGGCAGCGGCGGCGGCGGCGGTCTGGACGAAAACGACTTCATAGACGCGTCCCGTCTGGTCTACGACGCCGTCCGAGAGATCAGACGCGCGGTGCTCATGAACCGGGTGAGTGAAGAAGGTCACGTCGACAGGTTTATTACTTACACCGGGTATCGAATATTTCAGACCAGCTTACGCGCATACGCATATTTATTATTTTAAGGTCGATTGCAATCAAATCAATTAGGACCAATGAGACGCGCTCACGCGTTCAATTTTACTTGATAATTTTAAGAATAAACGGTGTAACTTGGATAACATATATATGGAGAAATTTCTGTGATTGATGATGTCAAATTGCGTCTAGGACGAGGAAGACTTAGATCCCGAAGATGTGGAACTAGACGAGCAGTACACGCTCGAGACTAGAAGCAAATGTGAGAGAAATATACCCGCCTCTTTCTTACGTATTCGTAACGCATTTGTTCGTCTTTGTCTTGTACGAGTGCCGTCCATACGTTGCTGCTGGGTGATAGTGTCTCGTGTCTAGTTGCATGTCTTTCTAGGGTACAAGGCGATTGACTTTATCTAGATACGGTTGGAACTTTGATACAGTTGACATGCGAGGACGATGGAGCAAAAGCATTACAAATGACATGCCTTAAAAATCTACACAAGTACTACTTTTTAAATACGATACTTATAGCCAGATAACACATTATTATGTACGTTATACCCAAATTCATAAAATTTTTCTCATTCTATTCTTTGATCATGGTCCTTAAAAACTTAGATATTTAAAAATATGTTGCTTCGCAATATCTACAGGTTCTCATGGATCTGAGAATATTGAAATCGTAGCAGTTTTGTAGCATTTTCCTACGGTGTGCATTGACCGACGAACGAAACGAACGAAAGTACTGATGTCGTCCAACTGTGACCGACACGGACTAAACGGAAAAGCCATTTTTTGCTTGGCAGTTCTAACGCTATGTAACTCATGTATAGGTATCTGCGTAGTCGCACTATGTCAAAGTTCCACAGTACTTATTTGCGCCATGCTCCGCATGACACACGTTTTTGTTATCGTGCTATTAATTTTTTGTTGTTTGATTCGATCAGAAATATGAATCTCTTTATAATCTTTGTTTACTCGGCTGTATGGTCTTAACAATAATGTCTTAATAGTTCCTTCTTAAGAATATCATATTTCTGATCAGTGTTTTTTATTAAACTAAGGATTTCTCTGCAAGCATTTGTTTATTAAACGGTTAAATTTGTGACTTTGATTTACGGTTATATTTTTCTTAACGATCGGAAAATAAACTCACAAACCTTAATAACTGTGTATTATTAAAACTAGTTTACGCCAGCGCCCTCTCTTGACACTTTTTAAGAATCACTTTTATTCAAATGCTTCACTGAAGAGACCATTGGTTTATGCGCAAGCATGTAATTGTATTGTGTACGTGGTTGTTTGCATGTGTGTTGTTCAGACGAGCGACGACCTCGATACCGATACGGAGTTCGAGCCCGTGGAAGACATGACCATGGAGACGAGGAGCCGATGTGAGTACCCAGTACAAAAGAACAGACCCTAACTTATATTCAAAACTAAAAGCGATTACTTAGTTAGTTTCAAATTTAACAGAACCCCACATAATTATTTTTCCTCGTACAGTCCTTCGAGCCGGAAAAACAGGGAATTGTGTGCATGATCTAGCATTATGATGATAGACCCCCGCCTTAATGTTATTGTTTGAAATGTTTCAGCGAGCGCGCACACAGGAGAGCACGGCGTGGATGAATATCCTGATATCAGCGGTATCACAAATGCCAGGGTAAGTTTCCATCGCTTGTTACCGACAGACGGTATTAACATAATATAAATGCAAATAAAGTTACCTTTTTTTTAACACCACAGGGACCTTTAGTCACTGACAAAACATAGTTAAGGCTTTCTTACAATAAATTAGAAAATCCATATTACTTAAGAAGGTCCAACCTGGGCTCTTGTCTTCGAGTGATCGTTTTGAGTCACCACATAATATGTCTTCGTCGTAAAACGTAATTTTTAGGAGGCCATGCGCAAGATGACCGAGGAGGACAAGCGCAAGATCCTGCAGCAGGTGGAGCTGTTCAGGCGAGAGAAGATGACGTTCGACAACGAGGTGGCCAAGTGGGACGACGCGGGCAACGACATCATCATGCTGGCCAAGCACATGTGCATGATCATGCTCGAGATGACGGACTTCACTAGGTATTCGATTGGAACAACTTTTACAATTGGCTTCGAATCCCACCCCTCTTGATGATGCGCTGAATATGTAAGTGAGCAGTCTCTGCCATATGTTGACGGGCTCGTTGGTATCATGGTACCAATGTGCGGTTAATAATCAACGGGTCGTGGGTTCGACCCCCACCGGATCCAACAGTTTTCTAAACAATTCATAATTTTCTGGAAACATATTGGACTTCGTCTGGAAATCTGGATATTAAATGAGTATTGTAGGTAGGAATATTGTAATTCAGTCCGGGTCACGATCCACCGCGTTTCGGTTAAATATCCAAAGCCAATATAGGTCGATAGCGCACGTTGTGTAGGCTTTATATGGTTACATCTACATCGTGAGAACTCCATGCTTGTCTGTCCTCCTCTATCAATATGAAAAATCGAAAAGCAATGAATTAGACGCACCACGAAACGTTTCAGAGGCCGAGGCCCGCTCAAGACCACGATGGACGTTATCAACGCGGCCAAGAAGATCTCGGAGGCCGGCACCAAACTGGACAAGTTGACCAGAGAGATCGCTGAACAGGTGAGGCGCAACGACCGTTTATCACGACTCACTTCATTGATTTCAAAACAAATTTAAACTATTAACCGTCAACAGTGCCCGGAGTCGTCGACGAAGCAGGATCTACTCGCGTATCTGCAGCGAATTGCGCTGTACTGCCACCAGATCCAAATAACGAGCAAGGTGAAGGCGGACGTCCAGAACATCTCCGGAGAGCTGATAGTCAGCGGGGTGAGTTCTCGCTGACTTCCTGGCCTTGACTTGAAAGCCGTTTCAATTGTATGTACGAACGTAAATTCCCCGCAGCTCGACAGCGCCACGTCTCTCATTCAAGCGGCGAAGAACCTGATGAATGCGGTCGTCTTAACCGTGAAAGCCTCCTACGTAGCCTCCACGAAGTACACGCGGCAGGGGACGATCGCTGTAAGTGTTTTTCGTTGATTTTGAGGAAGTTTTGCACGGCGATTGAACGCTTCTCAGTGCGACAAAAGGTGCTAATTTTAACTTTTGCTCGCTTGCACGCTGAAAAGGCAAATTACGTAAGTTTATTAATATATATGTACTATGTATTTCTATATTGCAGTACATAATTTTGTAATCTGTGTGATATTTGAGTAAATAGATGTCACGAGTACTTTCCCTGTGTCCTATATATGCTTATTACTCAGTTCTCTCTCTTACTCGTTAGTGGTAAAGATTGGGATTAGGGACATTTAGTTTACGTTTGATGGTAAAGTAAGCGCCTTATTTTAGCTCTTCGTATATATTTATGGTATGCGTTGCTAAAAGTAACTTTGTTTTATCTTTACTGCAATTTTGGCATGATTTAACTTCATTCGCTTTACTTATTCTAATCTTGTCTTATATTTCGTGTGCGCATGTTCTTATCAACTATTCTTTCTATTTTTAAACTTCTTTCGACTAAATTATTGAATATCAGAAGCGGATCTCACCGTATTATATATGACTCGCAGTCCCCCATCGTGGTGTGGCGCATGAAGGCGCCGGAGAAGAAGCCCCTGATCCGGCCGGAGAAGCCCGAGGAGGTGAGGGCGAAGGTCCGCCGCGGCAGCCAGAAAAAGCAGCCGAGCCCCATACACGCGCTCGCAGAGTTCCAGAGCCCCGCAGACAGTGTCTGAACGTGAGTGCTTTCCTTTTCTTTCCTTGATTCTCTTCTTTTTTATTTCTTCTCCTCTTTCCCATCCACTGAATTGTATTCGTGGAGTGAAATAGCTCCACAAAAAACGAAAGTCAAAGTGAGGTCTCAATTTTGTCTATCTTTGCTAATATCTCTTTTTTTTTGCAATTTCAGAACGGAAACGAAACGCAGCGAAATTATTTATTGAATTAGATTTAAATCTACATAATCTTATTAACTGTGCAATTGTACTCCGTATATTCATAATATGAAAATGTAATCAGACAATAGCTAATGCGATAATGCTGACGGTATATCAAATTCTGCCATTTCGACAAACGATAGGCCTATAACACATTATCGGAGCAAACATTTTGAAATTTCCCGTTTTAGTATTATATAATGAAATGTACCTTTGGAATGGAAGAATAATATAATTCGGTATGACTTTTGATATCGTGCTTTGCACTGTCACGCTGGTGATAGGTAAAAGGAGTTTCTTGTAACTTGTGTGACGTTGCAACATTACTGGTCTCTCTTCTAGGTTCTGGCAACAAACATTGTTGCCAGTTGCGAGCTCCTAGGCGAAGCCAACACTCGGGTTATTAGAATACTCGCTTTCAAAATCTTACTGTCTTTAAAGTTTCATTCCGATATATATTTTAAAATTTTCCATCAACTACAAGATGTCACACCATATTATATTGTTATTCGAATTTGCTTCGTGTTATAGATAGTTTTCTCTAAGAAAATATTATCGGAAACAATAAGTTAAGCCAAATTTTCATAGTATCTTAATCGTGCCGGTTGATGGGAGTGAAAAATCATATTCTATGTAGTAATCAAAAGAAAATCAAATCGAAATCACCAATGTGTGTTGTTTACGCGAGTACTTTAAATAATACAGTTTTAACGGTTTAAAACGGCAAATTAGTTAAAATATTTTAACTACGGCGAGACGTTCTGGATGTGGCAGTTATTAAGATATTTTGCGTTTTAAACCGGTCAGTGTCTTATTAAACTACCAGTCGTAGAAAGAACGAGAACCGCTAAACTCTCTCGCAGAGACAATTATGATTTTTCACTTTATCAAGGTTTAGTTTAGATAACTTTAAGACTTTTTGTAGATTTATTAAATTATAACCTCGTAACGAGTTAATAAAATCGGTGTCGTTTTGTAAGAGGCTTGCAGACAAACAAGCTCAAACGTGAATCTGGTGATCGGCAGTTTCAAAGTTAATACACCATCAAGGGTTCGATCTCCTCGGTACATAATTCCATGCAATGCAAGGTAACACCGCCTCTTTGCAAAGCGACTCTTGGTCCTCTGGCACAAACAGAGGCCGTACGCTATTGTGCCATGGCTTTTTACACTTTTTCAAGTTTCTCACAATAACGTCATTGAAGAGGAGTTATCGAAACATATATTTATAAGTAAGGAGCTCACTGTTCGAAGTATTTCGTTTTAAAAGTATTAGAAACGGGTGACGTTGGCTATTCAAAATATTGTGAATGATTTATTCCCTAACTATGGTTTTTTAATTTTCCTATAGCTAATAATAAAATAGGATCTTCCTGTCACACATTCTATTGTAATCGTAGCCATTCCGTGTCTTTCCCTTTCACTCATAGGTCATTGTAATTTGCAGGAAAGAGTGAGCGACAGTAAGCGACACCATTTTCAATAGCCAATGAACCCCGAATGTATTGTTTAAGTGATATTTAATACGCTTTAGTAATAAACTTGATATTGTAACGATTTTGTATCCTCTTGTAGTATGAAAAATAAATTCTGTAAAAGTGTCAAGTTTTATTAGATCCATTGTGTGCGATGATATAATACTTTTTATTTATTCCCATTTAGCTCACTTGAAGGGTCACGAGGATGGTGGCCGGTTTGAAGATGCTATATGTGGCAAGTGGAATGGGGATAAACATTTTTCTCTTTATAGCTCACTCGATCCCGACCATTGAAGTGAACTTAACAGGGATACATTGGCATAGCCGAACATACATATTAAGCTGAATGGTTTACAACTTGTCATTATCATTGTCGATGCGTTGCAGTGCCAAGTCTCAGTAACGTAGAAAACTCCCACCAGCTTATTCTTTGTAGCAGTTGTAGTTTGTTTCAGTTAAGGCATGTATTCGCTCAATTACTATTATTGAAATTTGCTGAAAAGAGTTTTCGCTGAATTTGCTTAATATACTTTTATTATACTTTAAATGCTATTCACAGCCAAACATACAAAGATACATTTAGGTCCAGCCATTAATGAAGTTAAATCTAAGGCAGATCTTGCTCAGGACCTGTTCAGCGCTACTTTCTACTTTAATATTTAGAATCATCTCTCGGTATAATACAATAAGTCAGTCGACCCTTATTCTCTTACTAGTAGTTTCTAACGATTCGTCTTCTTCCAAGTTACGTTTAGAAACCCTATTATTATTTTCACTCCTCTTCCCCACTCCTTTCCCTTTTTTCGTAACTTTTTTGTAATATTCTTCTATTTTGTGGCTATCGTCGCCGTTGAGCGGTTCTAGAATAATCGATTCATCTAGTTCTCTGTTTTTAGGCGGCGAGTGGGTTACATTGTAGTCGATTACTTCGTAAACTTGACTCTCTATATCTTCATTGATCTCACCTTTGGAGTTTTCGTTGCGTAGCGTGTTCTTACTAGTAGCGTCTGTTTCACTCATATCAATTAGCTCACTTTCGGCGTTTACAAACCCACTTTGTTCGCCATTATCTGCCATTTCCGGGATCTCGTCGTATACCTGACTCTCCATCCTTTCTTTTTCCACTCCTTCATTAGCTCCATTCATGTTATTCTCCTTTGAACTGTCTTCGTCGTCCGAATACACGACTCTGCGTTTCGGTTTGGATTTTGAGGTGCTCGCTGTGAAAATATTAACAAAATGTTTATAGGAGACTCCTTGGCTGTTAATAAATCAGACTCTACCATATAACATGATAATAAACATATTATTCAAGAATCATGCTAATGACCAGTCTTACTTATAAATACTTTTTTAATCAGTTAAAGAAATGTATTTATGGCATCATACCATCCTCCGGATCGATTATATTCTTTGGTTTAGCATACACAAATGTAGTTATTGGTTTCTGCCATTTTGGTGTTTCTCGTGGGCACACCGGGTTCCCACCGGAATAACTTCGAGATGATTTTTCAACACCTGAAAAATAATTATTAAGTTTGCAAACTTGTATACAGCATTAAGAACTTTTTGAAGATATTCCTAAATCACAGATTTGTTCATTAATTTCTGTGACACACTTGATTATTTTCATACAGGTTTGATGCACAATTTAAATTATTTAGGCAGCGTGTATCATAATAATTTGAGATGTATTTAATATTTTCTTTTTTAGTTTTTACAACACAGCCTTAGGTGCCCAAATACATGGACTACCTACCACAAAATATTACTATAAATAGATGGCTTTCATGTGCTCTGATACTTGTTCTAGGTAAGTGTCAGTCGTCTCCTAGGGAATGTGAAACATGCAATTATGTACAGATGTTAACTTTACAACCGCCTCTGTAGCCAAATGGTTAAAAGTATTGCGTTGTGCATAAGAGGTCCTGGGTTCGAATCCCAGGGAAACAAAAAAAAAGTTGTTCCGGTAGGCCAGGCCTGTTAAAAAGAACTGATCAGTAAAATGGACACAGAAATGTGTTCGCCCCATGAGGGGAAAACGGGATTTCACTCTTTTTAACTTTACAAAAGTTATTGTTAAAGAGATCCATGCATTACTTTCAGACATTAGAGAGGAATATTTCTTTTTGTTATTCATTAAGTAAATTGTATTGATATCTACCTGAAGCGGCGCTAGGAGCCGGTGCTGCACTACATCTGGCTTTACTACATCTGGCTTTACTATTTTCCCTGAGGACACTGAAATGATAATTTTCATTGTATGCATATGTAAAGTTTTCAAAAGTTAAAGTTCTGAAATTTTTTCCGTTTAAAGATAGTTCACATTGTCTACAATTCTCGCTGAAACTTATATGATTGGCGATAGTGCTTCAAAAAATTAGAGGACAATTCTTTACACATATACCCGATCACCTGTACCTATATGTCCCTAAAGAATTCTACAAATGTGCATTTTGTATCGTGGAAAATTCTTAAAACTTACATTTGGCGCCAACCGAAGCTCTTGTTCTAGCCATTTTTGTAGGAATCTTCACAATCTATATATGGACTGAATGACCCCTTAGCAAGCGCAATACAACGATTATTTACAAACAAAGCAAACCATCAAACCTTTACTACACTTATCATCGATTACACCCTTTACTTATCTATTAAAAAAGTTCATAAACTTGCGAGGAAAGTTAGTGGCGCCAAATTCCCTTTTCACGTAATAGCAGATCACAGAGTATATATATTATATGATCGTTTTCAATATGGGCCTACTACAGAATACACATGCTCAAATGTCATAATTTGCAGTCTGACTTTACTTCGCCGTGACAAATGATGCAAAGTATTTGACAAAAGTTTGAGTGTATATACCTATAGCGTATTTATTATCTGTTGGATTTAAAGTTTTTTCTTTAAAATGGTGAACAGCCGTGTTATTTTGGCTTGGGTCGTAAACTAACTTTTTGATTTCGTTATATATATATATAATAGTTTACAGACACTTGCTCGCTCCTAATATAAATGTTGTAAGGGTAACGGTCAGCCCAAAAGAAGCAAATAAGTAAGTCTTTGAATGTGTTACTTCTACCGTTTGCTTTCTAAGTTTGGCGCCTTTTCATAATCTTTTCTACCTACCTACGTGCCATAACGCTGCGAGAGCTTTCTCACACCAATTAGCAAATTAGCAGAAATGCCGTTGTAGATACGCATGATATAATAGTCCAAGACTTTCAGAAGCCTTTAAGGTAAAATATATCTTGTCTGAAGTATACCTAAAGTCCAAATAGATTTTTGAGATAGCATACACGTTTGAAACGTTAAAAGTGCAATGAGACTGACGCATTAGTATAATTCAATAACAATGACTTTCTAAAACTTTCTGACATTAAAAACTCTGTTTAACATTAGAAGTAGATGTAACTCATGATCTTTCTCTTTGAAGCAAAAACACTTTCAAAACCTAAATTTAACCTTTGCTGGCCTGTCAGCATCTGTTAGGACTTAGATATTTATAGGATTATTAGGTTAGACCCTTACACATAATGCACAGAAAATAAATAAGATGTTATCTATCTTTTGTTATAGACAACAAATAAACAGGCTGACAAATAGTTCTAAAATCTATTATACTAGCTTTGAGCGCTTGTAAAAAGCTTTTAAATCATTTGGTTATGGACAAACCAAAAACTGGGCTGTTAGATAGCTCTTCAACTTATCATATTAGCTATCAGCGCTTTTAAAAGCCTTTAAATCATTTGGTTATGGACAAACCAAAAACTGGGCTGTTAGATAGCTCTTCAACTTATCATATTAGCTTTCAGCGCTTTTAAAAGCCTTTAAATCATTTGGTTATGGACAAACCAAAAACTGGGCTGTTAGATAGCTCTTCAACGTATCATATTAGCTTTCAGCGCTTTTAAAATCCTTTTGTTATAGACAAACCAAAAAATGAGCTGACAGATAGCTCTTCAACTTATTGTATTAGCTTTGAGCACTTTTGAAAACCTTTTTTTTTTTACGGAGAAAAAAAACAACTAGCATTGAGCACCTTCTGAACTCACATAACCTTTTGCTAGGGAGAAACAAATATATTGCCTGATGGTTAGGTCTAAAATTGATTTTAACTGCCTTAAAGCATATAACCATATTTTAAATCATTTTTTACGGATAACCATAAGAATGGCCTGACAGATAGCTCTTAAACTTGTTATATTAGCCTTGAAGCACCTTCTAAACTCACATAACCTTTTGCTAGGGAGAAACAAATATATTGCCTGATGGTTAGGTCTAAAATTGATTTTAACTGCCTTAAAGCATATAACCATATTTTAAATCATTTTTTACGGATAACCATAAGAATGGCCTGACAGATAGCTCTTAAACTTGTTATATTAGCCTTGAAGCACCTTCTAAACTCACATAACCTTTTGCTAGGGAGAAACAAATATATTGCCTGATGGTTAGGTCTAAAATTGATTTTAACTGCCTTAAAGCATATAACCATATTTTAAATCATTTTTTACGGATAACCATAAGAATGGCCTGACAGATAGCTCTTAAACTTAAATTATATTAGCCTTGAAGCACCTTCTGAACTCACATAACCTTTTGCTAGGGAGAAACAAATATATTGCCTGATGGTTAGGTCTAAAATTGATTTTAACTGCCTTAAAGCATATAACCATATTTTAAATCATTTTTTACGGATAACCATAAGAATGGCCTGACAGATAGCTCTTAAACTTGTTATATTAGCCTTGAAGCACTTTTTGAACTCACAAAACCTTTTGCTAGGGAGAAACAAATATATTGCCTGATGGTTAGGTCTAAAATTGATTTTAACTGCCTTAAAGCATATAACCATATTTTAAATCATTTTTTACGGATAACCATAAGAATGGCCTGACAGATAGCTCTTAAACTTGTTATATTAGCCTTGAAGCACCTTCTGAACTCACATAACCTTTTGCTAGGGAGAAACAAATATATGGGCTGACAGATAAGTTTAAGACAACTTTTTGTCTTAGGTTCAACTTTAAATATCCCAAATTCAAAAACTAAAAATGACATTTTACTATCATTAGTTGATTTTATAAATAAACATGAGTCTTTGGGGTTTAGGAACAAACACATTGCACAAATCTATAAAATGTCATTCCAAATGACCTGGCAATGTTACCAATTTACAATACTCCTGGCAAAACTATTAACTATTGGTCCATGGTACTGAATCCATGACTATTTACATCTTTAAAATGATGATTTCCAAAGGGAAAATATTTAGTTCATTAATTTGTCTTATAATTGGATTGTTTTGGATGCTTGACAGCATCTGTGATTGGGGTCGAAGTAAAAATGACAAGGGTGCTGCAGAACATCCCTGCGATTAGATGATAAGTGTTAGCAATATTTATAGAATTCTGTCGTTCAAAAATTTTTACAATAAAAGTAAGATCCCATAGGTTTAAAGATTGTACTAACAGTTTTGTTCTAAAGTTTGCATTTGTGAATGTGAGAATTGAAATGCATAGCATTTTTAAAGGTAACATGGACTGCAACATCGATATTGAAGAACACGACATCCTGGAGCATCCGATGGTGAAAATGAATGTACTCGTTTTGAAAACGGAGACTCTGCACGATGAAAGAGAAAGTATGTACTCGTTGTGTTGTATACTATTGTTGGGCTTCTATCCCAACCGGTGAAACGGGCCCATATTATTCAATCTCCTCTTTGCGTCTGTCCGAACGCCCATAGGGCTCGAATATTGAGTTTAACTCTTTAGTTACAGTGTATCGACATAATACACCAAGATCTTGTGCTGTTTTCATGGATTAAAAAAACCTTCATTCGCACACGAAAGATTTGTCTTTTTGTATTAATTAATTTAAAAAATTACTGTCTATTACAGAATCCGCCTTAGAAAAACCCAAACTAACACCCGACTTTCAAGAAATCGACACCAAGCCGATTATCCACAACAAAATCATCTTGGGCACTAAATGTCCCAACAAGATTATCTTAGGTAATTATGATGCAATGTAATGAAAATGCTTTTCTTTTTTTTTTATGAATTAAGAAAACTTTATAAATTTTTAATCTCACTTCGTTTACAATTTTTATTATACTCCGGCTGTTGTGGGCTCGGCGATGGCTAGCGTACTTTGCATGTTACGTCTCAAGAATTTCTTATTTTACTCTTAAAACGTTAGGTACTAGAGGAGTTCACTTTCCGTTGGTCTTCTGTGCCCCTTGGCCCTTCGTTCTGAATGGTAATTCAAAAAAAGCTGCAAAATTATTTACACTTGCGAACGTATGTTGCCTGCGCTACCAAAATTTACAGTAAATCAGTATGGCATAATTTTTTTTACACATATTTGTTTTTTTTTTGAGGTTACTTTAGTAAATAGTTAAAGTGACTATATAATATACAAAACGGTGAGTAAAAGCCTTTCTTCTTTCTAGGATCGCGACTGAAACCGAAAGAGAAAGACCCTTATTCCGTGCTAGTGTCCGTCATCGACTGGCGATACCTCCTCGATAGAAACCCACTCTTCTGCAAGGAGTGTGGAATTCTGTTCTCCACCCGCAACACGTACGACGCCCACAGAACGAGCGAGCACTCCCTCCTGGAGGTTAGAGGACGTGTGGACGTAGACACCCACTGTAGCGACACGGGTCCCCTGAAGTGCTACGTGTGCGGTTACGTGCTCAAAACCCGTCGTTTATATGACTCGCATATGGCAACCCAGCACAGTACCGATATAGAACCATCAGTCCGAGCAGACGGTCGACCGGCGCGCGTCTTACGATCGAAAAGCACCGTCGAGAAAGCGAACGTCGCCAAGAAGAGTACCGCCAAGCCCACGAGCCTGTACGAAGCGCTCAACATTGAGACGAGACTAGATCCTAGGCCTAAGAAGGTAGAGTACTTACGCTGTCCCGAATGCGGTTTGTACTTCAAGATGGTCGGGAGCTTCCTGGGTCACTGCGAACGGATACATAAAGTAGTACCCTCGATTGAGCGGGTCGATTTCGACGGCCGCTGCCGCTGTGGCTATAAGAACGACTGCTATGCTACGTTCAATCAGCACGTGTACGACAATCATATCTATCGACGGATACTGATGAATCCCGACGGCCCAAAGTCTCCGCCGGCAGAGCCGAGTTCTAATCGCACGAAACCGCTAACCTTACTGAAACCCTATAAGCCCAAGGAATCAGTGGTGATACCGAACACTACGATCTTCAAGTGTCCAAAGTGCAATGTCCACTTTCCATCTTGCCGGGTCGCTTACAACCACTTCGTGCGGTGCAGAAACCTCTTTACCGATAAGCAAACTTGTGGCCGATGCGACCTCACCTTCCGCAATTCCGACGTGAGAATTCACGAACTACAGCACCGGCTCAGCGATTCCATCACAATAATAGAACTCTCCAAGGAAATTTTCCACCGTATAGTGCTGGTTTGCGCCGATTGTCGGGTCGGCTTCACGGGTAAATTGAATCAATGTCATAAGAATTGTAACTCACCCGAGACTTTTAAGTGCGAAAGATGCAACTTGTATGTAGATCGGCAATCGCAAGCCAAACACGAGAAAATACATAGCAAAGGAGAGGATGCTACGATAGTGGAATTCGTGTGCCTTAGCGCCGAAGTTCTGTGCGGCTGGCGGGACAAGGATGTCCTCTACTATTGCACTATATGCGATTCCTACGATGTCATAGCCGATTTGGATTACCATAAAGATTTTTGTGTGCGAAACAAAACTTTGAGGTGTGAGTCTTGCGGACTTCGATTCAGCACAGCCGCGCACGCGCAACACGCGAGGGAGCACGATACGTTTGAGGTGGAAAAGTTAAGAATTTACGATATGCACACCAGAAAGACGATTAAAGCGAATACTACACCGGGTGTATCTAGATTGAAGAGACGCATGAGTAAGAAACACGATGTCGATGCATTTTCTACTTGTGCGGAGCGAGAACCCAAAATGCAAAAGTTATCCCAAAACGTCGCTACAGGCGTCAATATAAGTTCGGACATCATGCAAACGTACCTCGCCTCGCAGTCGCTCTGGAATATTTTATATCAATGCCAAGCGTGCGATGTTGTCTACGACAAGTACGACTTAGCCGTGGAGCACAGCCAGGACCACTTGATTCAGAGCGCTTTTGAGGCGCCCAGTGAAAGGTGCTCCAAATGCGAGTTCTTATATGACAAAAAGGTTCTCGAAAGGCATCTAGCATTACACAGCGGGGCGGAGATCGACCAGAGTTCGTTTCGTTTGCTGAAATTCGACTATATGAAGCTTTTAAACGACGCCTGGGATGATATGTTCGCAAGCATAGCGGACGTCCAGCGACGGCATATACTAGCGAAGAGCGTTTACGAGAAGGAGCGGGGCCTTCGCCTGGAGTTAAAATTCGATGGCCCCGCAGACAACACTAATTTCGTTTGCGCCAGCTGCGACGTCGTGGTGGACGTGGAAGATCTACGTATTCACGCGGGTTCTCACCGGGCGTGCGTAAAAGATACTAAATTCGCCTGTCCAAATTGCGAACTGTCATTCGCGTCGAACACCGCCCTCGCTCGCCACAAATCGTCGCCTCACGGCGCCAAGACGCGTATCATCGCCTTCAACAGGACAGACCATCACTGCGCTAACGTCGCACTGCTCAAAGCCTACGAAGACATCGAAGCCACGAGCGAGAATCGTGAAACCGATGGAGTACCTCTGTTCAAATGTTCTTTTTGTAATTTGGGATACCAGACATTAAAAGGGACACGGTATCACAAGTGCCCCGGAACCGGCGTGCCATGTCGACATTGCCGCGTGCTATTCACCAGGAAGACGATAAAGAATCACGAAGCGTTACATGAGGCGGGGCTACAAATTCGCTTAGTCACCTTTCAGAGTAAGAGAAATCCAGCGGCGAACGAAACGGCCGACCGCCAATGCCATAGCCGTCAGACCCCTGTCACGAGCGTCAAAGGACATTCGCGGACCGACAGAAGTCGTCACGATGAACGAAAACTTGGCGAGGACAGTTTTGCCGACGCAGAACGCGCCTCTCTCGAAGCGCGTAGGGATATCGTGTACAAGTGCGACTGTCGTCTTTTATTCATGTGTCGCGACAAGTTCCTGGAGCATCGCAGCGTGTGCGACAAAGACTTGTACGCCATCAAGTGCAAGTGCGGTCTCCGATTCCACAAGAATTCGTTGCAGGCGCACTTGAAGGCGCACGCCAATTGCGCATCCGTTAAGAGACACCTCGTCGCCACCGTAGAATTGGGCACGAGCGACACGCGAAACCCGAAACACTGGTTGTACGTTTGCGCCGTTTGCGGCACCCACTCCTCGACCGTCGAAGCTCTGAACTGCCGCTTGCACAAAAGGAAACCTACCGTGCAGCAATGCACGCTCTGTAGAGTGAATTTTCCGGCGGGGACGTCGAGACACCACGTGCGAATGCATCACAAGGAGCTGAAGCTAAACGTGAAGAACCTTCACAAGGTAGTGTTGAGCGCGATCGGCGTCGAGGACCTGAGGAATAATAGAAGCGTACCGCAGGCGAACGCGGCGGAACCTACCGGGCCAGTGCTGCACAGATGCGGCGACTGTGATTTACACGGCCGAGCGCACGCCGCGGGGAAGGAGATGCGCCAAGCCGCGTGCGAAATATGCGGCATGCTGTTTTCCACCATGAGTCTGCCGCTGCACAAGAAGTACCATCACGCGCAGCACGGCAAAGTCAACGCTATACCCCGGAACCGCGGACGAAGCAGAGTCGCGTCTTCTCCCAAAGTTTCGACCGTAAAATCGTCGCGCGAATTTTTGCCTCCTTCTAATACTGAGAGAAGAGCCATCCCGGAAGCGTCTCTTTTCAAATGTGGCGTTTGCAACGTTTACTTCCTGACGCGAGACATGTGCTACGACCACGCGGTCGACCATAAACGGCTGGACCCCACGGAGTATATCGGGTGTAAAATGTGCGACATGCAACTGTTGTGCGAATGCGTGGGCGCTCATATGAAATCGCACAGGGAGGGTAGTTTTAAGTTAGAAGGCTTAGTGATCACCGAGTTCATGCCGGGTGACAATGGGCCAGCGGCCGATACCTACTTGGCGGTGGAAAGGATGGACCACTTGATTAGTACCACGACGAATTGTGATTAAAGAACGCACCTTGACACTTAGTACAGTTTCGATGCATTAGAAACCGAGAACTGCTGACAATGTAGGTAAATAAAATAAATTATTTCATTCGGTAATTTTTTACAAAAGGTATATCTTAATTTTAATGGAAAAATTTAAATGATCGGCAATCGTGTTCCCCTGACCACACGACGAATACCTCGTCTTTCACTTCAATAGAGAGTTCGCTTCTATCGTTAGACTATGACTCGAAGTATATTTTTATTTAGGAAATGTTGAATATGAATAATGTTAGAATAATTGTAAGTTTTGTGTGCTATTTTTATTTTGTGCATCCCAGTTCGTTTTTGCGAATCTCCTTTATCTTTATGAATACACAGCGTCGGTCGTGTCCCGTCGCCGGGACCCCGTCGATCGTTTCAATATAGTAAAATATAGATATATCACTATATGTGCCACTGCACAGACGGACATTTTTTTAGATCATTTAAATGAATCATTATTTCATACGTATTTGTTGGGTGTCTTGGAAACGCACAGAGGTGAACGATTTCCTCCGTCGTTTCCCACATTTTCGCTGTTTCTTCACTCCTATTAGTCATTTCGCGTTCCTCGATAAATGCTCTAACGAACACAAAAAGAATGTTCCAATTTGAACCAGTAGTTCCTGAGGTTAGCGCGTTCAAACTAACAAACAAATCTTCAACTTTATATATTAGTATAATTATGGTAGTATCGAAGACTGAAAATTTATTTTGTATGTTATGAGAGTCTAATATATTTAACAGAGCATTCAATCCCCAATGAACTAAAAGACTGTTTTTAAGCCGAGAAGCTGGATACTCGCGTCTATATCGTTAAAAATGTGTGTTTAAAAAAAGTAATTTTGTCTTTAAGACCACTGTAAGACGAATAAATTAGCCACGATATTTTTAATGTATAAATAACGATGATTACTATAGGGATATGAAGAACAAGTAAAATTATGTGTTTATATTATAAACTCTGTTTATAAGTTCTAGGTTCAGTTTTGGATGAGATCATTCCGCTCATTCCAAGGGGGGGTCCCCTTGCCTTAATCTTCGATTTCACTAGGAGCAGATGTAAAGTAACAACCGTGTCGCAGAAAGGCAAAAACGTGTCATGTACTGAAATTACCAAATCGTAGCTTTAAGTATGTTAGGAATGTGCCAATTTTGGGTTGATGAAATTAATGTTAAAATTAATGTCAAATAAATGTTATTTTATTCTTACTCTTCCTATTCTGCAAAGTCACATCAACGTTAAGGCCTTGGGTAGCCTCATTAGGCAGGTTAGGTCCTTATTTTAGGCAATCTTTTGAAAATTGGAAATTATGTTTATTGTCATTTGTCTTTCTCTTAATAATAAAATTACAACTATTCCAGAAAGTTTATTACTAACTCGTGTTGGAGCAGCCTCGCTCCTTCCCGTATTGTCTACATTAAAAGATTGACATTTAGTTTATAATTATGTTGATTAACGTTGGTCAGCTAAAAATGTTTATGCGAGTGTGTATTTACACGCGCATTTCATACCAATAACTTTATTCAATTGTTACAAGTACGCTTTTAGTTAGGTAGAATATGTACAATAATATAAAGATTTTTTTGTTAAATTGAAAGTTAAGGATACAAGTTATTGTTGTAATGTATATTTTAATTCCTCGCTCCTCATAGAATAGTACCCTCGGACGTTCAGGGTCGACGGGCCTGTACCTTCATTTGAACCGTCGGTGCATCTCGTGTGTACAGAACCTCGTGTCTCTTTCTTACGTGCCCGTTGAACCCTTCAATATCCTGATATCTTTTGCCGCACACGCATACGCCGTCGAACGGCTTGTACAGGGGAATCATATAGTCAGTCCTGTGGTTGGCTTCATAATGATTTATATACTCCGGCAGCACATTGAAGTAGACCCCGCAAATCGGACAAACGGTCAGCATCGGCCCACGGCGGGGGATAGCGCCGAGGTTGTGATTTGGTAAGAAATCTCTGTATATTGTTATCTCATATGTGTTCACTGGAGTCTCGGATTGTAATGCTTTCGATTCGGCTTTTATTTCTTCTTTTTTAATTCTCTGTGTATCTTTAATATCCTTCTTTTCATCTATCGTGGCTCTCCTTGCATACTCACTCTTTACCTCTACTTTAACACCTCTGCCATCGACCCTCGTGGAGCTATCGTTTGCACCTGCAGTTTCTTGTGTAGTGAAGTTTTTATCTCTTCTCCTATTTATTTTTAAGTGATTAACATTTTGTATGTTGTACAAGTCATAGTGATTCGATAAAATATGTTTGTTGTGCGCAACAATATTGGCATGAGTGTCCGTACAGTTCATGCAAGTTCCATTAAAGTATTCAGCTGTAGGCTCCGAGAATGCGCTGGCATGTCGCTTGACACTGTTGCTGTTAAAATGCTGCAGAGATCTGAAAATGTAACCGCAGACTTGGCACCGAGCAATAGGTTTGTTCAAATCGTTGTCCGTCTCTTCCAGGAGATGCCTCGCCATGTGTACATCTGCAGCGTTCTGCGTGGCGAAGAGGATTTGGCAAGATTTGCAGAAGAGTGCGTCCAAAGAATTTTTGCAGTCTTTAATGACCACTTGTGGGGAAAAGTGGTGGGAAATGCTTCCACGCGTGGGTCTATTTGAGACATCTAAACTATTTTCTTTTTCCATATTTGTAGTGTTTGATCACATGTGGAAGTTGAAAATTATGAAGCACATCAGTTGATAGGTTATGAGGTAAAATATATTTAAGGGTATTCTTAGCCCTCGGTTCTCTTGTTCAAAGTATTGATTTTAGTTGTTTCGTCGTCTAGTCTTCGAACGAGAATAGACTAGGTAATAGAGTTTTTTTTGTGATAATTAATAGCCTGGTAAATAAGAGTATATAAACTACAGCGTAGACCTCAAAATAGTTTTGACACATTTTCGCTTAATCTGTGGCGTTGACAGGTTTAGTCTAATGTCAAATGTTATCTGTTTAAATAAAATTCAGTTACAAAATTAAGAAATTGTCATGCTAACGTTTCGAATACGTCGAATTTTTGGATTGTTGTGTACCCGAATATATCTAGAAAAAAAACCGCTATGATCTCAAACGCATTTATTCGTTCAAAGATGTGCAAGAAAAGAGAATTTCAAGTGAACATTTTCTAAATAACAACATCAAACATTGTAAAGATTTCAAACATTAAAAATCCAAGAAATTATTTTACTAATTTTAAAAACTGGAAATATAAAAATATACTTAGAAAAGTCATAAGTTTACATAAAGATTTTTAAAATTAACAATTTTTATTATACTTAAATTTAGTATATGACTTGATGTATAAAAACTGGACTAAATTAATAATTGAAAAAAATCCTCAATTTTTAAGTTAACTATGTATATTTATATTATGTTTAAGACGTTTATTTACGCAAAGAAATAAGTTTCACTGAAGCGTTAACACAATTGTATACAAGACAAGTGCCATACATATTTCACGTAAATGAAAATTTCGTTGCTATCGGTATAAACAGATCTGCCTTATTTAAAACATGTGAAATATCTCGTAGATCAATTCACTTTAGTAAGCCAATGTTTTCGTCAGGCTCGAAGGACATTATTTATAGATTTGGTAATTTATCGTACACTACTATTAAAACTAAAAATCAAAATGTTGCCAGCACAGAATAATATGAAAAGGAGAGACTTATCGCCAGGATAAGTAAACGAAATATTGTAAATTAAACATTTTTGCTTACGAGATTATCACAAACACAAAATTTGAACTAATTATAAACATACCTAATTGATTATTTTAAAAAGCGTTTTTGTAGCTGTATTTTAAAAACTAGAAACTGACATTATTTATGCCTTAAGTCTCATGTTGAAATTATGGGAAAAATTTAATAATTAGAATCGCTTCGCAATTTGCACAAAATTATTATTTAAATTTGCCTATCTACGATAGCAGAGCAAAGCTCATTACAGCTTACGCCGCAAGACCGAAATGGCCACAAAGTGGCAAAATTAAGCCAAATATGACAAATGGAAACACACATTTACTTGCGCTTCGCTTTCAAGGTATGTACGGGAAGGTCTGCGTAATTCTCCCTGTGGCCCTGAAAATAAAGAAAAAACATTATCGCTTCGACCCGTTAGTATCCCACTGCTGGGCGCATGGTTTCAAGACTTAACCCACCACGCTCTTCGAGGTGCGGTGATGATGACTACCCCTACGTCCACGCTCGGCTGACGATAGAAACTTATAGAAGAATACCAAAGTAAAACTGCGCCCGACCTAGGATTCGAACCCGGGACCGAGGTCCTCGATATACAGTCGAGTGCACCAAACGTTAGACTTAGTTACTAGAAAAGCAAGCTCAGTTCGCGCACTAACCTGGTCCCGAGCCCAGCGGTGAACAGTAAACGGCGCCCAGGGACGAGATACTCCGGGCATCGGGCGAAACGGAACACTACGGGGGCGCTCTCACCGGCTCGAACCACGCTGTTTGGCGCAAGGATTCCCTGGAAAACGTACTTTTATTGATGACGGTGAATAAGCAAGCATGGGATTAATGTTTCCATCATACACCCCATGTTTGGTGGAATAACAAAGCCACATGCGCTGTCGCCCTATATTGGCTTCCGAAACACGATTAAACCACTTGGCTTTTTCATCTCCAACAGGCGAGCATAAATCTCGACACAAAATTAAGTGCACTGTGCCCTACCTGATGACTGAAACTTAAAAATATCAAACTACCCGCACCTCAATAGTGGCCGTCTGTCGAACATTCCCGACGTGCACGGAGCACTGGAACCCGGGATAGATGGCTGTCGAGTGGCGAATCACGTGCACGTTGGCCTGAAATTGTTAATTGTCCAAATTTAAAATGTCGAAAAACATACATCTAGAAATACGATTCTAAGTGTTACCCGCGACGTCATTGCGTCGTTCTTGCGATAGCAAAAGATAGACATTACTGTCGCCTACAACCTTTTAGACCATTTAATTAGAAATCATTTCTTCATAAATAGTATTGGGTAACAAATATGAATAATTTTCCCCTTTTTTCCACATTTCCCAGTCTTCGCTGCCGTTGGTCGTACTGTGATGCTTTATAGCCTTCCCTATTCGAACTAGTAGTTTCTAAGATTAGCTTTATAATATTAGTATACATGTAATCACCTGGAAATAAATACAGCCTCTCGGGTCGTTCGGGTCTTCTAGCCACACGCGATCTGCGCACTCACACCCATTGACGTCGTCCAATTTGTCATTGAGTTCGGTCTTGTCAACCGATGTAATGTCATTCGCTGATATTGTATCTAATACATTACCGTAGATAAGCGATGATTTATCTTTCATACTTTCATAGACTTGAGTTTTGTCCACGCCCTTGTCATTTTTCAGTGACACTCTGTCATCTGTCAATTCGTCACTAAACCCGTTGACGCTTCTCAACTTGACATTGTCGTCTACGTCAGCGTCAGTCGTGTTGATGTTCTTGTCGAATTGTATGTTCTTGGCGAGGATTTTCTGCGCGTTAGCAATTTCCGCGTCAAAATTGTTTTTTCTGCGGACGTTCTTACGATTTCGCTCGTTGTTTTGAGTTTTCGGGATGCAGTGCGCCATCTGTAGGACGACAAAGGAAAATAGACATTTGAATAAATAACTTTGTCGGTATTCTTTACAAAATTACTTCCAATGATTTAAGGTTACTTATTAGGACTAAAGAGGATAATGACTTGGCAAGAAACAACACAGTCACGAACACTTTAGCCATACAACGCATACGCACTTATCAGATGCCATATCCGTTATAGCCGTCAGTCGCGGGTTCCCATTTCTTTTTTTTCCTTGGACTTTTCTGGATTGGAATCCACTCACCATACGCGTCGAACATCCATCGGCGCATCCCCACACTGGGCGTGGGCCGGCGCGATACTGCCCCGGCTTAGTGAGTAGTACCATACCGGGTCGCAGGTTCGGTGGCTGATGGCTCAACCCGAGGGACGCCGATTGCCCCGCGCGCGCCGAGCCGCACGGCACCCGGTTCCTGTATATTGTTTTCACTGATATCTCGACGAACTCACCGGTGTCTAGTGGGCCTGGGAATAGAAATAGAGGATTCACTGAAATGTTCGCGTTTCCATTTAATCATGCTTTCTACAAAAAGCGAATAATTTCATTAAATTTACTTACATTCAGTAAGTAGAAATTTGAATGGGCTGTCGGCCCAACTTAGTCTTAGGCGTAGACTAATAAATAACGGATGTAGTCCAAAAGTCACTAACCGATAATCAAGTTGTTTCCCTCGAAAACTTGTCCCCTAGTGACTAGCCCCCCCACCACTGGGCCCGTCGAATCCCCCACGTGAAAGATTTCGTCGATTTGAAACTCACAGCTCTCCTGAAACAATGTAGTTGTCATAAGAAGCGAGATATTTTAATTAGATAATATATTTCATATTTTGCACCGTTGTCGACAAATGTTGATGAGGTCCTGCATACTAAATGAGATGATCTTCCATAATTATCATTTTGTCCTCATAGATGTGTATGTATGTATACTGTTATGAGTTAATTACATAGATCAGTTTATTGGGAATGTTTTTTTACTCACAGCATCCACCGCGCTGGGTTGGGACGGCCCTGGCGGCGGGCGCAGGGCCAGCAAATAAGCATGGAGGGCGTTGAGGCCTACGCCGCGTACGCAGCTCACTGGGAATACTGGGATCTGTTCTACTTCTTCCCTGTTATGTGTCAGATGGGATCATAGTTTAGTGTCTTATAGTCTATGGCAGTGCTTTCATTAAAAATAAATGTGATATATAATCTGTAACCACAATCGTGTTATTTATTCAAACTTTAAATAACTTGTAACCGTTTAAAACACAAACAATAGGTTAGTTGACTTTTCAATTTATTCTAACTCCGATTATTTGTGACTTACTCATCTTGTCTCTGGTCCGTCTCGTCTATGGCATCGAGAATAGATTTCTGTGGTACGACGCAGTTTCGCGCCAAATTCTCGTCCGTTATTAGGAGGGTTTTCTGTAATTCAAACGTTGGAATTAGAACCGACTTCACCAAACCTTTTTATTTACGGTTCTTATGAATATAGATTTTTTTGTAAGTTGTTTAATGTAAGCTTTGTGAGACTGCATATCATTGTTTTTCGGGCTGTTCGGCCGACGTAAGGGAGAAGAGGTTCTTCACGTTTCGCCATCACGTACGGGCGGCATCATCGGGAGATGTTAACTCGAGGAGTTAACATCTAAACGTCGATAACCTCTTCTTCCCCTTCTTACACAATTAATCCTTGTGAGACTATCACGATTTATCACGTAAACTGTGTGTTTGTTAACCAAATCCTAAGTTAGAAAAATGCACAACTACTTCACCTTGTTAGCGCTAGCCACCAGCGCTTGGAGCTGACGGACGAGCGTCGGCACAGCCGCGCTGGCCAACTCACACTTGCTGATAACGGCGAAGAACGGCATATCCAGGGCCAGGAGTAGCCCAATGTGCTCCTCCGTTATGCTGGTTATGCCCGCGGTGGCGGATATCTGCAAGGCGGTGTCAAAAGTAATACTTCATTACGAAATTAATATACAACACGTTCTCTTTCTCGCGATTCCCCGGAAAGAATAGGGGGGATATAGTCAGAGGGCGTTCTTATAACCTTTCAGGGGAATAGCATAGCGTGCCCCCAAAGAACCGAAACAAGTTAATATGTTTGTTTCTCTCACTGATGCCTCCAAGGGCACTTGTAGTCCAAAACATGTTTATTTGAAATCTATATCAGGTCTTTACTTAATGCAGAAAAGTTTGGATGATGATTATCATTACATTGGAGTCTCGCCTGAACCACTGATATTTCCAGTTATATTACAATGTAAACTATATTTGTAGCCGTTTCAAGACGTGGTCACGTAGGGAGGGGACTACAACTCACCACGACCATCGCGTAGTGCGGACAGTACCCCGTCAGGCCGTGGACTGTTGTCCTCTGATACTTGCTGTGCCCTGCCAGGTCCAGGAAGGAGACCAGCTTGGCGCTCCTTTCGCCGATACGCTCCGCCGTCATCAACTCCGAACAGCCGTAGTTCACTACGTTACCCTGGAATTTTATAGAATCGTATATAATCCATGTAACTCTCTCTACTCGGGATTAGAACACATCTTTTAATGTAGATGGCACGTGTTTAACCATTGTGGTACGGATACGGAAAACGCGTGCATCATTCTTAAAATTATTCAAATGTACTAACCTGGGCATCGAACCCGAGTATCTCGTGGCTGAGGGAGGAAGTCCGACCACTTTTCACCTCGTGCAAATGTCTGAACATATTCAGACGAGCACTGCCTCTGCCGTTGTCCAGTTCACCTGGAAAATGTTTTGATTGTGGGAGAGTAGTAGTGTAGTGTAGTACTGTGTGTATGCACGTGTACACATACTAGTGTATGTTTATTTGGCCTAAAAAACATTTAATTATACGTAGACACTTACGCAGAACATTCACAACTTAATACATGTCGAGACGGTTTTTATCTTCTCTATCGTTCACTTGTGGCCAGAAATGGACCTTTCTCTTAAATTCTAGAGTGCTTATGCTTTTGTTCGAACATTACCTTGAGTCAAAACACCAATGAGCGTAGATTTGCCGGCCTCGTTCGCCCCCATCACGGCTATCCTCAACTCTACGCTTTGTTGCGTGTCAGCCATCTGCGAAAACATAATGGCCTTTCCATATATTGTCACTATTTGAATTATATTAATACTTTTCACCGCCTCAATTATTTCGGCCGGGCAGTGCACAGTTGTCCGATCAATGACTTATCGGTAAGTAGAAACAATGGTCGTCTCGGACTCAGAAATGTATTGCCTGTATGCCCCACAAGAGATTGCACTTTTCTCTTAAATGACACATTTTTTTTTATTTAATAACATAACGTAAAACATTATCTATTACTATACGTGCCACGCCTGACAAATACCCTTATTTTCTTCGCCGTCGTCGGAAAAAAACTTTTTGCTCACCTTCCGTATATAGACCTCAGCGACGGCCCTATTCGACGCTACCCGTCTCGCTCGCACCGATACTAAGACGGCGCCGATCGCATTCGCCATCCTCCTCAGCGCGCGTAAGGACGCCCTAAGCCCGTTCGCCCTAAGACCTCTTAGGGCTCCGCAGTCTCGCACTCCTATCACGTAGACCGCGGTGCCCCCGCCGGACCGGAGGCGCCATTTTAACTGGTAGCACATGACAAAAAGTTAGCAACCACTTCACGGATCTTCGATTCCCTCTACTATTTATACCCAATTGTGTATTCAATATTGTTCGTTGATCGAATAAAATATTTTCATAATTATAAATGCAAATGCAAAGAATGTAAGCAAGTGACGTCATTTGATATCTTTAGATCACAGTTTGCTACTTTGCACATTTTGTGATTGAAACGTATACCACACCTGCGTGACCAAATGCTGGAACCTTCTCTCGCAGGGCGAGACCAGCTGCAGCTTATACTCGACGTTCCCGAAGCGAGGCTCGGGGGGCAGAGAGCCGTAGCATTCGTCGCCCGTGTCGTCTGCGTCCGAGGTGCTGGAAATTAATAGCTATTATGAATATTGCAAATGTGAGGCGTCGGGGAAGAGGGGAAGGTAAACTTTTTAATACTCCGCTGGCGCAGCGACCCAAAGGGGGTCTCCGCCTCCAGAACGCCACTTCCGTCGATCGTGCGTCACGGTTCGCCACTCGGAGATTTATTATACACTAAATTTGCTCCTGTGTAGAAAACGTGCTTATTTTTTTATTACTGTAACCAGGGACACTCAATGCTCTTGTATATACATCGAGTACGTCCAAATAACTTTTAAACCCAAACATTCAACTAGCGTTATGTATTCCTAATGATACGATGATTGTGAACGATGAGTGTTTAAAAAAAAATTGTCATAATTTATTATAAATACGATCCAACTTAATAAATAAGTTAACTAATATATTTCGAGTTTTAAACCGTCAAAAGTGTTACATAAATGTGTACGACACGCGCATACTACCGACGATTCAATACCGATAATCAACTACCCTTGACACTCATACCTATCATCTCTAAAATCCTCCATGTCGTCATCGCTGTAGAAGAAGTCGCTCTCCCACTTGTCGTCGTCGAAGTCACCCGTCAGATACATATTGTCCTTGATCCCGACCTTCTCCAGCTTGTCAATGACATTGTACACTCTTTCGAAGTTGTTCAGGTTGTTCACGTTCTTGCCGATGCTCTCGTCGGCTTTGACGAGCCCCGGCTGCTTGTTGTTCAGGTGCCCTGGCTCTTCCAGATCTATGCCTGGAATTATTTTTGTAGTCATTTGACGCATAAATAAAACACTAGAATGGTTTAAAACATGAGTGAATCTTATTTACAAATTAATCTAAATAAAAATTACTACTTAACTTCTATATATCGCGTTTTAAACCGTTAAAGTATTTTAATTTAAATGCATCCTACAGTTAGTACCCTACAGTAGTTAGCTAAAGTCGGCATTTTTATTGTCGCTTTTTATTATTTTAGCCGGTTTTAGTGAATAGAACTATACAAAAATTTCCTTTAAATCATGTGAATTATTATTGAGGCTTACAAGTAGCGTCATCTCTGTCCCAGGAGCTGCCAGGTAGGAGATCTTTGGCTGGAGAGATTTTCACTTTTCTTCTTCTACCTTTTCTTCCGGAGTTGCGCCTGCGCGGTTTCTTTTCTGCGTCTTTTAAGTCTGTAATTAACCATTGTTTGTCATGTAAATTGACACTTTATACGCGTATGATAAGATAGAAACTTGTCTAATGAAGTCTTATAAGCGCATCTCACCCTCCTCTTTATTTGCTTCAAAGTAGTTTTCTATATAACTACAATCCTTAACCAGGATTTCATTGCTCAGTTGTGGTTCGCAGAGGAAGGACGATTCTTCCGGCAGCGTCTCATTCTTGTTGTGCCCGCGGCGCCCGCGCCTGCGCCCTGCGACGTGACATTTGAAAATACCATGTAAAATATTGTGATACATTTAAAGATTATCTGCTACGGCAGATATTATATAATTGACTTTGACCTAGACTTCGGTTAAAAAAGCACCTGCAGATAAAAACGATAGGTTTATTTTAGGGACTCAAAGACCAGTCCAAGACCGAAGGTCCCTAGAGAACATCGCATTTGCAAAAGCCAAAACAAACGTAAACGAAATGAATATTTCAGTTTCAACTTTTAAAGTAAAAAGACATTTGATACATTTTCTTGACAAATTGACAATAACTAAAGTCTGTTTCCCTGTTATAAAAAAATGCTTGATTAACATATTTTTACCTGGAATTTTCTCTTGTTCATTTTTGTACCTCTTCTTTGTCGGCTTATTTTGACCGTCAGACGGATCGAACAGGCCGAAGAAGGAATCCATCGCTTCTGAAATATCATGCATCCAAATATAGAGGCAGTAAGACTATTGTAGTGTCAGTTCCCTGGGAAAGAATAATCTCTTTCTGAACTTGCATGGTAATAAAAGCTATCGGTACAATGGACACAGAAATGTATCCGCAACGTGTCCCACAGGAGAGATGATTTCACTTTTATTATTTATTACCTGTTACTTAAAATGGGATGAATGGGTCGCCAGAAGTGATCGTTAAAATTCTAATTAGGTATTTAATAAAATAATTCAACGTATGAATAACGCAAGCCTTCGTTTCGTGCGCATGCACATCTACAAAAACAAGTTAAAGTATTGAGTTATCAGCACATAACACAACAGTTTGAGAAAGTTTGAAAAACATAAAAGAGTTTTTATACACTTCATAATATTAATCTCCAAACTTTGTGATATTTAATGGAAACAGAACTATTATTACATTTTGTTTTCGGTGATTTTCTGTAGAATTTCAAAGGCCAGTGAAATACTTTCGATAAAATATATTTGGGACTAAAACATTAACCTGCCAAGCAGCAACCAAGATAAAGTTAAAAATCAAGATATTTTAAAACCTGGCTGAATTTTAGATGAAACATATATGAAAATTCTTCACACACATCCCAAATCTACAAATGATGTTTTATTAATAATAATGATCATTCATTTAAAAAGTTGCTTACAGAAATAAAATCTATGAACTAATATGAACTTAAAACAATGTATAGAAGGCTCAACCAAATATAAACGTATATGGCAACTCCTGAAACAGGAGCCACTCAGCATAATGTTACGAAAACACTTGTGTTGCAACACTGATTTTTAGTGGCCCCTGGCGCTAAAAATCAAAGTTTCCTATTTCTTTTAAATAGAACTGAAGATAAGGTAAATGTACTTAGTATGGTATATTCCTTTCAATATGTTTCAAAACCGAGGATTCTTTGAAAGGTTTTAGCTCCTAGTAGAGGTAGAGTAACACATTAGTAAAATTATATATTTTGTTATTGTTCTTTTAACAAAATTTCCTTATCATTGATAATAATAAAACGATTTCCTATTTTTATTGTTTTAGGAATAGCATCATTATCAAGATAAGCTTTGTCAATAACTGATAAAGAACAACAACACATAAATCAAACAATACCTGGAATTTATGAGTAAAGTATATGGAAACAGTAGATATAAAAGCTGTGCTGTTAGCTGTTTTATTAGTCTAAGAGTTGCCAAGTATTTTTCTTTCAACTAAGATATTTATAGAGAAACAATAAATATAAATAAATTCCAACATTTGATTTATACATTGTCACATATGCAACAACTCATAATATTGCATAGGATGATGCAACCTTCGAACAACATAACATGATGCAATTCACTTAACCACTCAGCATAAGTGAAAAAGTTACTTTATTTATTTGTCCACTTTTATTTCCTGATTCACTTAATTTTTCTTTTACTTTTAATAAAACAGTAACACAGAATGTGTTAATCTTGAGGAGATGAATATAGCAAACAAAGAAAAAATGCAAATGATCCCTATTTAAATGTGAATTTAATTATAATCATATTCTTATTATATTACATTTATTTGTATTAATTTTTTGTTATTAAGTATATAAAGTTAAGCAATGTAACATAACTCACGTTAAAAAGGTATTTCATCATTGTTACAGTCTCAAGTGTTGCATATCTTGCACAAGATAATTAGAGAAAGGGCTGCTATAATTCCTTCATTTTATTAAAAGGGAAGTTTTAAAAGAAATAAATATAAGAATAATAATAATATCGTAGCGGTCTGTAGTGTTTAAATAAAGTTGAATTATATACTTACATAAAAGGTAACTCAAACAGCTGGTACCCTCAAGGTCATGGGACAAGACCGCTTGCCAACAACTAACAGGTCTGAATAAACACAAAACAAATAAAAGCCGTGCCAAGTTAACGCAATTTCAGTGTAAGCTGACGTATTTTTCGGTGTTTTCGACTGTGCTTTTGTTCACTTTTACTCTGTAATGTTTGAGCGCTAAGTCATTACGAAGGTCAGATGATTGTGAACACCGACAAAATGTACAGTTACAATGACTCATTTATACATTTAAATTATTTTGTAATTTTAACAGAAAATATTATGAAATCAATATTGTTTCTAAGAGGTATTGATACTATATATTTTTATTTCTATTGAGAAAGTACGTTGACAGCTTGACATTTTAATTTTAAATTTTATTTTCACGGACTAGGGGTGAGACGCTATCCAACAATCGACTAAGATTCTGTAGAATATTTGACAATTATGTACATAATTTGGAAAAATAATATGTGGCTGTATGTTTAATTTAGAAGGGACACTATATTTTGTTAATATCGCTAAGATAAAATACTATGGACAGACACAATTCTAGTTTAATATTGAACAATGTTTAAATATTTACAGAAATAATCGATTATTATAATTTCGATTAAAGTTATTTAATAATTAGCATTTTTGACAACAAAATCAAAATGACAGGAGACTGACATTGACATTGACAATAAAATTGCGGGAAAAATTAGTAACAACAACAAATCGCTAATGGAATTGCATGAAATATACGGTGTTTGTATTTAGTTAACATAAATAATGTCGATTCAAGTGGACAATAATTTAAAAGATACAGACAATAAAGAAGTGTTTGAACAAAGAGTACACTATATACCATGTAAAATTGAGGAAGACGCGTCTGCTAATGTGGAGAAATATTTTGAAACTTATGTTACTCAAAACGGCGACAAGGGTTAGCTTCTTAGTTGAAGTAGAGATTTATATTATTAACATACTCGAATAATTAGTTTAAGGAATAACTATATACAATAAAAAATTAGATATAAGTGTAATAGCATAGCATAGTTATTCTTATTGCTGTACTATTTATTCTCTTTACGGGAGAACTCTTTTTGGCCGAGTGTACGATATTGCAGTAAGTTTTTTTACAGATCTTACTGCAACTTTCCGCGGTCACCCTTTAGATGGAATCAAGTTGCCATTACCAGAAGGTTATAGAGGTGTTCTTTTGACTGAAGCCAAGAGACCATTAAATGAAGATATGGAGAGAAAATTTCAGGTATTTTATTCTTACGTTCAATAATGATATTAATAATGAAATTACTTGCCATTCTTACACTGCGTCCATGGTCCAGTAAGCGCGTTAAGTTGAGGGGTCCTAAGATTGAATCCCACAAAGGTATAATAAACAGTTTTGGTGATACAACAAAAATCAATTGCTGCCAAACAAATTAGTTTGTAAAACGGATGAAATTCAACTTATTAATTTTTTATGCCTTTAAAAACTTTGGTGGCTTTTGTGTGACGAGGATAACATAGGCTTTTCTTTGAATGTGAATAAGTTTTTTAGCAGCGTTAATAAACACTTTTAAATATGACTAATTTTAATGGCTTACAGGTAGCAGGTGGATTTAAAGAAATAATTTATTGGAATTGGGATAAGAAACCGTCCAAGAATGACAATGTAGTTAGAGCTATGGATTGGGTGGATATCGCTGAGGCTGTAAGTATACATTTTTTCCCTAGTAGCACTCAGACCTATGAGCGTAATGCTCACGACTACTACTTAATACCAAATTAAACTAACTACATATTTTTTCAGATACATGGAGACTGAAAAACATTTTTTTTTATTGTTGACTGTGAAATAAATAAAACTCCACAATTAAATATTCCATATTTAACAAAATAAAACTACCTCGTAAGGTTTTTTTATTTATTATGCTTGTGACTACCCTCAAAAGACAAATAAATGTATGAACACACAACATTGCAGTTTTCTATCAAATAGAGAACATTACTTGATGTCAACCGCTGAAGTAGCCTAGGCCAGAAATGAACAAAACACTCTTTGATTTAAATTAAAATAAATATGACTTATGTCTTTTGTCTATTTGGGCCTAGAATGGGCTTTTCTCTTTCATGTTAATCAATCGTTTAGCCCTACATATTGTTTGTTGTATTTACACCACAAAATCGACATCTTAATAAAAAACATGAAGTTTAATCAGTCAAACAAAAGTGTCTTCCCTGAAAAACATAAACAATAGTAACAAAAAATCTTAAGCTATCAAAGAATCCTTTAGCTGTACACTACTTTTATACAACTAAGGGTTGATTTTTTCTGAAGGTTAAGTCTCGGACGGACTCCAGGTAACTGAATTTATGAATAAACGTAAACTTTTCTCTACTTACATTTAAATAAATATTTTCCATGTGATGCTAAATTATAGATACACCCACACATAACATAACATTATCTTGCCTCACACAAAGAAAGTCAGTGCTACTCACATAATATTATGTTTATCATTAGCCATCTTTACTATCGTCTCCCTCATCTGCTTCTTAATTTCGTTTCTTCTCTCATGCTCCTTCTTACTTATCAATATCCTTCTTATCACTTTCGCAGTCTTTAATTTTCTACATTTTTTCACATTAGATTTACCTGTTCTGGCAATATCTTTGACCGTTTCATTATTATTCGAAACACCGTTTCCAGTGTCATCATCATTGGAAATACTGGTATGTATCCCGAAATCGATTCTCTTCTCTAGATCAGAAAAATCTTCTACTCTCTCCTTAGTCATTCTATTGTAGATCTTTAAAAACTGCCAAAACTCAATGTTATCACCGCGCACGTTACTCTCGTAGAATTTGATCAGATCGGGATCGCATTTGTGTTTCGACACGATCGGTTTCGGTTTAATATATCGCTTCATTGAGTCGACGCGAGTGGTTTTTGTGTTGTCGGTGTTCGTGGCGCTCTTGTGCTTCCAGACCTTCGGCTTGAACGGTTTGCTGTTTGGGTCATGTCGCCTGATGTGCAGTTTTAGCGCGCTTAGGGTGCGGCATATTTTCTCACACTGGTCGCAGGGGAAAAGCATTTTCCCGCCACTTTTCTTCGCCGCCACGCTCAGCGCCCTCATTCTGGCGCAGTAGTCGCCGTTAGACGGGATCTCAACGTTCAACTTCGGTATAAAGTAGTTCTCCAAATCCATTTTCCTCCTCTCCACTACCCACTCCTCACCCTTCTTAACCAATTTAGTCGTCGCTATAATTTTGTCCTTGCTTTCCCTGTTTTTCCTGTCCAGCTCGACTAAGGCCGCCCTGTTCAGCAATTTGACGCTCGGGATGACTTCGAGCTTGTCTATTCTCTTGCTTTTCACGTCGAAATAGAACCTTGAACCGTCGCTGTTGCTTTTCTTGTCCTTTATGTTGCCCGTATACATTCTTATGTTTATGTTGTGACTCTTCTTGAGATGAGCTTTAATGGAGATCTTTGAGACGAAGTCGCAGAGGGGACATTTTCGTAGCATCGTAGCATTGCAGACGTCGAAGTGTGTCTGGCAGTGGTCTAGAAGTTCCTCTTTGGAGTTACAGAGCTGAAAAAATAAATAGTGCATATTTTAGTTTCACTTTATTGAACAATTTTATTGGTGCAATAAACAACTCTCTATAGAATACCAGCCACCAAATTTACAATACAAAAAACGTTGAATGCAAATTCCTTATTTTTATTTATTTCATAAGGCTTACACTAACTAGGTACACAAACATGTTTTAAACAACTTAAGCTAATTATAGTAAGAATAATTCTTATGTCCCTAACTTATAAGTATGCACAGCGTTGACTGTAGATATGTATATAGAGAGATAAAGACAATACACACAGCAAACTACATAAACAAAGCTTATTCTTAGTTTATTCTATATAATAAAATAATAATCAATTTACTGATCAAGATATTGAAGTACTTGTCTTTTGAAAACATTAACAGAAGTAAAAAGGTCAATATTGTGGTTCTTAAATACGCTATTAAAAAGTCTAGAAATCAACTGTATAGGGGAGTTTGAGCCATAATTATTTTTGTGAAATTTAATGAACATTGGGGAATAAGAAGCAAGTCGGCAATTAAAAGATGGTACGCAAAGTCCAATTTGCTCCAAAAGGGGTGGGCAATCAATTGTGCTGCGTTTCGGCGAAGTTCCAAAGACTGCATGTTTAATACAACCGGCCTATCTTTGTAGCTTTTGATATGGTAGGTTTTCTTTATAAAACTTAGTCTTGAAGTAAAATTTTTCTGAACTGATTCTACCCTGTTACAATATTTTTTATAATAATAATAATAAGCCTTTATTACATACATTATTATAAAATTACATTTTTTAATTTATTTACATTATGACTTTGTTTATATTATTTACATTATGATACTTTAAAATATATTATAACTATTATGAATATATTATAATAATATTTTTTATAATAAGGACACCAAACAACACGGAGTTATATTCAAGAATAGATAACTAAGGAGTTAACTCTCACTGTTACGATATGTTTAACGACAAGGTGGGCTTAAAACTTTATAATAAAACCCAGCATCTTAAGTCATTTTCGAGCTATAGTGTCTATATGTTTATCAAATATTAATTTAGAATCGAAAGTGACACCGAGATCTTTTATTACATCTACCCGAAGTATTGGTGTTCCCTCTATATTATAATCACTTTTAAATCTTAAATGCTTTCTCGTAAAGCGAATGGGTTTGCATTTGCATGCATTTAATTCCACTCTGTTTACCTTGCACCACAAAGAAACTCATTGACATCATCCTGTAATTTAAGTTGATCAGACACGTTATTAACAACACGATAAATTATTAAATCGTCTGCGTATAGTTCGTAGTGTGATTCAGTAATGTGTGTTGCATATCATTTATAAATAAAGAGAACAATAATGGGCCAAGATGCGATCCTTGAGGTACGCCAGATATTTGGTAGAATTTCTCAGATTGGTACCCACAGAGCTTAACAACCTGCGGCCGATGTGTCATGTAAGAATGTAACCAAGTAAGCAGTCGGTCAGATATAGGGTAAATCTTTTCATCTAATTTCTTTATCAATAAAATGTGTATTCAGCCGCTCTCAAAGCATTAACCGTTGCAATATCAAGAAATATATTTAAAGGTGGATGATGTTTATCCACTCAAGGTATTGGATTCAACAACTGAAACAACCTTATCAGATAGAACTAAACCCAGTATTCGATTGTTAAAGTATATAATCGCATTGTACTGGCGGTTATTACAAAAGGCCATAAAATCCAAGAGTGCCGTATCTATCACACTATCATAATTGTTGGGTCTGAGAAAACGTTATCCTCGCCACGCTATACTATAATTATCTATAACAGCAGCCGAAGCTGAATTGAAAAAAAGACTCAAGAACGAGCTTATTTATTGGAGGTGGTATATAAACAGCGCATAGACTAAGTTTGTGTAAACCAGCATTCAACGATATTTCTATTCCAACCCACAAATCCTCAGCAATACTCTCATTATGAGATAATCTCATTGATTTCAAACACTTCTGAACGCCAATCAAAACGCCACCGCCCTCTTTAGAATTGTAAAAAGTATTTGTTTGCCTATCCCTTCTATAAATCTCGTAGCGATCGTCTAAGACTTCCCCATCAAATTTCTATTAAGCCATGTTTCTATCAGCTATTTTATGAAGTCCCTTAAAAATAAATTCTTTTCTATCGATTAAATAAATCATTATCTGCGTTCTCCTCGCTGATATTTTCCCCCAGGCTTGAAACCCGGGACTTCTCACAACAGACACAGACAGAGTAAACAGTAAGGTACGTACCGTGAAACAAACGTAGCATTGGTGCACGTTGAATTTCAATTTTCCGTTTTCGTCTTTCTCGCAAATGATTTTCGTCACTTCGCTCTTTTTCGATTCCACTTCCACCGGCGTGGCCTCTGAAATAAACGTGGGATCAAATGCAACAACCTCTTATTCTCAACTAGCTATGTCAGCGACTTTGTCCGCGTTGAATAGTTCTTTTGGGCATCCAAATTAGTTTTTGCGAACCCCTTTTATATCTTTATACATTTATGAAGCTATGCCTGCGAAGTCGGTCGAGTCCCGTTTCTTTTGAAAGTTAATCTTATAAGATAGGCAAATAGTGTCGCGGACATATTTTTAAATCATTCAAGGAGGAATTATTCTTTTATACATATTTTTTGGGTATTTTGATCAGTTTTCGTAGCGTGCGAATCGGAAACCCACAAGTATTTTTTTAGTATAGGTTTCGTCGATAAATTCTCTAACCAACAAAAAAAATAATGTTTTAATTCGAATCAGTAGTTTCTGAGATTAGCGCGTTCAAACGAACCAACATATATTAGCATAGATTAATGTAAATTGTGAGGAATTTTGCGTTGAATAACTGTGAAAACCCGCAAACTGTGACCCGCTGTACCGGGTCTTTCATTATCAGGCTAGTAGTTGATCAGGCCGGATTCGAATCCAGAACCTCTGAGAGCTCCAAGCTGGCGGCTTACGGTTGTCATCATTCTCTCGATCGGGCTAAAGATGACTTAGTTCGATTCAAACCGCCTCCTTACAGTCTTATATATTAAAAATAATAATAATATATAAAATAGGTCAAGAGCACATCTTGTTCAGATTTTGGTCGTTTATCCTCTATCCTATATATCTACCTTTCTTTTTCATAAGCATCTCCATCCGTCTGTTATATCTCCTTCTCACTTTCTCCAACTCGATTCTCTCTTTCTTGCGTCGCGATTTCCTTATGAGCTTCCTGATCTTCTTCTGAACCGTTTCCTCCATTACTTGATCGAGGTTCGGGTCCGGAGCTTTTTTTGCTGAAATTTTGGATTCCTTTAATTTCCTTTAATATTTCTGATTTACTGCTTTCATTGTGAAATTTTACTTTAACCAACTTTTTAACCGATTTTTATAAAAAGGAGGTCAAAAGGTACTTATTATTCTTTGTAGTAATACGACTGACAACTTTTTATTCAACTACCCTCCTATTGGAGTTAACAGGCGAGGGTTACACCACGGCACGCAACAAGACAACAAATATTTTTTTTTAATATTTCATTCCTTATATTCTGTAATTAGAGTATTGCGCTCTTTGCATCGGGTTGAGCGCCAAGGTCCTACCTAGATTCAAAACTCAACAAAACATCTTAAAACTTCGGCCGTGTAACATACGAGAAGAGAAATGCATACTCACGAATTTGATTCCTATCAAGTATGTGCTTTACAAAGAGTTCCTCCAGCGGTTGCTCCGATGTGGCACCGCCTTTCCTAGCTTTGTTCTGCTCCTCGGCTTGCACTGCTTTCGAATACTCCGTATCGTCTTCTGATTAAACAGATATAAGGAAAACGAATCATCTATTTGGTCACATTTCACTTCCAAGCACAATTATGGTCTACGTATGGTTTTGAAACAATAGAAATTTTAAATCGCTGTTTTTGACGACTAAGGTAGAAGCATGTTTGTTTCTCTTTCACGCCTAACTTTGATTGGATGATACATAATAAATATCCTGAGCGATGGTTATTGCAAAAAACGTCGATTTTTTATTATTAGATAATAATAATTTTCACAACTCACCGCTCGCAACTTCTTTCTTTATGACCGCATCTAGTTCATCTTCATCTATTTTTAATAATTCTTTTTGTTTCTTCTTGATGTTTCTATAAAACAATGTAACTCAAATTTAATAAATAGCAACGCATTTATAACAATCTGAACTAGTGGAACAAAAATACATGGGGGGTAGGCATCACACCTGTCAAAGTCAGATTTTAATGGGTACATTGGTCCAGTGGATAATATATAGATGAGGAATATTGGAGGATGAGAAAACCAAAGCGTATTTTCACCTTTCAAACTCGGTGTGTAGATTAGAGCAAAAGTTAAAAGCGAAAGTTACTATTTTCAAATTCGCCAAAAACGGCAATCGAGTTAGTAGTAAAAGTAATTTTGAAGTAATAAACATACACACCTGGACCTCTTCTTGTATTGAATGCAATGCGTGTTCCAATAGTGCAGCTTGAGGGAGGCGTGTGTCTTGTACGTCTTCTTACACAACCTGCATTGCGTGTCCTGGAATTGACAGAATGCCGTACCGTTTGAAAACTTTAATATTTTTCACATGACGGCACTATATAAATTAAAAATCGATTACAAATTGAAAACATTCTACGACACGGTCAAGACTTGAACCATATCGAACTACTGACTCCCACACGTAATCGTCGAATTTTATCAATTTATTTTCGATTTTGATCACATATGAAAAATTATAAAGTTTTCAAACTTAGTATTTTCATGTTCAATGATTTTCTTGAGCTAAAAAGCCTAAAACTTTGAACCTTACCACGCAAATGTTAAGGTTGAAATTACATTGCGAGAGGTGCATGTATCGATAGGTTAAAAAAATTCGATGAGGACGAGTGGAACTCGGTAGTTCAATTGGTTAGAACAACAGCACGCAACGCTGACGATGCCGGTTCGAGTCCTGCCCGAGTCGTAAATAATTTTAGTTTATTTTCGATTTATAATGGTAGCGTTTGAGTTAGTTACGCCTATGTGGCTATATGTTGGCTTATTTTAGTTATTTATAACAACAGAACAAAATAACAACACAAACAAGTCTTAGAATGCAAAAATTTAATGTAATGTGCGGTCTTATCCCTAACAAGCAATCTCTTCAAGACTATATGAAAAGTTTATGTAAACCAGGTGTGCAATGTGGGCGAAACAAAATATACGATGTTAGAGAAGAAATACAATTTATAGTTATCATTACTCCGATGAGTCTTAGAGGGTAGAAATTTATCCAAGAGCCCCTAAAAGATACAAGAGAAGAGGCCTTTAAATAAAGGTGGAGAGTGTCTCTGACGTCAAATTATCCGGCCAGTTTCGGCAAACACCAACTTCGACGGAACAGATGGCGCTAGCGTAGCAATTTTTTACTTTGACGTCAAAGATATCCTCCATCTTTAGTCTCCCCGTGACCACAGCTGCTGCAAAGCATCCGGAACGTCGGGCCGTAGTAAAAACAGCTTTCGGATAAGTTTAACTAATATACATCGCGTTTTAAACCGTTAGTGCTTTATTAAAAAGTCTTATTTGTCTTATCTGGGCGATATAGTTATATTATTGACTTGGGGTTAGTACACGCACTTCACAAAGCACACAGGACATACCGTTTCAGTCATGTGGTACTTCAGATGCATGATGAGGCCCGGCTTACTGTACGTCACCAAATCGCAAATGTCACACACGAACCTCTCCGTGTGCAAATGTTTCCTCTTTATGTGATTGGAGAGGTAGCTTTTGTTATAGAAGCTGAAGGGACAAGTTGTTTATTAATAAGAGCGAATAGTAGGGGTAATTATATCAAAATTCAGTCCCTGGCAGGTGCCACCTGTCACAGATGAGAAAGCCGTGAGTTTAATCGCGTTTCGGTTAGTCTGTAGATTTCCTAATATCAAAAATAGGTCGACAGCGAATATCGTTTAGACTGTTGAGATGTTATATGATACCTGTCAGATAGGTCAACAATTGTCTACATCTTAAGTGATATATCAAGACCTAACGACTTGTGCTTGTGTGTCCAGTTTTGTTATTTATAACCACCTTCTTTTTTAAAGTCAAGTATGTTTGTTTTTTTTTATTTTTTTAATTTTTAAATAATAAAAAAAACGAAGTAAAACAATAACACTCGATGATAAGGTACACTATCAAAATCAATTACACTTAGTTTATTATACATGCATATTATAAAGATGAAGAGTTAGTTGTCTTTTTTTGTTTGAACGCGCTAGTTCAGGAACTACTAGTTTGAAATATTTTTTTTTGTGTCGGTTACATCATTTATCCAGGATAATTAATTTTAACATTCGTACTCAGGACCTCTAGCGCTTTTTGCAATGGACATTTAACAACGAAGCCCCGCACATATATATTCTTTTATTTACCCACCTCACGCCGCAATAATCGCAGATCACGGACTTCTTTTTCAGTTTATGCTGCAGCTTGTGCCTGTCCAGTCTGTGCTTCCTGGTGAACAGTCTGTCGCAGAGTTTGCACTTGAACTGCTTGTCCGGATAGTGTATGATTTCGTGTTTCTTGAGCGCCGTCTGGAACAGAAATGTAGATGTCAGATTCAAAGCAACACTCTAAAAGTTAAAAGTTCGAATTACATTAGTTGTAAACTGTTAAGCGTTTTATTGACTAGCATTTTTAAAACTGTCACTTAGTCTAAACCCCCCCCCCGCCCCTTTTTTCGAATCGAGGCTTAGTTGACTCGCCGCCTCACCTTGTCCTTAAAGGTCTTGCCGCATGCGTCGAAGGTGCACGTGTAGGGCCTCAGGTCGACATGCGACCGCATGTGCTGTTGCATGTTATGCTTGCTGCTGACCACGCGGTCGCAGACTGCACACTTCGTTGCGAATATACGTCTGTGTACTTGGTTCTGGGACATGCGAATTAAGAAAAAGAGTTAAAATTGCCGTGCCACGGCGTGTAGTGTGACGTGTGACGTCATATGCCCACGAATGACGTCACACACTGTGATTGATGTTTCATTAGACAATATTGTGATTTGTCATCTTTTATTTCTTTACTTAAAAATACTTTACTAAACATTATTTTATTCGATGAATATTAATAAATAGATCTTGAGTACTATTCGATTCACTTATCTCTTATGATGGTGCATCTCTAGCGCTCTTTTGACCTAATCGCAAACCTGTTGAGATTTTAAATAAAACACACGGTTTTAAATGCGAAATCAGTTCAACTCGGTTACAACGGGTCTCCCCGTGACCACGGTTACAGCAAAGCATCCGAAACGTCGGGCCCTAATTAAAAATAATTTGTAAACAAGTTTAAGTAATATGTTACGCGTTTTAAACCGATAGTGTTTCATGTACTACTCCCGTTATTACAGACAGTATTTAACCTGTTGAGCTGGTTTAGCTACATACTATTAGTAGCACTTACAACATGGACCTTCAGCGCGGTAGCATTTCTGAACATCTTTCCGCACGTCTCGCACGGCACCACTTTGACGTCGATGTTGAGATGCGCCTCGGTCACGTGGTACCGCAGCAGCGACTTTTTACAGAACCTGAAATGTTATTTTATTTAAAATCACATAAAACCGAAAGAACCCGGCCAGTTTCGCCAAGTATCGACTTCGACGGAACAGATGGCGCTAGCGTAGCAGTTTTCACTACCGCCGCTGCTGGAAAGCATCCGAAACGTCGAGCCGTAATTTCTAATATATATCACGTTTTAAACCGTTAAAGTGTTTTATTTAAATGTGCACTACTCGCGTAAACTACAGATAGTTATTTTAGGCATCGAAATTCGATTTGGAAATCATCTTTATAAAGTTAAACTGTTACCCACGAATACGGTCGCTTCCCGACGCTCTTGCGAGTAAATCTTAAAAAATAGACACATAGTGTCGCGGACTTTTTTTAGATAATTTAAAAGGGTATCTTTCTTCAGTACATATATTTGCGTATCTTAAACCGTTTTCGTAGTGTACGCATTAGGATTAATTTATCCCGCTTTTTTACGTTTCCCGCTGTTTCTTGCTCGTATTATAGCGCAATGTTTTATAGCCTATAAACCTTCCTCGATAAATGTTCTAACCAACAAAAGAAAAATGCGAACCAGTAGTTCCTGAGATTTGCGCATTTAAACAAAGAAACTCATCAGCTTTATACATTAGTATAGATTACAGATCGCAGCCAGCAGAATCCCCTCCCCCCGGGTGCGACAAATGGGGCCGAATATCCTCACCTCTTCTCGCAAATCTTGCAGGAATAGGTCGGCACCTGCCCGCGGTGCCTCTCCTCGTGTCTGCGGAGCGTTGAGCTGTCCCGACACGAGTATTCGCAGTACGAGCATTTGAACGGCTTTGAATCTGGAAGTTGACACTTAAAAAGTTTTTTTTTGTGACAAAGTTGAAAGGACAACCATGAAATATGTCAGCCATTTAACATGTATACAAGATGCGCCGTCGACCTATTTTGACTTTGGATATTCGATAATCCACAGACTGAAATCCAAACGCGATTAAACTGCACGGCTTTTTCGGTAGTTCGTGACGCGGACGGAATTTACATTTAATATCCAGATTTCCAAACGAAGTCCAACATGTTTCAGAAAAGTGTTAAAAGTGGTACAATTATAGCAAGGAGCCGAAAAACAGACAGAAATTTCGATTTTATTACATTGTATTTGAGTTCCAATATCGCATGTCTTATTATTTTACGTGTAAGGTAAAATTAGCAAGATCTTAGAATGTATTTTTTTTCACATGTTCTAGAAATTATATTTTATCATATTGTATGTTTTCAGGGTTCCGTATCCTATTCAAAATTATGTATTCGTTACAGATAGACCTCTTTCCTTTCCAAGTATCAGCTGGAGCCTAAACCTAAGTAAGGAACGTCGTAAGTGACGAATCGTTACGACAAACATCAAAAGCCAAGACGTAATTTTATTGCAATTTAATATACACTTATGTTATTAAATATGGCGTTCGGTTCTGGCTAATTTGCTTTTACAACGAGACCCATTCTATCGCGTGACTTCCACAATTCTAATCCACTAATATTTTCAATGCAAAAGCATGTGTGTTTACAAGTATGTGTGTTTGTCATCTTGTAACGACCGAACGCCTAGACTCATTTCAGAAAATTTCAGTAATGCTTGGGGGAGGGGTTTTGTAAGAATTTTGAATATAAGCTTAGATTTATATAAACGCATTAGTTAAACAGAAGTAAGAAAAATGTCTAAGTACTTTTAAGCGACACAGTTGAACTTATTACGACAGCCAATGAAAGTAAATAGTTATATCAAAAAACAGGCGTTAGTTTCAACGTAAAAGTGAACATACATACATCTCCATGTGGACAAACTATTATAATACTGTGTAGCTTATCGTACAAGTCTAACGTAATCGTTCCTATTCTTAAGTGGCGTTATTTATCTTCTCATAGTATTTCTGTGTACTCAGCAAACGCAAGATGTACAATGTTCAACTTTATAATGGTTTTCTTATATACGTGTAGAATTTCAATTGGTTTGTTTTGAATGGAACACTTGTAACGGTTTTAAACGCGATCCAACGTATACGTCCTCCCGTAGTCACAGCTGTTGTGAAGCATATTATTATTATTAAAAATTAAACGAATACATTTCGCGTTTTAAACGGTTAAAAGGTTCTTTTTTTAGTGTGTAATACTCGCGTAAACTACTATTTAAAAAAATAGGGTTATAAGAAATGCAGGTTTTAAAAAATCCTGTACACTTTATGTGCTATTGGACTAATCCAAAACTGCTTGACCGACTTTAATATATTTACTGCGAAGCGAATGGTGAGTTAGTTATTTGGTATATTTGTTAAGAATATTGATCATCGACTAACGATAGTAGTGTAGTCCAGTAATCGTTTGCATAAGGCGCATGTTAAGGCGGAAAGACAGACATACAAAATTTTACGTTTCTAATATAAACATGGATTTTCGAACACAGAAGGCAGAGTATTCTGCGAGGACAGGAACGCGATGTCTTGGACACCTTTCGGTCCGTCTTGTCCGGTTTTATGTGACACCGTTGTCAATGCTGTTAAAAGGTAAGAATTAAAGAGTCCGAGGGATGCCTTCCGCCACGAAGGCTTCGGCCAAAGAAACTTTTAATTATTATTTTATTTTTATTAATTCAACAGATTGTTTAAACAATTACAGATTAAAAATAATGGACTACAAGAAAACTATATTCCAAGACCTAACTATAGAGCCAATGGAGGATATGAACGAAGTAGTTTTCAATATAGAGAGAAGTAAACATACAAACGACGCGTTGCTGTCCCGAAAAACAAATAAGAAGGAAAACACGAAACGAAAATTGTATAAATCATACAACAATTACAAGGGTGATCCCATAAACGCCATTGCCGATAAAAATGAGAATAACAGAAGGATTTTTAAGGAAAATGATATAAGTTACAAAATAGATGACGTCCCACGCTTGATGGACAAGATGGCGTTCCTTCTCAAAATGGCGGATAAAAATACTACGAGTTATTTAAATGGAACAAGGAAGTCGAATTTGGACGCCGGTTTCATAAACATTATGACGAATATTCTGAACAAATATGTCAAATCGTCATTTAGATTCACCCAGGAGATGACGGAGGTATGATGGTAAAAAAATCGAGGGATTTTCATACTTTTCAACGAAAACAATGCCATCATCGTTGATACGGTTGTTAAACATTCATCATATTCACCTTATTTGTTACAAAGTAAAATTAAAAATAGCTCAATTGAACATCTCTTTGTGTTAGAGGCTAAATTGCCCGATTAATTTGTCCGTAACTACTTTAACCAGTTTCAAAGCGAATAAAATAAATAAAATAAAATATACTTTATTCTCTTTAAAATTTCAAAAATTATTTGGATTCGCCAAAAGATGTTTGTCTGTCTGTCTGTCGTGTATGTACAGCTTCTGGACATGAAATTAAATGTATCTGTTGCCAATTTTCCTTTTTAGGTCATTCTCAAAAAGCTCTTCGACTCGAGCAGACACATCGGGCACAATTTATATGACGTCAACAAATTATTGAAATACTTGAGAAAGACGGTGCGGATCCATTCAAGTTACGAAGACAACTACGTCATTACTTTAAAATCTAGGGATTGTCTGTCTATCAATCTACCAGGGTGCTTTTGTAAGCCGGGGTAGGTATTATGAGGATGCTGAGAGCTAAGGATGGATGGTAACGCCATTTGTTGTGGGTTCCAGTCCCGTCTGGGTTACAATTATTTATGATTTTTTTCATCCCACAGATTTGCAGAGAAATCTGGGCGTTGTCTGGAACCATCAGAATGCATTTTAGATGACTCGCTTTTGCTTTATTTAGATAGAATTATAGTGTTATAGTATATAATTTTTAATACCTATATTTCTGAGCAATACATGCTAATATGTATTGTAACATTCAAGTTTGTTTGATTGGATGTTGTAATTGTGGCATCTTATAATTTTTATATTCAATACAAGGAATAGAAAGTGTGAAATTGGATGTTAATTTTTTATCAAGTCTTCATAAACTTTCTCATAATACAACAATTTTGTTTTTTTAAGTTAAATTTAAATAATTAAACTCACGCTCACCACTTAGGGAAAGATTTATACCACTAATCTGTTTAAATAAAACACTATAATTTAAAGTGTTATACTTCAAATTAACTAATTTTAAATACAGCCTGAACCTCATATGACAATGACTATTGCAAAGCATCCGCTATGTAAACCATTAAAATTGTTTTATTTAAATGTGTAATAGTCGCATAAGCTACATATTACTTTTAAATAAGCTCTATTATACTCACTCGTGTGTATCAAAATATGTCCAGAGAGTGTGTACCTTGAATTAAACCCCTTTTTGCACCATTTACACTTGTATGGCCGCTCATCTGAAAGACAATTTTTAAATCATTAGCATAATGAGCCTTGATAGTGTCCATAACTGGGACTTGGTCCTTCTGTGTAGGCTGTACTCTATCATGTTGGAGAATAATGCTTTCCCAAAATTGTCCCTGAAATTTCCATAAAGAGAAACTCCAGACTGCAAATACCAAAAATGAGGATCCTAGTAGACCAATTTGAGCTCTTCTGTGGTTGCAAAATCAATTTTTTGTAATAATAAGATCCCACTTCTACTACGCGCGACATTGGGTAAAGAGATATACACCACTCACCAGTGTGTACCAATCTGTGTTTTTGTAGCAGGGATTCAAAATGAAATTTCTTTCCACAAAATTCGCATTCATGTCCTGTAGCTTTTTTGTGCACACGGCGCAAATGTTTGCTGACATATTTTTTTGTTTTGAAGGTAGCATTACATTTGGTGCATGCAAAGGGTTTATCATCAGAGTGAAGCTGCAGATGGTGGTCAAGACTGTATTTATCGCTTAGTCTCTGTAAAAGATGACGGTGATGATAAATTGATTAATTCTTAAAGCATTTATAACGTTAATTACACACGTACCTTCGAACAGTGAGGGCATTTATGGGTCTTAGGCTTAGATTTCTTCTTCACTTTAGCCATTATAAATCTGCTTCACTAAAATGGCTTAAAGACATAATTAAGATAAATGTAGGTAGGAATAATCTTAAGAATTAACATAGCTGCTTTAGTATTCAGCAAGGAGATACTATTCAAGTTTTGTACTTTATTATATTTATATTATTATATTTTGTATTAATAGGTAAAGTGTTGTACTAGTATTCATCATAAAATACTAATATTGTTCTACATTTAAGAAACTTTTAAAAGATATTCAATAAATGTACAGCATAAATATTTAAATCAAAACAAAAGTGTATTGTTATACTGACATTATCTTATAGCATTGACAGTTGACAATGAACACAGATGTAGTGTCTGTCACTGTCAGTGTAAAGCACAGATTAAATGTCCATATCAAGTTATTATACAGTGTTACTTGTGTCTTGTTGGAGTTTCGTATCCAATTGTAAATAAAATCTTATATCTTTCTCCTTTTTACCTTTTTGAAATGTTAACAAAATAACTTAGTATATTAACTTTGTACTAAAAAACACATTTAGGATAGGATTACATTTAATGGCACGACTTAAAGTGATTGAAAAAGGGTTGATATTTGAAGGATGTCTACCTAATTAACAATATGAAACTCTTTGCGCGTGTTTTTGAGTCGTACTGGGATAGTTTTGATATACTTATTAACCTGCAATCCCTTAAACAGCTAAATCGAGCCGGCTTAGCAAGTCAAATAAATGTCGTTAAACAAAACAAAACAATAAATGACTTTTGGAAAATACCGTTGCGTTTAAAAAAATGTACTCTGCCGTTTGCACTCTAAAAGGTTATAACGATAAGGGCATAACAAATATAAATAAAGTAACAAAAGAAGCTCACGACATACTTTATCGATTTGTTTATGAGCTCATATTAAATACACACGTGTAATTTTTTTTACGATAAGGATTTTAATGATACAATCGTTTTTAATAAAAGCAAGCGGACCTTGGTCATTAAATATTGTAATCCATGTCTCTTCCGGTCAGACATAGTATCAAATTAATAATAATATTAAATTGTAAATTAATACCTTTACATATCTCCTTTGAATATGAGATAAAGAGACGGCATATTTTTATGATGTGTCACCATTTTTAAATAATTCGGCAGCGCGATAATAAAAACAAGTTAAGAGAAAAGTAATATCTATATCCAATATTCCATTTATTACAGTACAGCTCAGTTCAAAAGACTTTAACATCAAAATTGTTTACGGAATGAACCAAATTTGAATGTATGTATGTACCAAAACCTCATACATCTAGCTTTGGACGGAGCGCTAAATCACTAATGATTAAACAGAAAGTAAAGTTATTGTTGGAAGTAAAAACAAAAAAATAAACATTTATCCCCCGCTTTACTTTAAACTTGTTTCCCTATTTTAATCTCTAGTATATTTCGTATAGAAAACTATATAATCTGCACGTTTATTATCTGTGCATGCACTTGACATTTCAGATTATGTCACACCGCGGCTTATTTTTAAATCATAAAATCGATGTGAAGTAAAATAATTTTTATTATACACACGATACATCTTTAAAGGATAATTATATGCAGCAATTAACTCTTTTATTTCGCTTACAATGTGTGTAACGTGACTAATGGTGTTATAAATTATGAATTTACACAATATAACCTTGATATAAATACGAATAAGCTGTCTACTTTTATTTCGTTCCAAGACCTTGATTTAATACCAAGGTGAGTTTTTGGCTAAAGAAATGTCTGTTTCATATGTTATTATCTCATAAGTTCTTAATATATTCGACTATTTACATCTAATAAGGATTTTTAGAGGTTATAAGTATTATGTCACTTTAAAAATATTTGTGTAATTTTCCTGAACGTTACGTTAATTTATACTTAAGCTTCGTTCAAATAAATTTGCCTGCTAGAAATACCCAATCTACGTGTTATTAGCATTTAACAATTATTTTAATTTATATTTGAGAAAATGATGTTCATAAGTGATAAGAGTTTTCTTAAACAATTTTTAGTTAAAAAACAGTTGTTTTGTGTCAAAAAAAAATCTATTAGATTATATTTTTTTAAATTATTTTTCAGATCATGTTGAAAACAAGCATAAGTCATTGTGCAAAAATGAAAATACAACCCCTGCTGCAAATAAACCGACATCTAACAAAACACATATCACAACTACCCTCACAATATGCATGTGGATTGTATTATAGAAACCAAAGACAACCAGTATTTAATAGAGTTCATTCAACACAGAGTGACCACCATAGGCAAAAAGTAGTTATAGACACGAGCACACCGAAAATCGTGATAGAAAAAATTAAGGAGGGTAAAGAAGAGAATATTAAATTCTTTTGGAGGGATAAAGTTGATCCTTATATTAAGTTGGCAAGGTGGGACAAACCTATAGGTGAGTTATACATTAAATAGGCACTTATTTATTAAGAATATCGAGGCAACAAGTATTTAAATATTTTATATTAAAATATTAATAATTACATATTATATACAAAGTTATCATTTGTTAGGAAGGAAATAAGTTTGAATTTGGTATAAAACTCTACAAAATTGTTTACTGACTATTTAATGAAATGGTGGTGTTATCTTCTACTTGTATCTTGATTATTATTTTTAGTTAATTTGAGAGTATTTGCATTATACGATAGATTATAATGCAATATATTTTGCATGGCATGAGACAATTACTGAATATTCACCACTCAAATAAGTAATTAATCTCCAGGTGTCTACCTCCTCTATTTTCCCGGCACCTGGTCAATAGCACTGGCATCCATTGAGGGAAATGTAGATTTGTATACTAGTTTAAATACAGCTGCACTCTTTCTGGCCGGTGCTGGACTTATGCGTGGAGCTGGGTGCACCATTAACGATCTGTGGGATAAAGATATTGATAAACAGGTACATTTGTGAGTGTAAATCCTAAACAGAGTTTTTCCTTCTTAAATTTCCATAAAAATTATCTTTTTATATGTTTTTTCTATTTTCAGGTAGAACGGACAGCGAACAGGCCACTAGTGTCCGGTGCCATCACTGATAGACAAGCTGTGGGATTTCTGGCCCTGCAGCTCAGTTTGGCCTTGGGAGTTTTACTTCAATTAAATTGTTATAGCATCGTCCTGGGAGCCAGTAGTATGTGTAAGTGTATATTGAGTCCTTCATCTGATCCTAAATCTTTCTGGGGAACTTAAAATACTAATACTTAACTTAGGGTTTATTGAAGTCTTGAATCAAAGACAATTAAACAAATTATTTTGTTTTTAATAATATTTTCAGTAGTTGTTAAAATTAGTCCTTAATCGTTGTCGGGACTTCAACTACCAGTTTTTAACTATGCTGGTTCTTATGGCGGTGTCATTGTTTACGCATATTTTTGCTTTACTACCAACTATGAAAAACTGTACCTCAGCACTAAAATCCAAATGATTTTTTACTCTATTTTACAGTTTTCGTGGTGACCTACCCTCTAGCGAAACGTTTCACGAACTACCCTCAAATCTACCTAGGTGCTACCTTTAATTGGGGGGCACTCCTCGGCTACTCCGCTATACAAGGACAAGTGGAGCCTGTTATATGCCTACCCCTGTACACCGCTGCATTGGCTTGGACGGTTCTTTACGACACTATATATGCCCACCAGGTGATTAGTTTAAAGTAAAAATGTATACTGATGTGTTTTGTGATTATAGTTCATATAAATGCTTGGGAGAAACAATAATTCACCGACTACCAAGTCATGACTGACCTTATTTCCATTTTAAAAACCTGCAATAACTCCTATAATTCTGTTTTTTTGTTCTTCCAGGACAAAATAGACGATTCCCGAATCGGTGTCAAGTCAACTGCACTGACCTTTGGTAGAAATACAAAGCCGGCATTGTCAGCCGCACTGGCTATCAGCTTAACAGGTTTCTCGCTTGCCGGTCACGCGGCGGATCTGGGAGTATTGTACTATGCCGGATTACTGGCGTATGCTGGCCATGCCGGAAGACAGGTATCATTATTATTTATCGCTACATTTTTCAAACACATCCTTGGTGATAAAACTGCTAGGAATCGTTCAAAATAGTGGTTTGGAGCCTATACACATAAAAGCTTTGATTATTAAAATGTTTCAGACATAGAGAGGGCAACTGTGAATAATATCAGACATAGAAATGTGTCAGACCCATACCCCACGGTATTTTAATTTCTCAATGTACCATCTGTTTCAGATTTACACACTCAATCCCGACTGTCCAGAGGACTGTGCTAGAAAGTTCAAATCGAATGCTATGGTGGGTATGATTATACTTATGGGAATTATTGGCGGCGGTTACCATAAATACATTGAAAATAGAGAAAAACACAGAGGCAAAGAGAATATACAGGCGGCGAAGAGTTGTGTTTTCGGTTAAAGTATGAAAAATGTTTATACTAAAGTACTATATTGTTTAATGTACTTGTATTGTAAATATTATCTCTGTTTTGTGTTGTCACAATGATTATCCTACATGAGACAAGATATATTGCGACAATATTTCCACACTATTATCATAGATACCTCATGAATTACTATCTACATGTTAACCCAACTCTGCAAGGAGGAAAGGAGAAATGGGCAGCTGATAGTGTCGACTGTTCATCCGGCCTTCTATCAGTGTCCCTAATATAAAATAATAACAAAATGAAAATGTTGTTTACAATGGCTGTGACATATGTAATTTTACTTTGTTTAACAAAGTGTGTGAATATGAATAATATAGTCATGTTTGTATGTATGTATACATACGTTAAGGTTTTGTAGAGATTGTATAGGAAGTACAAAAGAGGCGGGAGCGCAGACACAAATGCCATTCGTTAACTGGCAATACTAAGAGATCTCTGTAATAAAATAAAGAGGGGTATTCAAAAGATATACATTTTATATGATTTCTAAATTTTATTGACACATATAATGTTTTAGATTTGTAAGTCAAAGTGTAAATATTGTATATAGGTGAACATTACCAAAAATTAGATTTTTAGTTTTTTGTGGGTTGCCTAAAGCATTTAACAAAAATAATCTAAGATTTTATTAAGTAGAAACTAATGAAGTTTAGCTTAAATTAAAATATATGTTATATATTGGTTTGTATTGGGTATAGAATTACTGCTTTCTCTAAAATGTTCTTTCAAATATATATGAAGGGTAAATTGAGAAAAACTATAGATTATTTTGTGTCCTCTGAAACACTGAAAAAGATATAAAAGTGATTTAAAAATTAGCTTTTATACCTAATACATAGGTTATTAAGTTTCGACATTGTTATTGCTGTGTAAAATCAAATTTTATTCTTGCCAAGTTTTGGTTTAAATAAATCCAAACATGTTAAAAAATATTGTGTTTTTATTATTTATAATGTTTAACCAGGGCTAAGTACCGAAACTTCTTTATTCGAAGATGTGGCGTTTCATGAAGATTCCGCGAATACATAAAGATAAAGAATTTAATTTTTATGACTTCTATAGATAAATACTGTCTATAGTTTACGCGAGTAGTACACATTTAAATAAAACACTTTAACGGTAATATACCGTGTTTTAAACCGTTAAAGTGTTTTATTTCCATAGACAAGTCAATGTTGATAAATTCATTTCAAGGCTCAGTTATCCGCCTTAAACCCATACTGAGGTCTTCTTGAGGCTCTTCTTCGATGGGTGTCCAATATACAATTTTCTCAAATCGGTTTCCCTCGAATCTTAATTTTCTATTTAAAATTTCTATCACATTTAGCCGCGAGTACGGAGCTCTTATTGCATAGAAAATCGTGGTGGACAGCTTAGCAAATTAGCAATACAAAAATATCCTTATAAACCACATCACCTACTCATTTGATTGAAGGTCGTGTTCATGTTTCTATGGAATTTTTTATATAAAAATTTCATTTTCTACTGATTTATCTTTTTCAATTTATAAAATGTTGAATACCGTGTGTACTTTACGCGAGTAGCAAACATTTAAATAAAACACTATAACGGTGTAAAACATGATATATATGTATATCTCTTCTCGTGACCAGAAACAAAGCATCCGAAAAGTCGGGCCCGACTTTTAGGTAGGTGAAATCATTTGCAAATAAGTTTAACTAAAAAAAGTTCTACTCTACAAAAAGTGATTCTTGCTGCCATCGATCTAATACACTAGATACACAATCCCATACAAAATTTGCCTAAAAAATGTCCCTAAACGTTTTGACACAACCATAGTTAATATTAATAACATTAAATATACATTGATTTAAATTCAACCTTAACTACATGGAATAGGGTTGTCTTTACAAAACTTCTAACAAAAAGAAATAATTTTTTGAGCTATATACTACATCAGAACAAATTCAATCTTACGGTCTTGTGTTAAAGTCAAAATTACAAAAAGCCAACAAAAAACAATTAAATTTTACGACCGAGACTCAGGCTTGGACAAGGAATGAATAATTAAATTTAATATATTTTCATACAATACTTTTAAAAAATTGACAATTTTTTTCATAATATTGGTAACGGTTATTTTATTCTATTATATATGGATATATATGTTGTGATTTAACTGAAAGTAAATTTTTTCGACTATCAACTTCATTACAACAATATATCAAAATTATAAATTAATTGAAACAATCAGAAAATAAATTTTTTTATTTTTATGTGTATCTAAATATAAATTCAATAGTTATGAATATAAATTATAAAGTCTTTCGTAAAATGTAAGAATACATTCAAACTCAATAATTATATGCCATATGAACGCACTGTGGAAGTACGCAAAGTAAACAATTTTAGCAGTCTTGATATCTGTAATTTGAACGATCGATCTGTAAGTCTAATCTTTCTAACAGCGTAAGCAGCAGAGTGGAGCTTGCCAGACACATTTCTGATTTACATTCTTCACATCTTACTGGATCACGGGGAAAGCTAAAAAAAATCAAAGTTTTAATTTTCTTACATGCACATATTAAAATTTATATAAATATATCTGCAATATTTCATCATATAATGTATATTCATACAAAAAAAAACATAAAAATAAAAAATAGCGTCTCTAACAAACAGAACAGAGTCAACACACGTAATCCAACCAATTAAAGTGACATTAGCTTAGTATGAATTAATAGTTTTGTAACAGTCTTTATAATTGAGACGGCTTACAACTTCTGCTATTTATTACGATTAAACTAAAAAAATGTTTTTAAGTACAATATATTAATATTTACCATACAGTGATAACAATTAAATAATGATAATACTAATACTTACCGAAAATAAGAAATTCCATCCTTTTTTAAAGGAGCACTGAGGCACATTACTCGCGGAACGTCGGAATGCTCGCACTATACTAAAAGAGCACCCAAAAGTTCGAAGGGGCGCTCTTTCAGTGAGAACGTTTTTTGACGCTGACTGTGTATCTAGTTTATTAGTGATCGATGCTTGCTGCACACAAAATATAAGAGAATTCACATCTGTGGTTCACGTTTGATTAGCTCTTTTATAGTCAGTAACCAGAATGTCAAATTGACATTAATAACTGTCAGTTGACATTCAAGTGACCAGTGTCGACAGCGACCAGCGGGCAGCGACGCCATTTCAATCTAAGTGTGTGAGGTATCTTAGTATCGCGTTAGAGAAAAATGATGCATTATTCTTAGGATTGATCTTTTAATGAATACATTTTGCCATTTAATTCGTTATCTTTAAATATATAATATTAGTTTATAGTTGCTGAATACTATAGTCAAGGTATTTTTTCCACTTTTAGTGGGTTAACAAAACATACGTAGTTCCAGTAACTTAATTTGTTTTCTTGCCATATTTATATTTAAGTGTTTTCTTTAATTTGTAGCATGTTTCGTTCAACGTCGGAGGCTGCTAATCGCTTTCCAATGGAAGAAAAAGTACAGACAGAATTTTTATTAAGTGAGACATACAGTTGTGACTTTTGCGATTCCGGTGGTTGGACCAGCGAAACTGAGGTGGAGGTCCACAAGCATATAAGACACAAAAAAACTTTGCTGGATCGGTTTAACAGCGAGTCGGAGACAATATGTAAAGTAAGGAAAACTTATAAATTCTCAATTCACGTAAATTGACAATACATGGTTTTACAAATGAGTACGGTGCCAAAATGGTATTCCTTAAACACAAAGATTACATGTACACTCGAAACACTCGATGCAAGGTAACATGTTCCAGGCATTTTTATAATGCAATTCTAAAACAGCTAAGTCTGTGTCCTAAATTCTTGTATCTAATTCACTAAATATTCTCAATGACTCCTTGAGAAGTAGACATGACATGCTGAGATACCTGTTATTGGTCTAAGCTGATTGCAAATAAGCATGTTTAGTACAGGCAAGGTATTGAATACTGATGTCACTGTCTGAGCTACTTATCAAACTTAACTATAATCATTTCTTCGAATCGTTGAACATACTTTAGATGATTATATAATAGATATTTTAATCTTGCAGATATGTTTAGGAGAATTTCAATCAATTGTAGAGCTGGAACAACATATTAAAACTGAACACCTCCTCAGCTCAAAAGATGCGACCCACATAGAGAGGGAGGTATTCATCTGCGACTACTGTCAATCTCTATTCTTTAATAAGAAGCAAGTTTTAGTACACATTGTCCATTGCCACTACACAGAGAAAAGCCAGAAAGTTGAATGTCCACGATGCAACCGCTTTACCCCGGGTAAAAGTATCTGGTTCCACTATAACCACCATAATATAATAAGTGTAGCGACATGCCAGATATGCTTTTACAAGTGTAAGAACAAAAGAGTTCTCCAAGAACACTTGCAGACCCATAAAAAGCACCTATTCTGCGATATATGTCAGTACGAGACAAGGAAAGAAGATTTATATAAACAACATGTGCAGTCAAAGCACAGCCGACAGTATAATCTTCCCTCATATGATATAAAGAAATATTTTTATCCAACAAATTGTGCTAATAGGTTAGTCAAGACGTCAAATTTCAGAGGGCTTATGTTGTCTAACGGTTTTAGAGTATGTGTGTTATGTCGGTATATATCGGACGATGTGAAGAAGATGCAGAACCATTTGCATGAACATGTGAAGGGTAAAGATGTAGTAGCGAATAAGTATGTTTGTATGTGCGGTGAAGTTTTCTTGAATAAGGTGCTGTTGAAACATCACCTGTTTAAACTGAAGGGTCACCATGCTACTGTCAGTTAGTTTATAGAATATTTTAAAGTTGATAAAGGTTCAAATAAATATATAAGCAGATGTTTGAAAATCTACAGACGTTAACACATTTATATTGAACTCTGAACAGCAACATACTAAAACACATTATTTACCAAATTACTGAGCTGAGGAAATCTATTCTCCGTCTCACAATTTTCAACTTCATGAATTATGGTGAGGAGTAAATTCATGTGCACGAGGCATCGTTACCACTGTTGGCTATAAAAGAGCAGATTGTGTTTTTTTTTATCTTATGTACAATAAAATTTAGTATGTATTGTGAAAATAATAATGTATTTTATTTCATATACAAGGTTGGTATTCTTTGTTGATATTAAGCTGAAACACGCGAAACATCTCTTTATTCGCAGAATCAGGATAAAAAATCAAAATTTAAAAAAAAATGAAAACTCACGACGTTATGAGATTTTTTCATGTTATTGTTTATCCAGCAATATCATGGTCACTGAGCAGGCGCCGACGCAGCGCGCTATCTCGCACCCCCTCCCTCTCCGCTCCGCGTCCTGCACCTTACAACAAACAATTCACTAGTTTTATGTACCTATCGTCTACTCACTGAATGTATTAAGAAATTTTTGGCAATAACATTTCCCATGACACTTACAGGCTTCGGACTGTCAGAATGGTTAAACGGCATGTAAGTCTAGCGTTCATTATTGAGACAAAAACTATTCCGGCGTGTTTAAACATGTTAATCACCATTATTTACACTAATTTATCGAATCACCTTTTAGAAAAACGGTGTTAGAATGAATCAGGCCTAGCTAAGCGCGGGTTTCATGAGCCCAGTGATGACTGCTGTGAACATTAAAGAGCCCACGACGTGTAAAAGTGCATTCGTCGGTAAAAATAATGTTTCTGTCTTGTTTAAGTCACTCGCTAAATTGGACTCTTTGGGCTTTATCATTTTCGAGCAGCTCTTGTAGTGGTCATTCCTTAAAGTCCGCCATACGTAAGGCTGACTCACGTTGAATAATCTCCCTACTTGCGTTATACTGCTCTTGGGGTTATCAGCCACGTAATTAAAAATTTGTTGCTGGACGTCAACGGGGATGTGAGCCACGCCTCTGCCTACTACGACTGGTCTGAACTGGCCAGGGTATCGTAAGCGCTGCATAGCGCCCAGCATTGTGTTCCATGATACTAAGATGCCAAATTGTTCATGATAACGTCTCACAGCTCGCTTTGTTAATACAAAGCGACGAGCCGCCGCCGCGGATATTCCGAATTTTTAGACCTATTTAGTTATACTTATGTAGGTATTTATTTATCAAACGGTGTCCAAGATTTCAAAAATTTTGACAAAAAATATAACGTGGTATAAAAACTATTGGGATGGATTTTGCTACTGATTCTGAACAAACTACTTTCAGGTTTCGCATGAACTAGGAATAACCTTGTATATTATAACTATTGTATGATTATGTCTTTCTATGAAAGTTGAGTATTTAAATAAAACACTTTAACGGTTTAAAACGCGATATATTAGTTAAACTTATTTGAAAATGATTCTTAACATCGGCCCGATGCTTTGAGACTAAAGATGGAGGAGGTCTCTGACGTCAAAGTAAAATATTGCAACGCTAGCGCCATCTGTACGGTTCAAATAAGTTTAACTAATATATGTATCGCGTTTTAAACCGTTAAAGTGTTTTATTTAAATGTGTACTACTCGCGTAAACTATAGACAGTATTTAAAGTTGAGTATTTTAATTATAGGAAGAATTTTATAATAAAAGTTTATGAACTGATACATTAATTATTATTAGAGCATTACAAACAAGCATGGGGTCGTAAAGCGATAGAACGGATTCGACGGTAGGTAAAATCCCGCAACCATATTTTTTATCTTACGATGCGCTGTTGACCTGTTTTATTAGAGTTCGAGATATGAGAGATTATAACTAAGCTTTCATCGGGCATGAACTTTAAACCTCATTCAATACTAGCCTTTGGGCGCGACTTTGTCTGCTACTGAGAGGATTAATATAGCTGGGTATTAAAGATGGCAACTAACACAAAAAATTATTACAAATCATTAAATTAGAATCAGAATGGGGCTTATAATCACCCTTTGTCAGTCTCACGACAGCGATAGGTAAGCGGTTAAAATTTGACACTTGTATAAACATATTATATTAGAGTGGAGGACCAAGAGAACTGGGGCTGTAGCTGTTGAAACTATCAGTACTAATTATGAATAAATCAAAGGTCACAACGTTAACGGTGTGTGTGGAATGGAACAAAGCCATCAATGCTAAATGGAAAATGAAACAAAGCGATCAATGCTAAACAATTTAATGAAATCTCAATTCCTGAAACATGCCACAACCGTTTTCCGTATTCATTTCAATTGCTCTTAATAGTCGTCAAAATTGATTCTTAGTTAGTAAACGCGATCGGCGTTTCTGTAGTTCCTCGGGTAACCGAAATCGGATTCTGGTACAAAAGTCCAAGTGACGGTTCCTTGGTAGCCATCGAACGGGAATGAATTGTAGTAAGGTACGGCGACAAAACATTGACCAGAGTTGTCACCATTATTGACATACCCGTTGCCTTGTCCTTGGTTTTGCCCCTGGTTCTGGCTTTGACCTTGGTTCTGGCCTTGTCCTTGGTTTTGGCCTTGTCCCTGGTTTTGACCCTGTCCTTGTCCTTGGCCCTGGCCTTGTCCCTGGTTTTGGCCTTGTCCTTGGTTCGGCCTGTTTGGTTCTGGCCCTGTCCTTGGTTCTGGCCCTGTCCTTGGTTCTGGCCCTGTCCTTGTCCTTGGTTCTGACCCTGTCTTGGTTTGACCCTGGCCTTGTCCCTGGTTCTGACCTTGTCCCTGGTTTTGACCCTGTCCTTGTCCTTGGTTCTGTCCCTGTCCTTGTCCCTGGTTTTGGCCTTGTCCTTGGTTTTGGCCTTGTCCTTGGTTTTGGCCCTGTCCTTGTCCCTGATTTTGACCTTGTCCTTGGTTCTGGCCCTGTCCTTGTCCCTGGTTTTGACCTTGTCCTTGGTTCTGGCCTTGTCCTTGGTTCTGACCCTGGCCTTGTCCCTGGTTTTGACCCTGTCCTTGTCCTTGGTTCTGGCCTTGTCCTTGTCCCTGGTTTTGACCCTGTCCTTGTCCCTGGTTTTGGCCTTGTCCTTGGTTCTGGCCTTGTCCTTGGTTCTGTCCCTGTCCTTGGTTCTGACCCTGGCCTTGTCCCTGGTTCTGACCCTGACCTTGTCCCTGGTTTTGACCCTGTCCTTGTCCTTGGTTCTGGCCCTGTCCTTGTCCTTGGTTTTGACCCTGTCCTTGACCTTGTCCTTGGTTCTGGCCTTGTCCTTGGTTCTGGCCCTGTCCTTGTCCCTGGTTTTGACCTTGTCCTTGGTTCTGGCCCTGTCCTTGTCCCTGGTTTTGACCTTGTCCTTGGTTCTGACCCTGGCCTTGTCCCTGGTTTTGACCCTGGCCTTGTCCTTGGTTCTGGCCTTGTCCTTGTCCCTGGTTTTGACCCTGTCCTTGTCCCTGGTTTTGGCCTTGTCCTTGGTTCTGGCCTTGTCCTTGGTTCTGGCCCTGTCCTTGGTTCTGACCCTGGCCTTGTCCCTGGTTCTGACCCTGACCTTGTCCCTGGTTTTGACCTTGTCCTTGGTTCTGGCCCTGTCCTTGTCCTTGGTTTTGACCCTGTCCTTGACCTTGTCCTTGGTTCTGGCCTTGTCCTTGGTTCTGGCCCTGTCCTTGTCCCTGGTTTTGACCTTGTCCTTGGTTCTGGCCCTGTCCTTGTCCCTGGTTTTGACCTTGTCCTTGGTTCTGTCCCTGTCCTTGTCCCTGGTTTTGGCCTTGTCCTTGGTTTTGGCCTTGTCCTTGGTTTTGGCCCTGTCCTTGTCCCTGATTTTGACCTTGTCCTTGGTTCTGGCCTTGTCCTTGGTTCTGTCCCTGTCCTTGGTTCTGGCCCTGTCCTTGTCCCTGGTTTTGGCCTTGTCCTTGGTTTTGGCCTTGTCCCTGGTTTTGACCCTGTCCTTGTCCCTGGTTTTGGCCTTGTCCTTGGTTTTGGCCTTGTCCTTGGTTTTGGCCCTGGCCTTGTCCCTGGTTTTGACCTTGTCCTTGGTTCTGGCCCTGTCCTTGGTTCTGGCCCTGTCCTTGGTTCTGGCCCTGTCCTTGTCCTTGGTTTTGGCCTTGTCCTTGGTTCTGGCCCTGTCCTTGGTTTTGGCCTTGTCCTTGGTTCTGGTCTTGTCCCTGGTTCTGTCCCTGTCCTTGTCCCTGGTTTTGACCTTGTCCTTGGTTCTGGCCTTGTCCCTGGTTCTGACCCTGTCCTTGTCCCTGGTTTTGGCCTTGTCCTTGGTTTTGGCCTTGTCCTTGGTTTTGGCCCTGGCCTTGTCCCTGGTTTTGACCTTGTCCTTGGTTCTGGCCCTGTCCTTGGTTCTGGCCCTGTCCTTGTCCTTGGTTTTGGCCTTGTCCTTGGTTCTGGCCTTGTCCCTGGTTTTGACCTTGTCCTTGGTTCTGGCCCTGTCCTTGTCCCTGGTTTTGACCTTGTCCTTGGTTCTGGCCCTGTCCTTGTCCCTGGTTCTGTCCCTGTCCTTGTCCCTGGTTTTGACCTTGTCCTTGGTTCTGGCCTTGTCCCTGGTTTTGACCCTGTCCTTGTCCTTGGTTCTGGCCCTGTCCTTGTCCTTGGTTCTGGCCTTGTCCCTGGTTTTGACCCTGTCCTTGGTTTTGGCCTTGTCCTTGTCCCTGGTTTTGGCCCTGTCCCTGGTTTTGGCCTTGTCCCTGGTTTTGACCTTGTCCTTGGTTCTGGCCTTGTCCCTGGTTTTGGCCTTGTCCTTGGTTCTGGCCTTGTCCCTGGTTCTGGCCCTGTCCTTGTCCCTGGTTTTGGCCTTGTCCTTGGTTTTGTCCTTGTCCTTGGTTTTGGCCCTGTCCTTGTCCCTGGTTTTGACCTTGTCCTTGGTTCTGGCCTTGTCCCTGGTTTTGACCCTGGCCTTGTCCCTGGTTTTGACCCTGGCCTTGACCCTGGTTCTGGCCCTGTCCTTGTCCCTGGTTTTGGCCTTGTCCTTGGTTTTGACCTTGTCCTTGGTTCTGGCCTTGTCCCTGGTTCTGACCCTGTCCTTGTCCTTGGTTCTGGCCTTGTCCCTGGTTTTGACCCTGGCCTTGTCCTTGGTTCTGGCCTTGTCCCTGGTTTTGACCCTGGCCTTGTCCTTGGTTCTGGCCTTGTCCCTGGTTTTGACCCTGGCCTTGTCCCTGGTTCTGGCCCTGTCCTTGTCCCTGGTTTTGATCCTGGCCTTGTCCCTGGTTTTGACCCTGGCCTTGACCCTGGTTCTGGCCCTGTCCTTGTCCCTGGTTTTGATCCTGGCCTTGTCCCTGGTTTTGACCCTGGCCTTGACCCTGGTTCTGGCCCTGTCCTTGTCCCTGGTTTTGACCCTGTCCTTGTCCCTGGTTCTGGCCCTGTTCTTGTCCCTGGTTTTGACCTTGTCCCTGGTTTTGGCCTTGTCCTTGGTTCTGGCCTTGTCCCTGGTTCTGGCCCTGTCCTTGTCCCTGGTTTTGGCCTTGTCCTTGGTTTTGTCCTTGTCCTTGGTTTTGGCCCTGTCCTTGTCCCTGGTTTTGACCTTGTCCTTGGTTCTGGCCTTGTCCCTGGTTTTGACCCTGGCCTTGTCCCTGGTTTTGACCCTGGCCTTGACCCTGGTTCTGGCCCTGTCCTTGTCCCTGGTTTTGGCCTTGTCCTTGGTTTTGACCTTGCCCCTGGTTCTGGCCCTGTTCTTGGTTCTGGCCCTGTCCTTGTCCTTGGTTTTGGCCTTGTCCTTGGTTCTGGCCTTGTCCCTGGTTTTGACCTTGTCCTTGGTTCTGGCCCTGTCCTTGTCCCTGGTTTTGACCTTGTCCTTGGTTCTGGCCCTGTCCTTGTCCCTGGTTCTGTCCCTGTCCTTGTCCCTGGTTTTGACCTTGTCCTTGGTTCTGGCCTTGTCCCTGGTTTTGACCCTGTCCTTGTCCTTGGTTCTGGCCCTGTCCTTGTCCTTGGTTCTGGCCTTGTCCCTGGTTTTGACCCTGTCCTTGGTTTTGGCCTTGTCCTTGTCCCTGGTTTTGGCCCTGTCCCTGGTTTTGGCCTTGTCCCTGGTTTTGACCTTGTCCTTGGTTCTGGCCTTGTCCCTGGTTTTGGCCTTGTCCTTGGTTCTGGCCTTGTCCCTGGTTCTGGCCCTGTCCTTGTCCCTGGTTTTGGCCTTGTCCTTGGTTTTGTCCTTGTCCTTGGTTTTGGCCCTGTCCTTGTCCCTGGTTTTGACCTTGTCCTTGGTTCTGGCCTTGTCCCTGGTTTTGACCCTGGCCTTGTCCCTGGTTTTGACCCTGGCCTTGACCCTGGTTCTGGCCCTGTCCTTGTCCCTGGTTTTGGCCTTGTCCTTGGTTTTGACCTTGTCCTTGGTTCTGGCCTTGTCCCTGGTTCTGACCCTGTCCTTGTCCTTGGTTCTGGCCTTGTCCCTGGTTTTGACCCTGGCCTTGTCCTTGGTTCTGGCCTTGTCCCTGGTTTTGACCCTGGCCTTGTCCTTGGTTCTGGCCTTGTCCCTGGTTTTGACCCTGGCCTTGTCCCTGGTTCTGGCCCTGTCCTTGTCCCTGGTTTTGATCCTGGCCTTGTCCCTGGTTTTGACCCTGGCCTTGACCCTGGTTCTGGCCCTGTCCTTGTCCCTGGTTTTGATCCTGGCCTTGTCCCTGGTTTTGACCCTGGCCTTGACCCTGGTTCTGGCCCTGTCCTTGTCCCTGGTTTTGACCCTGTCCTTGTCCCTGGTTCTGGCCCTGTTCTTGTCCCTGGTTTTGACCTTGTCCCTGGTTTTGGCCTTGTCCTTGGTTCTGGCCTTGTCCCTGGTTCTGGCCCTGTCCTTGTCCCTGGTTTTGGCCTTGTCCTTGGTTTTGTCCTTGTCCTTGGTTTTGGCCCTGTCCTTGTCCCTGGTTTTGACCTTGTCCTTGGTTCTGGCCTTGTCCCTGGTTTTGACCCTGGCCTTGTCCCTGGTTTTGACCCTGGCCTTGACCCTGGTTCTGGCCCTGTCCTTGTCCCTGGTTTTGGCCTTGTCCTTGGTTTTGACCTTGTCCCTGGTTCTGGCCTTGTCCCTGGTTTTGACCCTGGCCTTGTCCTTGGTTCTGGCCTTGTCCTTGTCCCTGGTTTTGACCTTGTCCTTGGTTCTGGCCCTGTCCTTGGTTCTGGCCCTGTCCTTGTCCTTGGTTCTGGCCTTGTCCTTGGTTTTGACCCTGTCCTTGGTTCTGGCCTTGTCCCTGTTCTTGTCCCTGGTTTTGACCTTGTCCCTGGTTCTGACCCTGTCCTTGTCCTTGGTTCTGGCCTTGTCCCTGGTTTTGACCCTGGCCTTGTCCTTGGTTCTGGCCTTGTCCCTGGTTTTGACCCTGGCCTTGTCCTTGGTTCTGGCCTTGTCCCTGGTTTTGACCCTGGCCTTGTCCCTGGTTCTGGCCCTGTCCTTGTCCCTGGTTTTGACCCTGGCCTTGTCCCTGGTTTTGACCCTGGCCTTGACCCTGGTTCTGGCCCTGTCTTTGTCCCTGGTTTTGACCCTGTCCTTGTCCCTGGTTCTGGCCCTGTTCTTGTCCCTGGTTTTGACCTTGTCCCTGGTTTTGGCCTTGTCCTTGGTTCTGGCCTTGTCCCTGGTTCTGGCCCTGTCCTTGTCCCTGGTTTTGGCCTTGTCCTTGGTTTTGTCCTTGTCCTTGGTTTTGGCCCTCCTTCCTGGTTTTGACCTTGTCCTTGGTTCTGGCCTTGTCCCTGGTTTTGACCCTGGCCTTGTCCCTGGTTTTGACCCTGGCCTTGACCCTGGTTCTGGCCCTGTCCTTGTCCCTGGTTTTGGCCTTGTCCTTGGTTTTGACCTTGTCCCTGGTTCTGGCCTTGTCCCTGGTTTTGACCCTGGCCTTGTCCTTGGTTCTGGCCTTGTCCTTGGTTCTGTCCCTGTCCTTGGTTCTGGCCCTGTCCTTGTCCCTGGTTTTGACCTTGTCCTTGGTTCTGGCCCTGTCCTTGGTTCTGGCCCTGTCCTTGTCCTTGGTTCTGGCCTTGTCCTTGGTTTTGACCCTGTCCTTGGTTCTGGCCTTGTCCCTGTCCTTGTCCCTGGTTTTGACCTTGTCCTTGGTTCTGGCCTTGTCCTTGGTTCTGTCCCTGTCCTTGGTTCTGGCCCTGTCCTTGTCCCTGGTTTTGACCTTGTCCTTGGTTCTGGCCCTGTCCTTGTCCCTGGTTTTGACCTTGTCCTTGGTTCTGGCCTTGTCCTTGGTTTTGACCCTGTCCTTGGTTCTGGCCTTGTCCCTGGTTTCCATGACCATGATGACCGTGTCCGTGCCCATTGTGGTGATTTCATTTCATGACGTGTTATGCATTCGTGTTGTGAATTGACTTGTCTTGTTTTGACCCTGGTTTTTGCCTTGGTTCTGTCCCTGTCCTTGGTTCTGGCCCTGTCCTTGTCCCTGGTTTTGACCTTGTCCTTGGTTCTGGCCCTGTCCTTGGTTCTGGCCCTGTCCTTGTCCTTGGTTCTGGCCTTGTCCTTGGTTTTGACCCTGTCCTTGGTTCTGGCCTTGTCCCTGTCCTTGTCCCTGGTTTTGACCTTGTCCTTGGTTCTGGCCTTGTCCTTGGTTCTGTCCCTGTCCTTGGTTCTGGCCCTGTCCTTGTCCCTGGTTTTGGCCTTGTCCTTGGTTCTGGCCCTGTCCTTGTCCCTGGTTTTGACCTTGTCCTTGGTTCTGGCCTTGTCCTTGGTTTTGACCCTGTCCTTGGTTCTGGCCTTGTCCCTGGTTTCCATGACCATGATGACCGTGTCCGTGCCCATGTCCGTGGTGATTTCCATGTTCATGACCGTGGTTATGGCCATGTCCGTGTTCGTGAATTTGACCTTTTCCTTGGTTTTGACCCTGGTTTTGTCCTTGATTTTGGCCTTGGTTTTGACCCTGGTTTTGGCCTTGGTTCTGTCCCTGGTTTTGTGCTTGGTTTTGACCCTGGTTTTGGCCTTGTCCTTGTCCGTGGTTGCCATGACCATGATGACCGTGTCCGTGGTGATGTCCATGTTCATGACCGTGCCCATGTCCGTGAATTTGACCTTGTCCTTGGTTTTGACCCTGGTTCTGTCCTTGGCTTTGACCCTGGTTCTGTCCCTGGTTTTGTCCCTGGTTTTGACCCTGGTTCTGTCCTTGGTTTTGACCCTGTCCTTGGTTCTGGCCTTGGTTTTGTCCCTGTCCTTGGTTCTGGCCTTGTCCTTGTCCTTGGTTTTGACCCTGGTTCTGACCTTGGTTCTGTCCCTGGTTTTGACCTTGGTTCTGTCCCTGGTTCTGTCCTTGGTTTTGACCCTGGTTCTGTCCTTGGTTTTGACCTTGGTTCTGTCCTTGGTTTTGACCCTGGTTCTGTCCCTGGTTTTGACCTTGACTTTGGCCTTGGTTTTGACCCTGGTTCTGTCCTTGGTTTTGACCCTGGTTCTGTCCTTGATTTTGACCTTGGTTCTGCCCTTGACTTTGGCCTTGGTTTTGACCCTGGTTCTGACCTTGGTTTTGGTTATCGTCGTCGTCGTCATCCCAGTCTCCATCGTCATTGGGACTGTCATCGTCATCTATTCCGTCGTCGTGCTTGAAAGGTCCATTATGTCCATTGCACGGGTGAATAATGTTCTTCACTTCATTCCACATGTTCAGCACACCTGCACGGTATGTACTTTATGTATTCAAGTAATTTTGACTTATTGAGGACAAGAAAAAGACGTCTGAAGTCATGACCGTCACATCTATACTAATACTATATCGCGCGTTCAAACAAATAAGCCGAAGAGTTTATTTGTTTAAACGCGCTAATTTCATGAACTACTTGTTCGAATCGAAAAATTATTTTGTGTTCGTTAGAACATTTGTCGAGAAAGGCTATAAAAAACGTCCACAACACTATATGTCTATCTTTTAAGATTAACTTGCAAGAACGACGGAATGCGGCCGATGTCGTGGGTTACGCCTTAAATTTAGGAGGTTTGCAAAAACTAATTTGAATGCAAAATAACTATTCTACGCGGACGAAGTCGCTGACATGTAGTAAAACGCTCCTTACATTGAGTAGGCCCATGACCACAAGTGTGCGATAGAGACAACGCACCGTTTTACCGATATTTGTTGTCTCTTTCTAAAGCTCAAAATGTTTACCTGGATATCCGTGTTTCAGCAGAATTGGATGACAAGTCTTCAGTATTCCTAACGAGATAGAGGCACCCACTGTAATGAGAAGTAGTAAGTTAGCTTATTAATTCCCTTTAAACTATTTTTTGAATTCTTGAAATATATATTTTACAGGAATTTTCCTTGACTTCATTTTTTAAATTGTTTTTTTTTTTAATGTATGTATATTTGTATATTTATAACTTCGAACTTTGTTAGTAAATTGTTTAAACTGTCACATATCTTACGAAGAAGCAACATTTTGGGAACGAAACACCTAAACTTGATTAAAAATACTGGGAATTTTAAAAATCATAATTTGTATACTAATCCACTGCTATATGTGACCAAATCAAACGGATAATATAACAAGAGTAATACTTACAATCTACCTTAAAGCTGTTTGCGAAAGCACCGATACTGATAGACACTGCAAAAGAAAGCATTAATTGAATAAATACAATCTTTAAAAACCACAAAGAGAGACAAGAACGAAGAGCTCGACTTCGTCGGCCCTAACATCTGGGACTTGAGCCCAAAGACTACGCTGGACCAAACCTCCCAGGAGGCATATCTCGGATTCCCAAATAGCATCCGAAAATCGCTGGAAGGACACCTTGGAGTTAGACGTGGACTAACTCGGTGACCAAGACGGCGTATTTTTGAGGTTGAGAACTTTGAATCCCTGCGCAAGCGCAGAAAGAATATAAATATTCTTTAATGTAGCAGTGTTAGTTATCAAGATCCTCCGAGGCGTCTCAAACAATTACAATGAATTTAAATTTATTTCCCCTTGGTTATTGCAATATGCAAAAACTCATACAATGACCGTTTAAAGGCATAGGGCCCATGATCCAAAGCTTTAAATTTATGTAGAATTGAATTTAAATAAAACTACTTACCACGTACAAGCACGTAACTGAAAGATTTTTCATTAATCTGGCGGCCTGAAAAAAAAACATTTTATTCGAGAACTGGTAATAAATTAATGGCTTTAAGTTATTATTTTTGTCTCGTTGGTCTAATTGTAGAATTATGTCTAATCAACGGGATATTTGATCCCAACAGGGTCCAACAAGTTTGAATTAATTTATAGTATTTTCGAAACATATTAGAATTCATCTGGAAATCTGGATATTTAATGGGTTGTAGGAATATCGAATTTCCGTCCGGTCCACGAACCCAGATGAAACAGCCTTGAGGGTTTATCAACTTTCGGTTTCAGTCTGTGGATTTCTCGATATTCAAAGTGGTTTTTTGTTATTGATTGTGTCATATGCTATTTTGTCTACCTGCTTGTATTTAAGTCATGAATAAATGATTCAAGCACATTCGAAAGTACTTTCGGGAATTCATTGAACGATTTCAACCCCACTCTTATCTTTCCTCTTCTGTCAAAAACTTACCATCGAGTCCTTGAGCTAATTCCAGACCAATCTTGAAAAGGACATACACGACGCCTGACGTGGCATTTAATCCTGAAAATATGAAAATGATAACTAACTCCAATCTATGACTTAATAAACTCACGAATAAAAGCGAAGTAATTAGAAATAATTATTAGTATGAGTGTAGTGTTTCTTCTCTTTACAAATTCTTAGAAACGGCTAAGACGATATTGATAAGATTTCAATGATTAAAACACAAGTAGAGACATGGGAAAGAACAGTATTTTCAATACAATTGTCTTTCTTTCCTCAATATTGTTTTTGTTCATAGTAAATATACTTCCCATAGGTACTATAAAGAGTGGGATTACGAGTGATGGGGCAAACATAATTGTATATTCGATTCAGTGATACACTTTTTCCAAGGCAAGCGGTTGAGCAGTTTCCCAGGACATATCGTGGTTGACGTGATGTTAGGGGCACTGTCCCACGTCTTACGCACCTTTTCCGTTGGTGTACCGGTTGATGAATTCGGTGACCAATTTGACGGAGTTGTTCACTTGGAAATTGGTGCATATCTCGTTGATGTTTTGACCGCATTTCTGGACTCCGAACTGTGGGAATGATCGAGAGCAGAGCGAGGGCAGAGGTCCGCCTCCTGAAAAAAAAATGATTTAACATGAATAGATGTTTGTAGCCCTTTTATGCTTGATATTAATGTTAACCCACATCTAAACCTATTAATTTTTAGGATTCGACCGAAGTGACTCTCGGTTTTGCTTAAAAGTAGACATCAACGATAGCCAAGATTTCTTGCCTGTCATCTTAACGGCTTTGAAAGATCGGTCAATCATACGTTAATTATGACTAAATTAAGACATTAACAAACTTGTAACTTACTTTGCAAAGCGTAAGGACACACGGAACTTCTGCTGTACGCAATCACCACTAGAAAGATAAACATTCATTAAAATTAGTAAGGCCCATTTTACTTCATCTGGTTCGTTTTCATTTACTATTAATAGTTTAAGACGCCCGAAAATTTTGTTAAGGTCTAACGCGGTTCGACAATGTAATCATTAATAGAAAAAAAGTAGTACAATAATAGGAGAAGTATCGTAAAGTATCTCTTACTGATACCTGTTTTAGTTATATGAGATAGTTACTAATTTTCAGTATCTAGTTCGTTAGCACTTACATCTCGCCAGCAAGGATCCGTCTGTAACAAAATAAAATCAATTAGACAGGATTCATAAAAATGTAAGTGTTGTCTGGAGATGTCTGCAGGATGTAGACATTTAAATACAACAAATTCATAATTATATAAAAAATAACTTAACTAATATTTAGTATAAAATTGTGAAAAGAGTTAAAATCTTAAAATTATTATGTTTTTTAGAAAGTTTAACCATTACATATTTTTGTAGAAAACTTCATAGAGGTACGGTAAGCTTCAGGTCGAAGTCTAGCTTGTGTAAATTAAGTATTGTAATTTTTTACAATCAAAAATATTTTCAAGCAAGTAACTGTTAAAAATGGTAACTTAAATGATGCAAATAGCGCATGCCTGTCTTTGAAAATTTCCTAACTAATAATATTTAGCTTGACTTAACAAAAATGGAAGATAAGACTGTATTCTAAATTGTGTAAGGCTTTCACGGCCATCGTTCAACATATCATTGTCCTATTCGATTGCTCGTAGAATTCTTATAATTCTTCGAGCAATCGAGGAGTTACCATCTTCTGATGATGCCGTCCACACGTGATGGCGAAACGTCGAGAACCTCTTCTCGCTCACATCGGCCGAACAGCCCGAAAGACTGTATTCTGTTTGTTTTTATGAATAGATAAGAAGTAAAAATAACTTACATCCACTAATATGATTGTCCACGATGCCACCAATTCCTGTGATCACTGTAAAGAGTAAAAAAAATAGATATATACCTTGCTAACACTATAATAATATGAAGAAATGTCTTTCTAATGTGTAGTTAATTGATCTGGGAGGCACATAGAACTAACAAATCTCTCTGCTAGCCATAGAAACTGCAAAATGTACATCTTTATAAAAAAAATATTGCTTATATTCCTAATCTATAACTTAAAATGCACAAGACATGCACGACATTCAGTGAGAGATACACTTTTGTGTCTACACAAAAGTGTATCTGTCCTATATTGATAGAAACACAAAAAATATATACTTACAGTTAGGAACCAGGTCGTACACATCGTTAATGTGGCGGGGTTTCTCTGAAAATTAAAATATATACATTAATACTACATTTTTTGAATATACTATAAATATTGCGGAGATAAGTCTTAATCTGAAGTGATTCGTGTTCAGATAAACAAATGATTCAGCTCTACTAAAGTAGAAAGATGCTTTCCTTTAAGCTCTCATTCTGTTATTGTTGAGATAGTAGACAAATTAAGTAGTGTTTCATTAAAATAAATAACAGACTAAATCACAATATCATATTCGGTGAATATAAATTATAAATTTACTTACTGTAGCCTAGAAGAAGCTTATGGGTGTTAGGTTCACATACTCGTCCGTTGGCTGGAAAAGGCGGGATTTGAATTAACGATATTGCCAAATATGACTGGTTTACAATATTAATGTCTTATCAAACTATAAACGTGTGTTTTGTTTATATTATAATTCTTACCTGAAATTTATCAAGCAATATTATATCTGTTACAATTGAATTTGTAGAAAATGTAAACAGACATGTGGAAATACACAAACAAAATACCACCTAAAATCTCACGATTGTCGTTTTATAATAAATTATTCACTTGCTGCCGCTATACAACAATTTATTTAAGTAATGTCCTTTTTTTAAAGTTTTACGCTTTTAAAACTTTAATGAAATGAAATAGCTGTCATTGTCATAATTCTATAAACATTATCTGTGAAAAGAGTTGTGTATATAATCGATTTATTTAGGTTTGTGACAATCAATAATCGATATTCACATATAAATTGTATCGTTAAGGTATACGTTATTTCAACAAAAACGATCGCCGTTTACATGTCCAAATAATCGAAAAAACAATGATGAAGAAGTCTAGCTCTTAAAAAAAACAGGAATCGGGATATTGAATAAAAAAAAATTTCATACATAAAAGCTATTATTACTTACTAGCTAGCATTATGACTTCATCTACCTTATCTACAAATTCAGTTGGAATTTTTTTTGTAATATTTAATATCCTGGTAACAAGACCTTTAAGCCAATTTAGTTGTATAATTTTTGTCTGTGCATTTTCGTAAACACTTTTTTGAGAATTTTTATTAATTTTAGCATGAAAGTGTAGTTTTTATTAAGTGAATTTGAGGTAGTTCTTTCCTTAAATATATAATCCTGTGTATCAAAGTGTTTTTAGTGTAAATCAATGTAAACCTTGTGAGAAAATCAAGAACTCATGAACATCGTATGTTTGTTTACCAAAAATGTCATTTAAGAATAAATGGACTATAACAGTTAGTAAAATTTATCACATACGGTTGCCTGCGTTGCCAAATTTGTAAAGTTGTAAAGTTCGTATATCTGAAAATGTATTTTAGGGTACTTACTTCTGTGTTTCCTAAAGAAAAGGTTGAGAGCTCCGGAAATTCCGAACTTGAACTACAAAAGAAATAGGCGAATAATTAGTTTCTGCGAGTGTTACATTGAAATAGAAAAGTTCCCTTTTATTCCCCCCTTGCCAACAACATTTTTGTATGTTTTTCTATTAACTTAGTTGTAAGCGATTGTTACTTATCTCCTAAAATAATTAAATGGTATTTTACTTACCTTATGTCCAATCCTTCCAAGACCACCGTGGTGATGTTGGTGGTTATGATGTAGGAAAGTTGGTGTACTGGATGCGACTGTGACCTGAGAGAGGTGTTAAATATTTTTTAGACATAGTTCGAACCCTTGAAAGATCTCTAGTGTTGCATTGCCTATAGAGCTTTGTTTATAATACTTTATGTGTAACTTTTTATAACACGTAAAAATTGCAATTGAATTTACTTTCAACAACTGAAATAGTACCACAACTAACCACTTTTGCAAGCCTGTGATATTTTAGAGTTAATGTATGTGGCTATCGTTACATTCAGATTCGATTTTACGAAAATCAGTCGAGCCGTTTAGGCGAAAAGAATCCATACATAAAACTTCGCATTGTCTCTGTAGTTGTCATAATCTGTTTACAGATTGCGAAAAAAAAAAAAAAAGTTTTTTCTTTTTTTTACTTATGGTAATTGGCATTAGGAGAAACAGAACAAAAGATTAAACTTACCAAGGCTAAAGCCAAGAGGATCTTGCAGGACACCATGATCACTAGAAGTGAAGTGGCTACTTAACACCACCACTGTGGCGAGCATTTTTATATCAAAAAATGTACAGCTATTTGCACAAGTGCAGAGTTGAGCAAATAAAACGAATTTCGTATGCCCGATACGATTATTTGCTGTGGTTCCGTAGATTGAAAAAAATAATAATACATAGCCTTTATATTAGAATATGCCATCCTTTTAACCTATCCAACAATTCATAGGCCACAATGACAAAATGCGGGTAGGCAGATAAAATTGTATAAAGCTTTCGCGGCCATTTTGCAAAGTTGCTTGGATTCTAGGAAATATAACCCAAAATTGGTTTGCAGAATTTTTTATGTTTAGACGTAAATGATTAACAAACATAACATTGATTCACTTTCGAATTATGCGGCAAGAAACAAAACTTATTAAAACCATTAAAATCCTCTATGATGGCAAATAAAAACTGTTTTCTTTCTTTCTAAGTTTTTACGATCTGTCAAGCAGATTAGGCACAAACACACATACTTATCGTATTTATAATGTCGGTATTAAATTCAAGACCGTCTGCTTACCCCAGACATTTTTTCACGGTAATATTTTAATTGTATTATAAAATAAACAGAGAAATAAATTATTTTCTTTGTTGACAGTTCTCATTGTGTGTGAGATTAATTGTATCGAATACAATGCGTAAAACGTGCGCAATTCTAAAAATGCTTTTTATTGCTCGGTTTGGAGCTATACTATACTTAACCATGTCTAGCATTTTGTTTAGGTGAGGTTTTGCATTTGAATCCCGGGGAAACGAACTTGGTCGAACCGAGCACACGATTCCGATCAACTACTTGTAAATGAAATCGAATCGTCCGACTGACACGGAAGTGTGTCTTTCCGTCAGAGAGCAACGGTATTTTCCTCTTTTCACTAAAACTACGACAAGAGACACATGCCAGATCCACCAAGCAGCATTTTCAATTTACCATTTGATATGCTGGTAAATTTTCACTATGTTTCTCTGAAACCTTTTTAAAACTCAACAACTAGTTCTCTAGGCTTTAATTGTGAGAAAGTGCAAGATAGAATCATAGCGAATGGCTTGCTAAATACCGGCCTCTTCTTTATATTGTAATACATGAAAAAGACCTACTACTTTTAAATAAAACTCTTTTGGCATTTTAGAACCAGCCCGTTTCTCCAAAACCCAATAAGGACGGAACATGGCGTTAGCGTAGCCGATTTGACAGTAGGGACACCGTCCGTCTTTCCACGTGACCAACGTGGCAAAGCATCCGAAACGTCGAGCCGTGGTTATATTAAATTAAAAATAATTTATTTTGCGCTTTAAAATGTATTATTCAGAAATAACACAGCCTTAAGATTAATTGTTTGTACTGAGTTTAAAAGATTATAAGAATGCACAATTACAAACTTTAGTGATGGAAGGATATAGAAGGACCAGACCTCTGTAGTCTCGGCAGAAAAGGTTTAGGTAAACGAAAACCCCATTTTAGTTAAAAAAATCTAATAACCCCAAAAAACACCTATTGTATATCCGAATATACTAGAAGCTTTACTCGGTTTTACGCTATATTTTATGATAGTGGAGCATAGACAAACATATGGTTCACGTAATGGAAGGTAAATACTCCAGTATATAACATCTTAACAAGTTGCACCGTCGACCTATCTTAGCTATGGAAATTTGACTTTAAGAATACTAGATATGATGCAGAGACAATTCTTTGAACTTACAGCTGAAACCGCTAAAACTCTCAAGCGATTCCTCTCATTCCCAGGATTATAACAAAACAATTACATTCCAATAGATAAGCGTGGGGTGCACTCGATGGTATACAAATATAAAACATTTCCAGAAGATGCGCTGTCGTTTTATTTTGGCTTTGGCTATTCGAAATCCACAGACTGAAAGCAGTCATTCTGATGATGTCGAATTTTATTGTTGTACTTTGTTGTAACAAACGAACAAACAGTCTCACATTCACATTAATAATGTACATACGCAAAATACCTACGTCATTGCTTTGTAAGAAAAACATAATTCATTAGCAGTATAAATGAACAATGCTAAAATGATACAGCTGTTTTTAGTAACCTTCAGGTAGAATGAACAAACAGGTCGAAAATTACCTTATTGTTTACCCGAGGTACTTACAGTGAAGTCGCAGTTGCAGCGAGCGGACATTTCTGTGTCTGTTATATTAATTTCATTTAGCAATACTTAGATTCCTCAAGTTTAAATCTAGGGCTGGCCAGAATTATCTCAGGCCGGTCGATCGAATCCCAGTTATGGGAAAAATAAATCTTCTAATTAAAAAAAAACATTTATTAATGACACAATTACATTTGTATACTCTGTTTGAAGTTCCTCAGTGATTTATCTGGCGATGTCGACGTCTTGTCTTTTGATGTTGATGTAATCTAAAAAAAAAGAATTTAATTAATATATCTCACATACCCAAAACCAAAATATAGGACGACTGCCCATCTTGCCCGTGTAGGTACTTCTCCCGTGATGGCTAAACGTCGAAAAGCATCTCTCAATTTCGCTGAGCGAACAGCTCGAAAACTTAAACAGCTTAACGAGAAAATGAAAAAAAAAAAAAATCAGATTAGCCTTACATTATAGAAACTAGCCGTTTCCTATTACTCATATTCATTCTCATCATCACCATCATTACTCCTATTAATCTAAAGTAAAGTTATGAAATTAAAGCTAAACTAAGACAAACTTAACAAATTCGCAACAACTTTTTAAATAAAGCAAGAAAATTGTCCTCAAATTTTTGGTTGCACCGATTTTTTGTACAAGGAAATAAAATACACAAAAGCCTACTTTTATTAAGTCCTTCAATACATACAGATATATTATTACCTTGTGAGAGTAATGCGTTTGGTATTTCGTGTTCGTGTCCTGCTGCAAGGTAGACATGGACGAACCGCCTGCTACTAGGGATTTTATAGTGGCGTGGATGACGTAGCTAGGAAATTAATTAGAACATGAGCCGGATAATTGTACTAACTAACATTGACAAATCAACTTGAGGTAATAGTACATTATGATATAAGTGTGGTAAGTTGAAAATTACAGCCGAGGCGATATTACTATAAGAAAGCAGAGGCTTGCACGTATGTCATACGAAATTTACGAGGAAATTGATAAAAACAATACATTTAAATAAAACACTTTAACGGTTTAAACGCGATATATTAGTTAAACTTATTTGAAAATGATTTTTAACGTCTCCCCGTGACCACGGCTGCTGCAAAGCATCCGAAACGTTTTAAACCGTTAAAGTGTTTTATTTAAAAACAATACAGCGAAAAGAAAAAGCGCGCGGAATTACTTTTACTTGTCCACAAATAGGCGATGCGTGCGCATCAACTTTTTTTTAGGCAAAGGTACAAAAACAGCCAGTATTAAAGTAAATTAATATTTCTGTGTTTTTGTTATAGATAAATGGTTGTAATTTATTGTCAAAATTAATTAAATTAAAGAATTAAATGTTTATTTGTTATATTTTATTTCACAAAGTTAATAATATTGACGACTTTCTTGACATAAAACCTCTTTGCTAAGATTTTTTAAAAGTATCGTTCATTTGTAGACGGAGTACCTTAAAACATTATTTAAAAAGAACACGCGTCTTTTACATTACATTATCGCACAAGTACGTAATGAGATACATTACGATATTGAAATTAGTGTAATTACAAGCACTTTACGAGCAAATACGTTATAAACTAAATAACGATTTTAGAGAAAAAGTTTATAACACTTTGTTTAATATTTTTTACATGATCGCATTAAGAACATTACAAATCTATTTTGGGCCGAAAAATGTTTACGACACGGGCAGGACTCGAACCGACATGCACAGCGTTCCGTGCTGTTGTTAGATGTTAGAGCAACAGCGTATGAAAAAAATTCAAATTTTTGAAAAATTGGGGTAAAAATAACATTTTCCCAAATAAATGCAAGCTATTAAAATTATTAAAAATATTCTCAAACGTACCCACAATGTTCAAAGCTTAAATCCACCATTCTGTTTCGGACTTGTAGTGGTAACGCAGGATCCAATTTGAAATATAGTTCTAGTCTTTCGGCGCCGCTCATGTTGTGAGTGTGCTGTCGGACCATCGGTTTCCGGAAGAAGCCTATGTATTTACTGCAAATGTATTGTTTTTTGTAATAAAGTAAATCATCCGGCGATCTGTCTGATAGCTTTTGCTAGAGGACAGGACAGCGTGAAGTTCACTTGGGAATACCCAGTCATATAACAACATCTAAACAAGATGCGGAAATCCAGACTGAAAACCGAAACGAGATGAAACGCTAGCTTTTTCATCTGTGGACAATTCGTTCATATCCCCCCTTTACTATGCAGACGACGTTCAACATTTTTCAAAAAAATATCAATTATGAAAATCAAAAAAATATGATTAGAAATTTGTTACACCCGGTGGAGATCGAACCCAAGGCCCGTTGATTTTTAGCCATTAGCAATTGTACGTGGGTTTGTATTCTATAGATTCGTATTCTAATAATCGTGCATACGTGTAATATTCTCCTGTGGTGGTCCTCATCCTTAGACGGGCGTTCGTCGTGTTCTCCGAGATGACTTCGTTGACTCTGGCCTTCAGTTTATTCGAGTAATAAAATAAATTCTGCGCCATAACCACTCGCAGATTTTGCCACACCTTTTCCAGCTAAAGCGAAGAAATTTAGCTTCAGGAACGGCCAAAGAGGCTAGACAAACCGTGTATCAAATAATTTATTTGAATCGGTACCTAAAGCCCCCTCCTCCCCTCCTTCCAGCTTTAGTCATTTTTCTGTCCGGTATGTATAACAGCGTTTTTCATAAATTCGCTCAATGTAGCGATACATAGCGATGTTTTAGCTCAAATTCACGGGCTCGTTGGTCCAACGGTGGCAACGATTGGCTAATAATTAAGGGTCGTAGGTTCGAATGCTATGGGATCCAACATGTTGCATATCGATTTATATCCTTTCTGAAATAGGCTTCGTCTCTAACATCTTAAATGGGCGGTGGGAAAATTGATATCGCCCCAGTTACTAGTCAACCAGTCTGTGGATTTCCGAATTTTCAAAAGCAAAATAGGTTAACAGCATTTTTTACTACTTCTTACTACTCTACAAACTGTACGTCAGTGGGTTCGAGTCGGTCTTAAATGGTTTTACCTCTTTTTAATAAAACACTTTAACGGTTTAAAACGCGATATATTAGTTAAACTTATTTGAAAATTATTTTTAACTTCTGACGTCAAAGTCTTTGACGTCAGAGACATCCTCCATCTTTAGTCTCGCCGTGACCACGGCTGCTGCAAAGCATCCGAAACGTCGGGCTGAAGTTAAAATTCATTTTCAAATAAGTTTAACTAATATATCGCGTTTTAAACCGTTAAAGTGTTTTATTTAAATGTGTATTACTCGTGTTTTTACCTCGTCAGTCAATATCTGAATGTAGTCTGGAGTACGTCGGAACCTTTCCAAAACAGCTGCTAGATCTTGTCCGTAGATCTTCCTCGCTTCAAATTCAACATCATACTTCCTACCTCTAGACTGCACTAAGATCACTGCAAAATATATTATCTAATGTCGTAAACCAAAAATTCGTAACTAATGGAAGGCTGAAAATCAGCAATTAAAAAGGAGCAAGGAGAATGTTAACATGGCATATGTATGTATACATTTTGAGATAGAAAAAATATCACAATACGGGCAAGACTCGAACCGGCGTTCACGGCGTTGCTCTGACATCTTTATCTAAGTCCAGTATAACATAGTCAGCATCGAATTGATACATATTTTATTTAATGTTGTAGCTAAATTAAATCCTTACCAATAAAACAAAAAAGCAGGCTCCAATATTTCAACATTATTCAAGGTTACTCAATATTGTAATAAAATTATTTTATGTACACAACGCCTTTTATTTTACATTCGACAAATGTAATGTTTTTTTAATGATTTGATTCGTTATATTTTTCTGTATTCATAACTATTGTCTCCATTGTTCAGTTGCACGGGACTGTTTAACATTTGACGACTTGTCCCAAGTTTGAATCTCGGTAGAAAAGTGTTTTAAATCATTAGTGTTTTAATTACTCGTGTAAACACACACTTCAATACAAATAGGATAAATTATTAGAAAATAAAACAATATCTTTTTATTAAACATTTAATTCGATTCATTTATTTATGTATAGGCGTCGTCAAAAACGCCGCGTTTCCCAGCGAACGGAATGGACGTCCTACCGAATCCGTAACTTCTCTCCTTCGGTCTCCTGAAGGTCTCATCCCTCGGCCTAGGTCTAATCTTCGGTCTTTCCGCGTGATACTTCTTCTCTACGCTCCTGTCCCAGTTGTATTTTTTGGTTATCACTTCTTTTTCGAGCGGTTTAAATGCCTTTTTGGCTTCTTCCAGCGAACCCATTTTAATTCCGAGTCGCAGTGCAGGAAGATTTGCTTTCACTGTTTTATCTAAAAAATTATAAATTTTAAAACTTGTATCTCAACATTGCATTGCGGAAATCTTTGATACCTTGATTCATATTATAAAGCTGATGTAAACGTCCTAATCTCAGAAACTACTGGTTCGGAGAAAACAATTCTCTTTGTGTTGGTTAGATCATTTATCGAGGAAGGCTTTAACCTCTAGTAAGTATAGAAAAAAATAAGGAAAATTATTCATTATTGGGGATTTTATCATAATTCCGTTACGTGCGCTGCGAAATGGTTTAAGATACCCAAAAATTATGTATGAATGAATGATTCATACAATATTGTGCATCAAACAAAAAACTATTCTATGCAAACAAAGCCACACCCAGTAAAAACATATAGCACTTTGTACTGCTTTAGGTTTTGCACCTTATTAACTACACATATAACTTTTTTTTACTCATAAATCCACCGACCTTTCTTTAAACGGAAAACTGCGTTCCTTCTGAGAGTCTTCAGCAAACGCTTCAAAGTTTTCTCTTCGAAATCAGCGTCATATTGCATTTCTTGTGATCTGGAAATATATTTTTGTTTTAATTGAGTTACGTATGCTTCTGACCGCTTTTATTATATATGTTTAATAATGAGAAGTAGACTACATTTGAATGAATTCTCCCAGCTGGATGGAAAGTGGAAAATAGGATATAAGATACGAGTAATCTGTTTGCCCCCTTTGATTTTTATCTTACAAAATAAAAACCGTGTTGTCAATAGTGTGATTAGATATCCCCCCATAAAACCTCGTTTAGGTTGCATGCAGCGCTCACAAGGGGAACAGAGGATCTCAAGAACTACTGGTTTGAACTGCGGGAAATGTGAAAAGAAAACGGGAGAAATTATTTATGATCAATTAAAAATTACTGTTCTAGTCGTTCACACAGCTAGTTATTTACACAATATACGATAAAACGGGTCGAGCGTAACAACAGATTATACAAAATAAAAGTTATGATGAACATTAATTACCTCCGTATATCCCTGTAATCGTCTATAATTTCTGGATTTTCTATGAAATACAATCGTTCTTTCTCTTGTCGTCCTTGAAATTCCCTCGCGTCATAGTTCTTTTGCAGCAAACGCATTAGTTCCGTTCTGTCCTGTGCTTCTCTGCTGTTCATTCCTGCGTCTGAGAATGGAGAATACATTTTATTGTCTAGTAGGTACTAAAAATAATTGTTCTTCTAACAGTGAAACTTCTGTCGAACTCCGCCTTGTCATTTTGTAATTAAAAATAAATAAAAAAACGTTCATAAAATTTATTGCCTGATGCTTACGCGACTAGTACACATAGCTATAAAGCAAACATCAGATCGACTGAACCGTGTTTTCTAGTAATTGTAACATGGGACCTTACCTTCAAGATATTTAGACCTCCCTCCGTTCTTGGTATGGAGGTCATCATCAGGGCTATTGAGAAGATCAATAAAGTTTATCAAATCTTCATTATCCGAATATGCTTTTATATCTTTTGTAGTTGCTTTATGACATAGGCCGACAACAGCTGGGTGAAAGATTTGTATAAACATTATTAACGGCTTAGTAATTTATTTATTAATTATTTGGGTTGGAGAAAAGTGAGAAGATCGACCGACGTTGCCCGGAAGAGATCGCTCTATAAAATATTTCGAAGGAAACATGTCTATATACTTTGTGTACACACATGACCGCCTCTGTAGCCAAATGGTTAAACGTATGGATCGAATCCCAGGAAAACATAATATTGTTTCGGTCGGGCATGGCACAGACTCGCCCGTTAAAAGTAGGGATCAGTGAACACAGACACAGAAATGTGCTCGCCCCAATAAAAGTGACAGTCTTCACATATACCTATTTCTACACACTCACAAACTAAATTCCTGTTTTATCAAGTGAGTACATGGGATTATCATGGTTATAAATATATCGAGTTGTTATATTAGGGTGTCACCTATATGGATGATTTATTTTATCAAAATCAGTTCAGCTATGTAAGCGTGGAAGTGTAATAAGCAAACAACATAACGTAGTGAAATAATGTCATTTACAAACAAATATATAAAAACACTTACACAATACGAAAAATATGTTGAACATTATAATAACTGCATTTTCAAGTATCCGCGAAAATATAAGAAACAAATTTTATAGTTTTGAAATAAAATGAGATTTTTATTTTTATTACAAAGTTGCATTAACGTTTGGTAAATAGGAGTTTAAAGTCTTTGATAAATTTGCTTAGATCGCCTAATGGTTGGTGAACTCGACTTTAGATCATAAATCAAAACATATATTATGTTACTTCACTATTACGAATGATCAAGACAATTACTAGACTAAGACTAGTTCTAGCTTGGATTTGACTAGGATTAGAATAAGAAATGGACTTGAATCTCTCCTAATGCTTATACAAAAACGAAATCGACTATATCATGTCTAACAGTCGTAAATAATTTTAATTTTAACTCAGACGACAGAATAGTTCGAGCTAAGTTATCGGGACCACGTATGACATATGGAAAGTAGCTGGTCCACATTTACATTAAATATAAAAAAGAAACAGCAATAAAGGCTTTATTATTTGGCTACCACTAATTTAGTGGTTCCTCCCACGCCCCCCCACCCCTACTTTACTACACAGTCACGGAGTCATTTAATATATATATAAAATTTTAATTAATTTTTCGTGATGTTAAATCCATTCATTTAACCGACGTCAAATTGATAACATGTCTGAAGCCGTTTGGAATTTGGTCATAGTCCTCGGCTTAGTGTATTACATACAAGTCGTGTTCGACTCTTGGGAGAGGCCGTTGGTGCGGACGAAGTACGGATGGGTGCGCGGTATCCGGACTAAAGCATACGACGCGTTCCTGGGCATTCCATATGGCAGAGTGAACGAGAGCAATCCGTTCGGGGTAATAAAACGATTGACGATACAAAGTCTAAACAATAGGACAAAAAGGCTACATACATGTAGTTAAAAATTGGCAATGTATCAACAGGTTGAAAAAAATCCACGATACGTGTAGGACACGAGCTCAGTCGGTTAGAGCAACAGCACCGAACGCTATGGACCCCGCTTCAAATCCTGCCCGTGTTCAATTCAATCGGTTTTTAATTTTTACAATAAATGTTTGGTATCAAATAGGGCCGCTAAAAATCAGTGTTCCGAGTAAGTAAAGGCAAAATAAATCGACAGCACATCTTGTTTAGATGGCTGCGGTATTCACCTTCCATCAAGTGTCCTCCTAATCTGAGTGGCTTCTGTTTTATGAGTTGTAAATAGACAACTCATAAAACAGAAGTATGAAAGTACAACACGTTAGATATACATTTATAGTACATACTTAGTAAGTTCATATATTCCATGGTTTTGTGTGCAACGCTTGAATGATTTAAATTATTGTCTACTAGCTGGTGCCCGCGACTTCGTCTACGCGGGATTAGGATTACGTAGTATCGCGCATTTAAACTAAATGGTGTCTAACATATCATAATTATGTGTCGTTTACGCCAGAGTAGCTCGCAGAAAGGTAGGTTTTTTCCTATTTACTTGACACTTAATGTCATATGTTGGGCAGCTCACACAATATCTTTATTAATTGTAGCCTATGTGTTATTCTGATGTATAAGCTATATTATTGGAAATATTTAATTGAAATCCATTTAATAGTTTTTGCGTAGTTACAAACTGCAAGTTATAAAAGCAATGTCTCACCAGGCTCCTTCGCCAATTGGACCCTACAATGGCACCTTCGAAGCCGATGACGATTCAAAAATATGTCCGCACGTGGAGGAATACTACAAAATACCAGTGGGTGTGTCGCTACACGTTTAAATTTAACGCCTTTGCGGTTTAAAACCTGAAATATATTAACGTAAAAACTCAATCTATTATTATATATTCCCGCTTTATAGACTAGCTATATATTATGTACTCGTCAATTTATGAATATAAAACTTTGTTTATCATCTTGCGTCGACAGGCACACTCCAATGTCTGAATTTACACATCTACTTGCCGAGAAAAGGTGGGCAATTAGGGAAGTTGCCCGTCTTAGTATACATTTTTGGCGGGCAATTTAGAATCGGCCATTCTGGCAGCGCCGAGTTCCAGACTGATTATCTGGTTGCTCACGACGTGATCATCGTCAAGTTTGACTACAGGAGTGGGATGTATGGGTTCCTGTGCCTGGGCACTCCTGAAATACCTGGTAATCAAGGTCTGAAGGACCAGGTGCTTGCGCTGCGTTGGGTTAAAGGTACGACATTTTGGACTATATATAAAATACTAGTTGTGGCAGGACAATGTCGGCGGAGAATTTTTGGACATCAAAAATAGTTTTTACAAAACTCCTCTTCATCTTTATAAATCGCGACTCGGTCGTGTCGCGTCGATCTTGCAAGTTAATCTTAAAATTTTAAATAATTTTTAGATCATTTTAAGAGGAATCATTTTTTCAATTCCAGTACACAAGTAGTTCCTGATATTAGCGCGTTCAAACAAACAAACTCTTTAGCTTTATATATGTAGTATAGTTTTAGAATCCTGTTTTTTTTTAAGAAAACATCGAACACTTCGGCGGAGACGCGGAAAGGATCACCATCTTCGGACACAGTTCTGGATCCATGTGCTTAGATTTCCACGTACGGACAAATCCAGAACTATTCAACCAAGCGATCCTGCAGAGCGGGACAGCGATAATACCCGGTGGTATAGACGAGGGAAATAGAACTATACCCATTACAGTAGCCAAAAGACTAGGCCATAGTCCTCGCGATTTAGAAGACGCTCTAGAGTTTCTTAAGACAAGAGATGTGTTTGACGTTGCTATCGCTTCTGTAGATCAAAAGTTTAGGCCGTGTATAGAGAAATCGTATCCAGGTAAGGCCGAACAGCGACGCGAATTCGTGATTCGACTACGTATGTATTTGTGGTTTTTAGGTGATCGCCGATGCTCGTAATATTTTGCTATAGATACATAGAACTGCTGAAAATATTGCACCCAAGAATCTTTTATAGTTTTAGACACTCGACGACAAACGAAAAAATAACTGCTCATTTGCAATTATTACAATTGTCATAACGGATGGAATCCAATGCGACAGTGGCTTATAACACCTTAACCAACTATAAATACATTGCATTAAAAACAATGATTAAACATTTATCCAACCCTATTTCATGTCTATATAATTATTATCATCTTTTAAATAGTAACTTCTTTTATTGACAAAACGTACAGAGTCAGTGCTACTGACCAGTTTTAAGTGATGGAATGAAAACAATGCAATTTTTTTGTATAATAATCTCTCTTTGCTGTTTACGATCAATGTGAACAGCCAAACTAGCTCTTCAATTTATTAGATTTTATGCAATAACTAGCTGTGTCAGCGACTTTGTCCGCGTAGAATAGTTGTCTTCATCTTTACAAATTTAAGCTGACCACGACATCGTTCGCGTCGCGTCGCACGCGTCCCGTCGTTCTTGCAAGTTGATCTTAAAAGATAGACATACAGTGCCGGTGACATTTTTTTTAGATCTTCTAAAGATAAATCATTCTTTCATATATATTTTTTAGTATCTTGAACCGTTTTCGCAGCGTAGGCATCTAAAGCCCACAGAGATGATAAATTTCACTCGGTTTGTTCACATTTCCCGCTGTATCCTAGCTTCTATTAGTCACAGCGCAATATTTTAGATAAGTAAGTGATAAACGCCTTAACAAAAGTGTGTAACAATGATGTGTTAAACTATATTTAAACTTTATTTTCAGGAGTCAAGGCATACTTAACGAAGCACCCGATGTTTTTGAAACCGGACTTAAGTGGTAAAAATGTCGTAATAGGAGTAGCAATAGACGAATATGTCGAAAAGATTTGTCTACCTGCGTATCAGCTGTACAGCAAGGACGTGTTTAAGATTAACATCAATTTCGAATTTGACATCGACGATGATGACGTTATCGATGATGTGAAGCAGTTCTATGTGGGCAATGAAGAGGGTGATCATATTAGGAGAGCCCTGAAGTTCATGGGCGACTTTTACTTTAACTATCAAATGTGCAAAACTGTCGACATGTATTTTGACTACGGCGCTGAAAAGGTAAGTACGAGAGAAATTTTGTTTTGCGGCTGATTCTGCAGCGACTGCTGCTCGTTTCGACCGACTCTTGACTCTCCTTTTGCCATCTGTACATTTTTAATAAGATTGATCAACATCAAAAAAAGATTAAAATGGATTTTTAATTTATCCATCATGTGTTAAAACTAACATGTGCAACATGTTGAAGTTTTAAAACCTTCGACCTGAACCTGACATTTTCATTGGACCTGATTGCGCAAGAGTTGAAATTACATTGCGCGAGAGGTATCAATAGGTTTAAAGAATTCGACGATGACGTGTAGCTCAATTGATGATGTTTGCTATAAGCAGCATGGAACGCTGTGGAACGTGGTGGTTTATGTCCTGCCTGTGTCGTAATTTTTTTTTCAGTTTATAATCGATATTTATTAACATCAAACGATGATGAATGGTTGATACTACACACACATAGTTTCTTAATAATATGAAGACGTTAAGATTACAACAAATACATACCAGTTATATAAAGAAACAAGTAATCTACAGGTATACCAGTACATCTTCTCGTATAACGGTGATAGAAATATGATGAAAGTGATGAAGAACATCACCAATTGTAATACAGCGACACACGGCGACGATATAGGCTATATCTTTAAGGTGTCGTTCATGGATAAACCTTTGACCAAAGATGATCAGCTGGTGATAGACAGAATGACTAGTATGTGGACTAACTTCGCAAAGTTCGGGTGAGAGTAATTTATTTCATCCTACTTATTGGCATATTTGTTTCAATTCATTAAAATCTCACAGCTGGACTCGCATAGAAGACGGTTTTACTCAACCCACTCGGTTTCAATATTAATAAGTTTCATTAAACGTTTCAGACACCCAATTGTAGAAAAAAACAACCTCTTCCCAACGAAATGGCTCCCATCAACGAAAACTTACAAACAATATTTAGTCATAAACAAAGATATCAAAATGGACGACGAGCTCTTAAAAAACAAAATGTCTTTCTGGTATGAATTCTACAAGAAGTATGAAAGATTTTTAAAGTATAAAAAAAGATAATTGTAAAGGTGGAAGAGTTTAAAGATTATAAGAAATTCTGCGGCACCGCCGGTTTCAGGATTAACCTTAAGAATTATGCTATTAAAATACTTAAATTTAATAACTGTTATTATTATTATAAGTACTTTTCAGTTTTCATACTTATAAGCATATATATATATATAGATAGAGAAAATACAACAGAAGTAATAAGAAGTATCAGTCTTTATTTTCTGGTAACAATTTTGGCATATTCAACGAGATATTGGCTCGAACACGCAACGTACGGATTTGGTCACCGTAAACTATCTGGCGAGGTTATAAGCCGTCAACACATCGTAAACCGCTAGTACTATATATTTTTACGTGATCCAAAGCCATATTTTTCTCTATTCTGTAAAAAAAATATATTCCTAAAAAGCACATGACATAGGTCTGTGCACAAATTGAATATTTTTCAAAATTCGCAGTTAAAGAACCTTGTTTTACAACATCTATTAACAACTAGACAATTTGAGTTAAATAAGCAAATATTTACAACTGTTGATTACGTCCACCAAACATTTCCACCATCGTTTCGTTTCCCAACATTCTGATAATATATTTGACTATCGTCGCTCTGATAATCGTAATACTCCCTTGGGATTTGTGGACGAGTACCAAATTGTTGATTACGATTACCGTTATTATCATTGTAATCATTTCTTTGAATATGCTTATTGTAATACTCCTCATAATTACCACGTTTTACAGTAGTGGTCTCGTAGTTAGAATTGTAATTGTTTAAATTTCTAGACGGTTGGTTATTCTCATTTTCGTAAATATTAACAGAACCACCCGTATTCGGTCTTTGGTTATACCGAGTATTTTCATTGTTGTAATAATTGTAATCATTTCCATGATTGGAACTAGTTTTGTAGACTCCGGAATTCTGATTATCGTTAGGTCTGGGATTATCATAATCTCGTCTTAGGTTGCTTTCAAACTTGTCATTATTCTTGGACTGAATTCCGTAACCACCATTTCCAGAGTTATAATTACTATTAGATCCTTGATAACTATTTGTAAAATTTCCTTGATTACTTCCTCTGTCATTATTTTTACCTCTGGAAGTACTGTCATAGTTTATATTAGCAGAACCATCGTTACCCTTTCTAGAATTGTAATTATTATTAGCATTGTATGTATCATAAGAACCTCCAGCGTCATAAGTTTGTTGACTATTGTCTACTCTTTCATTTTGATTGTGAATACTAGGTTGTGTACTTCTCGTTCTACTTCCGGAATTACTGTTATAGGTTACATCGGAAGTATTTTTTGAGTCAGAATTTTTAATTGAATCTTGATAGTTATGTCCACTAACAACTATGGGGTTGTTACGTTTAGTTGTAGTTTCGTAATTTCTATTATTATTGTTCGTTCTTCCATTTTGGCTATTAGCTTGATTATTTCTGACAATTTTAGATTCGGGATAAGTCCTTCTAGAATTATAATTATCACTGGAATCGGGATTATTAAAACCGTTGTATCCATAATCGTGGCGTTTTGTTGTTGCTTCAAAATCTTTATGATAGCCTTGATTACCTTCGTTGTCGGCACTAGTGGATTTTCTCGTAATTCCATTATTATTACTATTAGAGCCTGTATGCTTATCTATCTGATCGTTGAATATAACAGCAGATATAAATACGGGGTGTGCTATTGCGTATAAAGCCGGAGTTCGCGGCGCGCCGCAGGCTCGTCCCAATGATGTGACAGCAACTACCCTCCACACGCAGCCATCTTGGATTTGGGCCGGACCGCCGGAATCACCCTGATGAAGTAATGTAAGTAATACTAACTTAACATGTTTGACAGAGTTGTCTCTCTTTAACATCTTTACCAACCTTTATGTCTATATCTAAGGTTCCTTTGCAGTCCAAAGGAAAATTCATGTAAAAGTAATAACTAATATTATTTCATTCTTACCTGACAAGTATCCTTTCCCCCCTCTAATTCACCCGCGCAGATCTGCGTGTCTTCTGATGGGCCATCGGGGATCTTCCTCGAAGTGCCGAGAACGTCCCGACACTGGGACATGTCCCACACGGGAATCGAGACGCTGCGCAACTCCGAAGATTGGTCTCCACCTAGAATTCAAAGTTATTTATTAGAGTTTCATAAGAGAAAAACCTGATAGCTTACTTATGACAAGAATAGGTGTAGCGGAGGCTAGTTCGTGTATGTATATAAGAAATACTTAGGAATATTGATTTGAGATAGTTTGGCCTACCGAATTCTGTTCTTCCCCACCCAGACGCGATGATTGGTTTACCGGGCGCTGGTGGGTTACCCAAACACGCCGGTCGTATCACTTCGGAGAACCTGAAATGCAAAAGACAAAAGCAAATTAAAAAGTAGTTGTGTACATAAAACAAACTACATGATTTATAAACTACTGAAGAATGAAATAACCAAACATTACGTTTTTAATGAAACACTTTGACGGTTTAAAACGCGATATATGTTTGTTACATTTAATTAAAAAATATTTTAACTACTGTAGTCGTACTAGACGTGGTCACGATTGCTGCAAAACATCCGAAATATTGGGCCTTAGTAAAAGTAATTTTCAAATAAGTTTAACTAAATTATTTCGCGTTTCAAACAGTTAAAGTGTTTCATTTAAATGAGTACTACTCGCGTACAGTACAGTCATTACGTTTTCACGCATCAAGTGTGTGTATAGAGAAAACTATTATAAATATGTTTTGTTTGAAAAAAAAAACTAAACAGAGCCATAGAAGTTCCAAATAATACTTACGTCACCGACTTTACGAGTTTGATAAGGGCTATGTCGTGGTAGGATTTTGGCAATTTATACTTGGGGTGTCTGATGGATGAAGCCACCCTCACCACGAGGGCTTCTGGGTCGTTCAGATACGAGGAACCCAGCTGGGCAACACGTGGTGGACCTCTGGATAAATAATGGAGGAAATCAGTGTACTTTAACGGCTCGTTGGTGTAATGGTAGTAATATATGCCTAAACGTTAACGGGTCGTGTCAACGGTTTGATGCCCATCTGATCGAAGATGTCTCATATTTTTCAATTTACAATTTTTCTGAAACGTATTGGACTTCGTCTGGAAATCTGTAAATTAAATGGGTGGGAGAGATATCGAAATTCCGTTCGGGTTACGAACTACCGTCTATAGATGAAAACGCCTTGTCGTTTGATCGCGTTTAGATTTCAGTCTGTGGATTTCCAGATATCCAATGCCAAAGTGTCTTCCTCTATCATAGAAAAAGCTATGCACCGAAATCCGTATATTGACTCAAATGTTAAACAGACTGATTAATCGTCCACAGGATATACTAACAGGCTGACTGAGTTATCTTTGTCCTGATAAGCGCAGTGCGCCGCTGTCAGGATGTAGCGCTCGCTCAGCAGACTACCGCCACACTTCCACGAATAAGTGTTCGACTGGGAATATAAAATGACAAAATGAGAAAAGACTGAAAAATTTCTTTGTTACAAGAAAAATGATTAATACTAAATACTGTCTATAGTTTACGCCGCACGACCGCAGCTGCTGCAAAGCATCAGAAACGTATTTTAAATAATTTCCAAAAACAGTTTAACTGATATATATCGCGTTTTGAATCGTTAAAATGTTTTATTTAAATAAAGAAAGATGGTATAATAACTTATAATCTAATAAAAGTTGGAAATTTTAACAAATTGCAAAATTTTCTTGTCTTCTTTTCAAATTGGCAATGTTGTATAAAATGCTAGTTATATCTCCTGTGGGTCTTATATTAATTTTAGTAGAAGTTTACTTTCAGTTTCAGTAAGTACATTAGGTGGTCCCCCCCTTTTTTTGCTGTTTGTCAAGTCTTCCTTAGTATTAACACATTAAATAAACAATAATTCCGTTTTAACGTTGTAAATAGTTAAGTTAACGCATGTTAAAACCTTACTTGTGCTTTGATCCACCCTAGCAGCGCCATATGGGGAAACTCCCTGATGTTGACGACTATACCCCCCCACCACCAGAGGCACTTTCGATGGGGCACAAGATGACACGTTGACCCGGACTGGTCTGGGCGAGGGGACAAGTGGTATCGCCTGCACCTGCTTTACGTCTAGCAACTTGTAATTTTCGCACACTGGAAAACGGAAATTCTTGCCTTAACATAGTAAAAAAAAAATTACATAATTTAAAAATCGAAAATAAATTGAAAAAAATTTCGAACCGGCATCGTCAGCGTTCGGTGCTGTTGCTCTACCAATTGAGCTACCGAGTCCTACACCTCATAGTCGATTTTTTTCAACTTATACACGCACCTCTCGTGCAATGTAATTTAGCCTTAACTCTTTCATATTAAGGTTCAATATCTTATGCATTGCAGCTTAAGAAAATCATTGGAGATGAAATTGCAAAGCTGTTTAAATTCTCTTGTCAACCCCAAAACTCTTACTGTTGGTCTTGTCTGATCTTGTCTCTTCTGAGTTCAGTGGGGTTGGTGATAATGGAAGAGTCAACCATCACTAAACCGAACTTTTCGACCGGACCAGAATTTGAACCCGTATTATCTATAGTCAAGGTACCAAAAAAGAGTAGAAAAAAAGACAGTTCTTTTTGACATTGACCCAACGAAATAAAGTTATTTTTGAAAGACTGGAAGAACCTGTGTATTTAAAATGTCTAGACCCGTCTCTAGTTTTAAAGGCCATGGTTCGAGTCTGGTATTACTTACTTCTCTCAGCTACATCTAAGTATCGTCTCTTTTCGGTGCCGCTCATGTAATCTTCGTCTGGCCCTATCACCAATTCTGGAGTGACATCATAGGCTGAAGAGACCGGCGGTTTGTTGGTGATAGGCGGCCCATTGGTTACAGCGGGTCTGACTCCCGGTCGATTGGGGAACAGGTTTTGTGTTGTATACCTATAAATGCATATCGATAATTGGTTTTGTAAGAGTAGATATTTTAAAACATTAATATTTTTTCACATTTATTCCACATGAAGGCACTATATAATTTAAAAATCGAAAATAAATTGAAAAAAAATTTTCGACTCGGGCAGGACTTGAACCGGCATCGTCAGCTTTCCGTGCTGTTGCTCTCCAATTGAGCTACCGAGTCCTACACCTCACCGTCGATTTTTTCTACTTATTGATGTATGCAACATCGGGTGTGCTGACGATGCCGGTTCGTCCTGCTCGAGTAGACTTTTTTTCAATTTATTTTAGATTTTAAAGTTAGAGTAGATATTTGTCAATCTTGCGTGCCGAAACTGCTTGATGAAATATGGGTGGGTTCTGTATGGAGATAATCCCACAATTTGTTTTATTCAAGTTGTTACGCTACGCCGGGCATCGAACCAAGAACTTCCTTCGTGGCTCACTCGAACCTCAAATGAAGCTTTAATGTACGGGAACCAAGTAAGTAAGAAGGAGTTCCTAAACTAAATACGTACCTATTATTTCTATCTTCACTAAAGTAAACTCTGTCATCTCGAATGTAACTCTCTTTCGAGTTCTTTTTCTGCGTCTTTGTACTGTCGCGAACGACTGGCGCTAGTGTCGTTCTATCTCTATTAACCTCTCTAGCGTTGTGTGGGATGGATATCTTTGTCGACTTATTTGTGGTTTTTCTGGGACGCTTCGTTGTGACGTCATAGTGGAAGGACTGCGCAGAACTTTGAAGGAACGGTTGGAGGCCGAAAAAGTCTAAGAAGGGCAAAAACAAATTAAATTCTAATATTTATTCATAAACTAGCTGTGCCCGCGACTTCGTTCTCGTGGAATAGTGACTTGGGGTAGAATTTTTAATTATTTAGGCTGTGTATTAATTTATGTAATTGCGCATTTATTGCAGCCAATCAATGTTGTAAGTGCTACTTTGCCGCAACACTCTCACCTCACATCACTCTTACTCTAACTCCCACTGCCACTCCACTCTCAGTCCCACTTTTTTTTCCAAAAAACAAAAGAACGAAGTTTCAGCAATTCTAGCTTCGAAAACCACGAATTTCCATACAAAGTTTCCCCCACTTTTAACCCCTTACAACCCACTTTTCGCAATAAAAAGTAGCCTATATGTTAAATACTGTCTATAGTTTACGCGAGTAGTACACATTTAAATAAAACACTTTAACGGTTTAAAATTATAAAAAAAATAGTTTTTCTCAGGGTCTAGACCATATTATGTGTATCAAATTTCATTAAAATCCGTTCAGTAGTTTTGGCGTGAAAAAGTAACAGACAGACAGAAGACAGATTTACTTTCGCATTTATAATATTAGTAAGGATAACTAGTACAAAGGAAGAAAGGGTTCTTATTAAACTCACCATAAAATTGTGCAGTGGTGTGCGTCACACACGCGAAGAACAATATCCATTTGATTCCATTTCGGGGCATGTTGTCATCCTTTGTACCTGGACAGAAAAGATTTCTGATGACGGAATCGTTGATCTAAGGTCCGTTGAATAATAGGTCGTTGGTTCGATAAACAACGGGTCCAACTAGTATCAGGAAATGTGGATGCTGAACAGGTGGTGAAATATCTTGATTCCTTCGGGGTCAGAAGCCACCGCCTACAGATGAAAAAGCCGTTAAGTTTTATCGGTTTCAGTCTGTGCATTTCCGAATATTTAAGGCCGAAATAAGCCGACAACGCATCTTATTGAGATGTTATTTGGCTTGTCTTATTAAATATTGGTGGTAGCTTAACACTCTGAGACTTCTACAGGACCGTTTATTCTGCAGAAATATGTAATAAATCTTTACGATTCCATCTATGGATGGTTTGTTAACGGAATGTTTAGGTTCCATTATCTCGTTTAATGACAAGAAATCCAAATGTTTAGGACTTAATTTTATGAGCATTTTACCTAACATTCTTAACCCAAACTCGAACTCAGGACCTTACGTTACTAATTATTGAGTTACGAGAAGAGATCACTCCAACTGGGAAAATATGCACTTAATTGTATTAAACAATAAAAATTAATGGTCGTTTGTATGTCGTAATGTGTCCTTGACAACGTCTTAATGGATGTTATGAAACAATTATTTACAAGTACTCACTCTGTACTTATTGAAAATGTGTGTTCATACTAAATTTATATCATTGATTTTTGCTAGTATTCGGTTCTAGGACCACTTGTAACCCAATGCTAGTTCACTAGCGCGACGGATACACTTTTGCATCTGGTATTTGCAGGAAACAGTTGGAGTAAGTGACCTAACCGCGATAAACTAATCAATATTCAAAAAGTCCGAGCGCTGGAAAAATACACGTTACAAACAAGTTAATAACTTACCTCTAATTGGCTTTATATTTTGCAATACACTAGCTTTTACGCGCCACTTTACTCTCATACGCATTAGTTTAAAAAGAAGAATAAACAAATATATGAAACATTGAATAGCGAATGTAATCTAAGTAACTCTAAGCTGGTAAATCTTCAAAAGAGAAATATGTCGTTTTAATAATTGAATTTTAAAGGGATTGATCGTGAAAATCTCTTTATTTCTAACTAGCTGTGTCAGCGAATTCGTTATTCGCGCAGAACAGTTATTTCAGTCATTCATAGTCTACAAAATTAGTTACCCATGACGGTCGCATCTCTTCACTTTTTGCAAGTTAATCTTAAACGGTAGACATATTATAGTGCCGCGGAAATTTTCTTAAATTATTTAAACAGGAATCATTCTTTCATATATCTTGAACTGTTTTCGCAGCGTACCCACCGGAAATCTCTTTCCACGTTTCCCGCTGTTTCTTCACCTACATTTGTCACAACGTTACGCTTTATAGCTTATACTCCATGGCCTTCTTCGATAAATGCTCTAACCGACACAAAAATATTTTTCATAACAAACTCTTCAGCTTTATATATTAGTATAGATTATCATGCCACCGTGACAATACATCAAATCCCTTTCCTATGTATTTAAGCACCCGTGTGAACATCGTACGAAAAAATGTTAGGTTGTTTTTTAAGTTATAACGATTATTATCGTACATGTAAATTTTTTTACATCTGGTAAAAATACCTCTAACATATTCAAATAAAACACTTTAACGATTTAAAACGCGATATATTAGTTAAACTTATTTGAAAATGATTTTTAACTTCGGCCCGACGTTTCGGATGCTTTGCAGCAGCCGTGGTCACGGGGAGACTAAAGATCAAGGACATCCTCCATGTCTCTGACGTCAAAGTAAAAAATTGTTTCGTCGAAGTTGGTATTTGGCGAAACTAACGGTGTCTTCGCGTTTGCCGGTATGCTGTTTATTGGGATCCAGAGTTTTTAATATGAGATCCTAGGTGTTTGATAATTCGAGACGTCGGGCCGAAGTTCAAAATCATTTTTCAAATAAGTTTAACTAATATATCGCGTTAAGTTATAAAGTGTTTTATTTAAATGTGTACTACTAGCGTAAACTATAGACAGTATTTACCTCTAACATAACATAACTAAAATGCCTGGAGGAAGGTATTTTAATTATGGTTAAATTAAAACAATTAAATTGTATTACAAGCATATAATTACGTAACGAGATCTAAACGGATATTGGAGTTTGAATCTTAACTCTCTAGCCCTTTGGTTCTTGAAGTATAACCTCCTGATACACGGACAGAGACAACGAAATAGGCAAAGAAGGTCTATTTAAATAAAATACTTTAACGGTTTCGATCGCGAAATATACTCGTAAAAGTTTTTTTGAAAATATTTTAACTACGGCCCGACGTCTCGGTGCTTTGCAGCAGCCGTGGTCACGGGGCGATGTTTTATTAATATAGTTCGAGTTTTAAACATTTTTTTTAATTTAATTTGTACTACTCGAGTAAACGACAGATAAGAAACTATAATCGCTTTTGGTATCTGAAAAAAAAAAAACATGTGGACACTTGTGTAAAGACGGGAGAAATAGTCGATTTATAAACACGAGCCTGTTTAAAGAAATGTCATCTTTGGAAACAGGTTTAAGATTATTGAAGGTTAATTTAACGGAAATAATGATTGCCTTGAATGTCAACAGCCGACTTGAGTGTTGGACAGTGGGTATAGGCCAGTGCAGTGAAGTTAAAGAGATTTTTAACAGTCTTAGTTCCAATTGAACATAACCGAATAGCATACGATCTTTCACTTAGGGCTTTTATTAAATCCGTAAACGTATTACCTAACGTTGCGTTAAGCGCGTGAGGTCCTGGGTTCGAATACCAGGGAAACAAATAATAGTTTCGGTCGGGCAGGGCACAGAAGTCTGATCAACTACTTACTTGCCTGTTAAAGCACGGTTCAGTGTGAACAGACCCAAAATGTGTTCGCCCCATGCCCCACGAAGTGAAAACGTTATTTTTTATGATAAAGCAGGACAGACAAGCACGGGGGTTCACTCGACGGTAGGTGACACCCCCAGTCACTTAACATCGAAACAAGATGCCCTGTAGGCCTATTTCGAATTTGGTTATTATCATTTTCTCATATATAGCGTTGTTATTTATAGACTAGTGTTTCAAATAGGCAACAATTTTCCCCACTCACTTGAAAATATCGAAGATAAATCAAAAAACTAGATGATATATACTTAAGGTAAAATGGATGTATTTTTAATGCATCTTTATTTAAAAAATTACAAATATAATTTAGCACTATTGCAGGAAAATTATTACCAAGGGGGGATTTAATCTCGTTTTTAAGGCATCGGAATCTTCAGCTTTACAATGGCATAAAAGTGACGACCTATAGGCCTATTGCAGAAATATTATAATTCATTATATTAATCCACCATTCCTATCCTATTCATATTTCCTATCGTTATTTCCGGACGTTATAACTAGATAAGCTGTTGTATTAAATAATTACTATTAAATTGCCAATTACATGTAACGTGTAATTAAACTTATAATTACTAAATTAACTTAGAAATTTCGGTTCACGATAGATGTACAACACATCTAAATTAGATGTTACATAGCTGGGGTATCTCATGCTTGCCTGTCCTCCGCTACTATGATATTAATAGCATAATGGTTTAAAAAAAAACAATGGGACAAACGCGCATGTGTTTTATAGATCGATATACTTCACTGGGAGTCAAATCCGAACCTCTCGTAATAATATAAAAATGTGTAACATTTTAACATGGTAGGACAGAGAGGCGGTTACTTGATGAACGAGAAAGGACCCTAATAGATGCGCTGTCGAACTGTTTGGCCTTTGAACAATTTTGATTGTAAAATTTCCATCAAAACAGGTGCGTGACTCGAGTGAAATCTCCGCTATCCGATCTACCTTCGCTCCCTTTAATGTCTTTTATTAAGAGGGATTTAGAAACATGTTCTTTTCCGAGCGCACGTCTTCTCTCCGAACCCACGATGCGTGTCCCGTAGGTTAATTTATATTGAGCCATTGGACGAACGAGCCCGTCATAGAATCTTTTATAATATTCATAAGAACGTAAATAATATATACTAGTACTTTATAACAAAGAAACTTAAGAATAATTGCAAACTATTTGATTACCAGTTACTCACTTTAATATATTCATAAAAGAACTATACACACAAGAAATATAACTTGTTCACTGTACGCTACGTTTTTAGAAAAACAAGTGTTTATATGGAGGCGCGTCGGATTGCACTAACTATAAAATGATTTGTACGCAATTTGAACTGTGCTGAGCTAGGGTTGTCAACTCCAAGTTATAAAATGTAGACGCCAATCGAGCTGATGACTTCAATAAACCACTTCATTTTTTCCTTGAACTAGTCTTAGCCGTAAACCATTCTTCCCTAAAATTAAAAGCATATTAACTGATATACTTCGCGTTTTAAACCGGTGAATCTGACAGACATCGAAGAAATCGATGCGGTTAAGCGAAGTCAAAGAAATGCACTTTCAATTAATTATCAAGACCCTGACACCTAATATATCTAAAAATCGATGTATTTTGGATAACTCGTGATTTTAATCAAATAATGTTTTCAAAAGAGACAACCCTACTAAACCGGGCGCCATTAATGAGTAAAGCGGTCTGAGGCGGTAGCAAGATCATCGCTTATGCTACGCAGTGACCCAAGTTACAAGTGATTCATAAGTGTCTCTTATAAGTAATAAACATAAAACTAATATCATTATAGATTTGAAAGTATTTTAAATAGATTGGACGCAGTACTTATATGTTAAATAAGATAAGTCGACTTTGCATCATCTCATGGTTAGCTTCAGCTTTTATAAATGAGAAATATCTTAAATAAACTTAAATGCGTCGCAATCAGTTGAAGCTGAGCGATTTTAAAAACCGCTTCGCTTGTATAACTTGTACCGCACACCAAGAAAGTTGTATCATCACGGGTAAAGGTTTTTCCCGTCGCCCTTCGACAGCCGATTATGATGTTCAGCGAACTTTTTACGTGTCATTACTCATGTCGCCGTTGACTTCTGACCCGGCGGAGGCGTGGCAGTTGGTTTGTCTGTCTGTGTAGTCTGAACTACTGACCGATTTTGAAGAGCGATTGATTTATTCATTATTTAAACTAATATATTAAGCTGAAGAGTTTGTTTGTTTAAACGCGCTGATCTCAGGAACTACTGGTTCAAATTCTTTTTGTGTTAGAGCACTCATCGAGGCTGTAAAACATCGCGCTGTGACTAAGAAGAGCGAAGAAACAGCGGGAAAATTATTAATCCTTGTGGGTTTTCGTAGCGTACGTTGCAAAACGGTTCAAGATACCCAAAAACAATGTATAAAAAAATAGTTATGTTTAAATGATCTAAAAAAATCTTTAAGATTAACTCGAAAGAACGACGCGACGCAGACGAAGTCGCCGACACAGCTAGTAGGCTATATATACTTGGAGTTTTAGCTAAATTGACACCAAACCGAGTCATTACGAGCCTTTGATACTTGCGAGAAACATTTAGATCGACAATATAAGAAAGAATAAAACTTCAAATATCAAAAATAAAAACTTTATTACAATTAATAATACACTTCAAGCATTAATAATATCGAGTAAGCTTATGAATATGTTTTATTTGTATCAGTCAGTTATTTCGTATAAATAGACAGACAAATTAATTATGACTTACCTATAATATAAAGCTGTATCGTTTGTTCTAATTTTAGTTGAACAATTAGCGAGATACCATAATGGTTTTATCCTAGTCCAATTTGGTCTTTACTAATCACAGTTGAAATAAAATACAATTTATTAAGATTGAAGTAAGAAATTTACTACTTCCCGAGTTGAGGGCCGTGAAAAAGAAAAAGAACTTGGAAAAAACTTACCAAATATGAATCCCATAAGTCTTTAGGAAGCTGTAACCAGGGTCCACTTTGCAGGTTCAAGCAATGACTTATGGCGACATAGAAGCAAGCAATTTTCAAGAAAACTCTTCTAGTACGAGTTTAGCACGAGAAACTCGAATACATGTCGACCGTAACTCATAATATCGAATTAAATGTATGAAGACGTCTGTACAAAGTCTGCCACATATAAAGGGGTACCGACATACCATTCTGACACTTGTACCATCAACAATAACAATAGACTTTTCTCTTCTCGTCTTCCTCCTTCTGCAATTGTACTCTTTGTTCTTCTATGTTCTTCATTACTTTGATGTCGGCTGCACAATCTTCTACTATCTTCTGAAAGAGTTCATCTGAAACAAAAATTTATTTTTCACCCTTTTCCCAAGGTCTTTCAAGCTATTCACGCTGGACTCTAGTCTTCGTCAGCTCCCACAAATGGGACTTGTCACCTTTAACACACTCTCATAAATTTTCATGCTTATATGAGAATTGTAATTCTGTCAACTTACCAACATTTTCCCCGGTCTTGCTTGATGTGAGGTAATGCCCGTGCAATCCCTGGGAATATGTTCCAACTATATCTTCCGGGACATCACGGGCAGCTGCCCCAGAATCCATTAGGTCCTTTTTAGTACCGCACAGGTATACTTTACAATCCTGAAAGATTATGATTTAATTTAATATAATACTGAGTTTCATATATTGAGTTTAAGAGCCTATAATTAGCAATAGGCCTAATACTAAGAATTTATTAATTGTACAAGTGATTATTCTGCTTTGTGTCTATCTAAACATACTCTTTCAATCCGATTATATTGCAGAAAAACCAAATCACACACAAGGAACACCCCTGCCAAGTTTTTATTTTATGTAAGAGTAGGACAGACAAGCCTGCAGTTTACTTGTTGTAACATAAATAACAATAAATGCTATCGAACTATTTAGGCATTGGGCAGTTTGAAATCTACAGACTCAACCAAAATGCAGATTTATATTTCAGGCTTTTTTATCTGTGGTTGGTGATTTGGTTGAATCTATTAGACCCTTTGATTTTATGCCAACCAGTGCTACCATTTAACAAAAGGCTCAAGTATGAGGCGTCTATAATCAGCCCGTGAGAGGGACAATATATTTTTAAACAAGATAAAATTGTTACATCCAAATACCTCTTCGACCGTCCTCAACTCTTGTAACCAGTGTCGTAATCTCGCCCATGATGGTAAACTTGCTGGATCATAGCAGATTATGGCGGCGTGCGCGCCTCTGTAGTACATGCGCGTCATAGCTTCATATCTGAAATATAAAACCGCAGTCATTAATTATGCTTAAAACATGTGGACCTAGTAGTAGAAGTGTAGTGTGTCAGGCCAAATATGGATAATGAATGTAAACAGATACAATATTACAGTAAATATGTGTTACATTCAGACAATATATACAGTAAAATGAGCTTATAAAGGGATATAAATATATATTATAAAATACAGGCACAATAAGGCAGATTTAAAACATACCTTTCACTACCAGCAGTGTCCCATATACCGATGTTAAATGTTTTACCATTAACACACATTGCTTTAGCGCAGAATGCTGCACCGATTGTCTGAAAGCATTTGTTATGAAAATTATTAAAATAACTCACACAATGTACTTCTTCCTTGTGATTCTAGCCCAAGACTCAAACTCCTTAAAGAAATGCTAAGCAACAGATTTATCTGTTGAGCTACAAAGGCAGTCACAGGTAAAGTAGGGTAATTTGTGTAAAACAATAATCAAAACGTAACAAATAGACAAGTGACATGTTTACAACTGGGCTGTTGTGACCTTAAGTTAATAAATAAAGTAGATTTTATTTGTTACACAATAAACAATAAACCGAAAGTACTGCATGGTACAAGTAAAAAATTTAAACATTTATCACCTATAACTTACATTCTGGTAAGGGGTCGATGCATTAAATCTACAATTCACAAATCTTATGACTAAACTTGTTTTTCCTACATGTTCACTACCTAACAAAACAATTTTAAAATCACAGCGACTCATTTTGCGTGAAACACTACAAAAACATTTCTACGACTTATTTTCAATCATTGAGAGAGCTTTATGGCGGCGAATTTACAAAAGTGACACGTATAAGTAGAAGCTACAAATTAAATATTATACAAATTTAATTAAACAATGCAACAAATCAATAACTACTATAATTTTATCTCATGCTCAAATCAAACAATAACAAAATGTGATAAATGAAACGTCAAACTGAGAAATTCGACTGAAAGTTTACTGTCATCGAAAATGTTCGATATAAATCATAATATTTTTTCTATAGTAAGTAAAAATAATTACTACTACTTAATTACTACTACTAATTACTAATTACTACTACTGACTAGATTCAATCGGATCGATTAGCGAACAAAAAACGACTGGAACACAGACTATACTATGGTTTACCTAAGCTATATTGTCATGTGATCTTGTTTTGAAATTATATTTTAATTATTGCTAGAACAAAAAAGTGAACTATTACTAAGAAATGATTGTATATATTTCACAATATAATATTGGTAAATAATTAATTATAAATAAAATAACTATAATATTAAAGTGAGTCACACCATATTTATCGTAATACTAAATTACTTAATTCGATTGTATTGTTTTCTGTTAAAACTCTTTAATCAAATAATATAGTGCCGATTTAGATAGTTAGTAATTAAACGTTATTATTACTACATTTTTATATAGAAATAGGTATAACTTATATAGTTGAGGTATAAACATTTATTCTAATGAAGTGCAAAGTTGTTTTTTAATAATAGTAACTGAAAACATAATAGGAATAATAAGGAAATTTATATTATTGTATAGTTAGCACCACATAAAAATAACTACTAAATCTAGCCACTGGTTCAGTAGTGAATACGTTACCTTTCATTGACTAAAGATGGACCTTTACAGCTGTGGCAAAATTATTGTAGCTATGAAAGACACTAAAGCTTTCGTTGTGGCATATAGGTACCTATTTTGCAAGGATATGCAGTGTCGCAGAGAATTAATGTTTAATTAAACTACCTATTACGGTATCATAATTAATGGATTTTATCATTACTATACGCATTTATGGGTTTAAGAGATGAGACTTGGAAATCGTTATCTTTAAAAATCGATAAAACTATCTTATCAGCACATCCCTTAACATGGAGCAGTATTGATTAGTCCTTTGAAAGCATTTATCGTTTTTGTCGGATGATTAATGTTATAATACGTCACTTTTTAAATATAATAACAATAAAGTACAAATATTTTTAGAATTTATGTCACGAAGGTTTTAGACATTTATATTGTTATATCGAAATTAAACAAATAGATTAAAAGTTGGTTATAAGCAGCCGCGATCTAACAACTTGTTAAATATATATATATATATATATATTTTGTTTTTTATATACTATACAATTCGTAAACTATAAAACGATTGTTGTTTTCCTTTGGTATATTAATTATTGGCGAGTAACAAGTATGTGTATGGGTATTTTTTGCTTCACAAATAAAAAAAGTAGCTTCTATTGTTTTTTGTATCCAATGTTTGTGTAGTCAAAGTAAAAAAAAACACATCAAAAAGTACATTCAAAATGTTTAAAAAATATCTTACTGAAGAATGTTTTGTTAGTTATCTGAATCATTTTTAAGGCCCAAGTAAGGGAATATAGCTTCCGAAGGAAACTGATGCATGTAGTTATGAAATTATGTAACTTAAGGAAACACAAAGCAGTATCGAAGTAATCATGTATTTATATTTATAATTCTTTATCAATTGCTAGTAGCAAAGTACATGCAGACGAATACCTGTTACTTAATCTTGCACTTAGTTCCTATTTATATTATAGTAATATTATTCCCATTATTTTATTCGGCTAACCTAATAACGCCTAGAGGAATTAAACATTTAATTTCTGAACAGTGAGCCCTAAAAGTCAAAATAAAACGTCCACCATTTGCTCCGTTACACAGCGAAGATAGAGCGATAAACAAACAAACCGATTACGCGTTGATATTAACGATGATAGTACTCTGGACATTACATACAAAATAGTTTTATGAATATATTTCTTTTAAGAATCAAGACGCTTTGGCCAAACTGCGTACAACACAATATATTTAATAACAATCCACTAATCTACATCACAACTAAAAATACGCGCATTATGTATTATCGTATAATTATCGTTAGATGAGTGACTCAAAACTGGTTTTTCTGCGATAACAAACAAACTCGTTAATCTATCAAATAGATTATAATGTCTTAGTAACGTGATGAGTCTTTATAATAAAGGAGGAATTTTTCGAAAAGGTAGCAAGTAACTTAAAAGAGGATCGATAGGGTTATATGCGGTCATTGACCTGATTTGTTTACAGACAATGAGTCGGGATTTTGTATAAAAGCCAGTTGTAAAACAATTGATTTTATAACACTTGTATTTTACATATTAGAAGTAAAATACAAAAAAAATAAGACATTACTAGCAGTTCGCACTTATAAAAAAAATAGTTTTTTTTTTCAAATTAAATGTTTAAACTAAACAAACATAATACCCAGACAGTGAATAAACGTAAACTGTAGATCAATAAAAACGTGAGCGAGTGAATAAAACAGTCCCGCAAGGTGAAACCGCACAAAAGGAGTAACCTCGCTTCACTAAAGCGATAACAAGCGTGTTATCAAAGTTGAAGTAATAATACAATGCCAACTCAGCGCTCGACCTACCTATAACTATCGCTATTTCACACTGTTTCGACGAGGCCCGCTTCACCCACACCCCGACGAATGTTGCTGGTTGACTAAATTATCAACTTTATCGACAAAAAAAATATTTATTTACAACATTTATACGCACTAATAGAAAAATCGGAATTTAAGTAAATCGTACTAGCGTATTTTTTCAAAGATTTTAATGATATTTTAAAGATTTTACTATTACACTGCCAATTTAAGCGGACAGTTTAAAGTGACTACCCATATGCGACGTCATTGCTAATCGTATACGATAGTGAACGTTATTACAATCTGATAAAGTTGCAATTGACGTGTGTCACATTTGACACTTGTGGTGCTTTCGCCAATTTCAAAATCATGTCACGTCGTTCGTTTTTGACAGCTTAATCCATAATGTTGCCATCGCAAAAATAACTGTGTCTTTTTCACTCTCTTCCATGTTAGTAGCATCAACTTCTTTCTGAAGCAATGGACGTTGCAGTCGCGTTTGGGAATCGCGAATTTTGTTTATACCGTCCCGAATCGTGCTTGTAAACTTTTCCAATTAGTTTTAAAAGCTTTCCCATTGCACAATTATGTAGTGCGTTAGTTAATTAGCGTCTGTAATTACGCGTACGACTCGTTTTCGGATCGGTTAGACGGCGCTACCATTTTATAGCATTGATTTTGTTGCGAACCAATTTTTACCAAGATATTATTGTTTTTATCCGTTTAATGATCAGTTTTGACTTTTGTCGATTGGTTTTTGTGTTTCTGAGTTGTTTTCTTGTAATATACTTCTCTTAGGATTGCTCGTCGTAAAATGTTTTGTATGGTAAGTTATGACTTGATAAGAATATAATTACTTAGGGTTATTTTAACAGAGGATTGAGTTACGATTGTACTGAGAATTTCCATATACTAAACGAGAACTGCTTTAAAAATAACCAGATCAAAAGTATAATTTTTAATAAAAAAAATGTTACATTTCATTACTTACTAAGTTTTATATATATGTACTTATTATTAATATATTTTATGTACGTCTATATATTATTAAGAAGCTCAAATGTTACATTAACTATTCATTCCCTTTATTCTACAAGTTAAACATAGAGCACACAAGAAGAAATAGTAAGAATTTTTTTAAACGCTTTCTATTACAAGGAACAGCATTGTGCTATTCCTATGTTCAATGAATTAAAGGTACCAATTTAACATATAAAGTCTTAGAGCAGGGTAACTATAGTAATTGATCCAGTAATAATACATTAGCAATTGTCCTAAGTTGTAAGAACTTCGAGTACGCATATCGCTAAATTTTATTTCCATACTACCTTAACCTAGGGTAAAACTTACTTGCCAAGCCCTAGTGATATTAGGGATTTGTTAAACAAAGCAAAACTATATTGCTACTGTAATAATTTTGTGATATCTGAAAGTCAAACAAAGCAAAGTAAATAAAACAAAGCGCACATCGAAATAGCTATTGCTTCTTTAGCAAATGTCAATGAGCTAGAGCAGGGATGCACAACCTGGGAGCCGTTTGGGCAAACCATGAACCGATGGCGGGAACCACCACCTAGAAGTATATGTCATTAAAAACAATTGATAATAATGTATTAACATTAAAAAAAATCTTATTTATTTGACTAGTATTTTTGCTGATGGCAGGCCACCACTATTTGACTGGCAAAAAAGAAATAGAAGTATATTGAAGCAAAGTCTTTTATAAATAAATTATAGATTAGGAATAAAATTACTAGCAATATTTTTATTTGAACAAAAAATATCTGAATTTGGATTCTTTAATAATTTAATTGTGTCTACCCCAGAATTGAAAATGTCATATGTTGTCTTGGTGTTAACGAAATTAAGATCAACACCCTTGATCCTTCTTGAGTCTGATCTTGTCGGCCGGATAATGCTGCATATGGAAAAAGACTCTTCACATTCATTAAAAAGTATTCGTCTCAATTTCAGTGAACCCGAACAAGATGGCACTGTGTGAAAGTCAATTGGATTCTGTGATGCAACTCCAAGACTCTCGTGAGGGGACCAGTTCCCCAGACAAGAAGCCAAAGGTTGAGCCTAACGGGGATATTTATGGACTAGACAAAGGTAAGATAATGTTAATGATATGATGAATCGATCTAGGAAGGCTTTAAACTTTATAGGACTCTATCAATAAATGAGTTAAATGCAACGGCGGGACACAATTAATTTTAAACTTTCTTCATTAATTGAGAATCGGCTTGGCTTATTATCACTCTTACGCTAATAGAAACAAGAATTAAACAGGCCATTTACATTCTTGCACATGAACTGCTATGTAAAAATAATTTTGTTTCTATGTATGATTATATTATTGTATATCTGGATTTATCATGCAATGATTTATATGTATGTCGGACACAAAACATCTCGGAGGTGGAAATGGTATACCAACCATGTGAACCAACTGCCTTACGCCAAACAAATCATTTGGATAATTTATTTAACAGCTATAACAGATATGCGGATTATATATATAGATGTAACACTAAATCTTAATATGCAACAGAAGCATTATAATTTCTACACAAGGAACAAGGATGGAGTAACAGATGTGTCGGTCGCCGTGTCTAATTTTCATTTGAGACAAGGGAAGCATTTGTGATAAATGATTAACTTTGCATATTTCTCTGTGGAAAATATTTTATCCAATAATCAATCTTTTTGAGACAGAGAACCCTTTGTTTACATTTAAGTTTATGTCGAGGTGTAGTGTTATAAGCTATAAAATTTGCAGCAAGCAAGACAAAAAACTATTGTTTCATCTGTGGCCATGGCAAGACTACATCTATAGATACATAATAATCAAAGTCCGGAAACGTAATCGACCACTTCTCATTTTGAAATAACGTGTGGGTAGGGATTTCTGGGGGCGAGACTGTTTCTTCTAATTGTGGAGGAATTAAGTCTTGTTAAATAGAAGTCACGAACGATCGCCTTGGAGGTTACCGCCGTTCGTGACTACAATTTATCATTTCAATATGATTACCGATCAATTAACAACGCACGTCAAAAGAATTTAATTTTTGTCATTAATAAATATATTTTTTTAATTAACTTTATTTTTCAGTGCCCCCCCTTGCCTCTCAGCGTGGACTATCGCTCCCCCGTCTCCCATTTCGTGCCCCCTGCCGTTGAATTGTACGCAGCGAGACACAAACCCGAGATTAATGTCGGTGAGTGGCGGTTTCATTTTTGTGTCTACGACTATACGTAAGGAACTTTATATTTTATTTTCGAGGTGGGATAATATTATGTATCCCTAAAATATACTTTATTACCTATATTTTATTAGCATTAAATATAATTTCATTATTCAGATACAATCCATGGTTTGAACATTAATTATCAATTCGTCAATCTGTTGTGGTTGATCAGTCAAAGATGGCCGAATTGATGATTTTTGACGATGGTGCATGACATTATGTGATACATAATTTCGATAACTTAAGAACAAAAAAAAATTTTTTTAATCTATTCAAGCTTAAATTTTAGGTCCTTTTTTGCATTAAGTATGTTTTAGAAATTTTATATTTTTTATGTATTTAATGGTATATGGTTTGTATCGGTTAAGTATTGTTTTTATAAGCGTTACTATAGAAGCATAATGGTTTAGATTTCGTGTAGTAAGAGTAGTCTCATGAATTTATAAAGATAGAGAGAGTGCAGTAATAACTATGTGTAATGGTAAAATCGCGTAGAATTTTTGCAATCAGCGCCATCTAGACGTGCTTCTATGGTATCTCGTAGTCTGCGTTTGCGTAGAAGAATGCGTAGGTGCATGATTTATTTCGCTTCTCTATTTCGGCGCTAGTGTCTGCGCCGGCGACGACGCCGGTCAAGCGAAAGCGCGGCCGGCCAAGGGTCGACAAGACGAGCCCCGAGTACTTGGCCAACTTGGCCGCGAGGAGGCAGGCTAAGGAAATGGGTGAGTTGTTGCGTGGCTTGGCTTGGCGTGTGTTTTATGACTTTGTGTGTGTGGTAGTTAGGGAACAGTGATTATATAGTTTTTATTCCATAGAACTTGAAATCGATACATTGTATGAAGAATTCATATATTAAAAATTTTCAACTTACTTTTCACTGAAGCATTAGGATCAGACTCTCTATAGCCCAATAATACTCATTATAACTTATATATATCCTGTATAAAGGAGGTCTTTCCGAGGTGGATCAATGGACCATTGTGTTTAAGTATTAACTTCCAATAAATAGCTCTAAGCTCAGTGATAAAAGCCAAGAATACTAAATATATTAGAAAACACATTCAACTTCTTTATCCCTTCGTGACCTGACAAGCTTTCCTGTGGCATTAACTATATCCACCCTGTAAAAACCAACACATTGGCAATGTATAAATTAATTATCATACAATAAGGACTTTAACTAAAATTTGATTAATTTACAAAGGCATGGTTTTTACTAGTAATAGCATTTTTGACTCATTTTGTGTATTTGTGTTGCACTGTGTTTTGTAGCTTAGAATAAAATGTGGTATAACTGTTATTCAGTGTAGTATTTGGTCGTCTTGAACCTGCAATATTAATGTATGTCTGTCCCTTCCCCATAGGGGATATTGGACACAAATGCCAATGACGACTGTCGTGGTTCCGCTTGTGTCCATGGATTTTTTCAAATCAGTATGTTGTTGCAGCCGCTGTACTGTCGGTGAACAGCCACAGCAGTAGCCAGCAGGATTCGGGCGAGAAACGCAAGCGAGGTAGACCGAGGGTGGACAAGACCAGCCCTGAGTATCTTGCGAGGAAGAGGGCTAGAGAATTGGGTTAGTTTAAAGTCTCCCTTTTTTATGACAGAGAAAGACAATCAAGGCATGGGGTCCACTATTTAATGGAAGGTAAAAGACACCGACCATGTAATATGTCAATAAGATGCACCGTCGGCCTATTTTGGCTGCAGTTATTCGGAAATCATCAGACTGTAACCTTACGTGTATATTTTTTTTCTTTGGCAAACTGCTACCATTATTAATTTTGGGAAGCGCCCCTACACCGTTAATCGTGGTTTACAAGATACCTTGCCTTGAAGTACAGTGCAGTAATGGTGTGACTATTAGATATGTCAACAAGCCCATTTTAGCTTATAATTTTTGTCTACTTCTTCCGGTGCTTCACCATCCCTAGAGATTCACCTGGTTACCTGTATGTTACCAATTTATGTATAATGAACTTTAGCTTCAGCCCTGCTTATGGAATAACACTGACACTATGTAGACATATTAAGGGAGTGCAGGTACTACACTGTTCTCTCTTTCAGAAGCGCTGGAGAGAAAAGCGAAACGCGAGTACAGAAGGCGAACAACGGCAGGTATGAATGATTTTTATAATTTATATAGATAATAAAAACTTCAGCCCAGTTCTAATATGGCATCAAAAGTGCAATAAATATAAATAATAAGTACATAGGTACACTGTTTAACAAATACTGTCACAAAATTTTTCCAATGTAAAAGAATCGCAGATTATCGTTGTGACCTAATATAGGCTTTATTAATTTACATTCTTCTAATATATACTGCGAGCGACATACACTACTTTCTTGATAGCTAGTCTTTTCTCTGTCACCAAAAAGACTATTTTTTTCAATACACTTTAACGGTTAAAAATATATTGGTTAAATTTAGATGAAAATCATATTAACTACTGTCCGACGTTTCTATGCAATAACATGCTGAAAATACCTAGGTATTTTGAGCTGCAAGACTGCTGCAAAGCATCCGAAACGTCGGGACGTAGTTACAATTATTTTCAAATATGTACGTTAAACTGATATATTTCTATCTTATTTCTATTGATTAGACTACTTACCTTTTATTATGTTCGGTGGCAATTAAAATTATCCTCCTAAAGGTATTTGTGTGCACACCGTTATAATACATAGTTTTTCCAATTTCTCCCTAAATTAGCAAAAGCGACCAAAACAACGAACAGTTTGGCGTCGCGAGCCGCCAAAAAAATCGTCCAATAGTAAAATTGCGGGTAGTCTGCGAAAAGTTAGCTCAAAGATACCGTCGAAAGTGGCCGTGCGAAAGGCCGGAGAAAAAAATATGGTTATACGAAGGAATGTGAAATTTCTAAAGAGGAAAGGTAAACGTAGACAGAGCATGGAGACGCGCTATGTGAGGTGATGGTTTATTTGCCGTTGACGCTTCGAATGGAACGGAGGTAGACTTTTTTGGGCCTAACGTGGATGGACTTGCATAGTGAAAAACACATGCAAAAGCCTACTTCGACGCCTGCGGTGCTTTCGTACATACGGGGGTGACTGAAAATATCTCACGAGAATTGCTGCTAATTAAACCAAAAACAAACATATTAGTTTCGGGTTATCGACGTTTTTATCGTCACAAGTGAAATCGCACGATCTGAAGATGTCACCGGAATGACCCGCTCGTAATGGCGAAACGCCCGAAGCGCTCTAAAACCCCTATCGTAGAAAGCCTACAATTGCTCGTGTTTTTAAGAGTTCTCTTAAAGATATTCACTTTCTGTGTCTATTAATGTGCGAAAGACTAATATACCGTACTGGTTTATTAAATATATATAATTTAGGAGATAATGAAGAAACGAGACACAGTATACAACGAATCGACATCACGAGTATACATCGATAATGCAAACGCTAGGCCCAAAAGCATGTCCTAGTTACATAAAGAGTTCGGAATCTTACGTTCTTGTAGGTTGGCAGTATCTTTGACTTTGCATGCTTAGTGCATTTTACTATTCGACAGTTTATTTTACTTTACAAAATGCTTATCGAGTTATTTTGCATTTTTATTAATTATGGTAATTCATATATGATTGTTATATGTATTGTAGAGTAGTGGTCCAGAAGAGCACCCCTGTGGGGTGGCTGCGCAAATAATGTACAACTTATATTTAAAAAATGATGAGTACTGAGGCGAGATGATATACCGTCTCATATTCACTTAATTATTTAAAATGTGTTTAAAAACAACCCAAAATACATTTTCTTTAGAAGTGCTATAAAATCGTTGACGCAAAAATCAAAGACATTACTTATTGTACGGCGTAGATGAGATTTGATTGTAAATAGCTGTATAATATAAAAACCATCCTAATTTGTCAATTAGGTTTTGATGTTGTACGAAAAGGTACTTTTAACGTAAATTTCTATCGAATATAAAGACCTATAAGTATTTCGAACTTGCTATAGATTCAGCCGCTTCGTCGTCGGCCGGCGAGTCGACACCTCGTGTTAAGCGAAAATATACAAAGAGAGCGCCCAGCAACAAGAAAGATGGGGTGAGTGTGTATCATGTGTATTAAACAAGGAATAGTATCATCGAAAATATTTATTGTCTAATATTGAGTTTAGCGCCATCTTGTGATAAGAGGAGGCGCCGATGCACGTTTATAGTTGTTTTGATTGTTAATTCAGAATTCGTCGACGGAGCGGGTCAAGGGGAAGCGTGGAAGACCTCGAAAGATAGACCAGATGAACAGAAATCCGCAGGAGGGAAGTAAGTAATATATCATTATAATATATCAATACTATTTTTTAAATAATATTTAAAAAAATTATTAAAAATCTACTACTAACATCTTAACTTTTCAGAGATCCGCGTACGCAGTAATCTGATGCCGCTTAACACAGAACCCATACCTGTGGACAGCGACGACGAACCCGACTTGGGTATGTACTTGTCTCTAATTAAACAATAGTGGTTTGTTGATAACGCTAGTGTGGGTATTGATACAAATGGAATGATCCATTTCGACCCAGGTCAATATTGGACTTATTTGAATTATTATCAATTTGTGGTTTTATCCCCTTTAAGCACGCGTCATCTGCCACGAATAAAGAAGTCAAAATCCACCTTTTTCCAATCAATGCTTTTGCCTTTTTTTAATCTTTATCCAATTCCCTTTCCAGGTTCGCCAAGTCAAGCTTCAGATTCGTTGAGTCTGGACGAGAATCTTCGCGCGCTGAGGCACATCCACGAAAAGTACGCCAATATTGATAAGGTGAGATATTTGGATTTACAAAGTGGTTTTCACTCTCACTAAAAGTACTTATTACACAATATTTACTAAAATTTTTTTGATATTGTTTAATTTTGATTGACATTATCTTAGAGAATACGTTAAATCGTGATCAGTGATTGTTAACACTCCATGCATCGTTTATTGTATGGAAGCATTTGGATTGGATGGATTCCTTATTTTAGTTTATTTGAATTCTGTCTAAGGCGAGGTCGATGCTGTCTTCGGGGCACTCTCGGTCTAGCAGCAAACACGGCAAGCTGTGGCGCTGTGGCGTCCGGCTCGAAAAAACACCATTAAAGTTTTGATATTTTCTTAAGTTTAACTGTCTCACATTGCAGGACGACATGTACGAGGCCCACTTGCTGGCGGCGAACTTTAAGAAACCGCCCATGGACCAGGTGCAGAGGCTGGCCAGGGACGACGATGACGTGCTGTCGGTCAGGAGTTCGGAGGGTGAGTGTTATACAAGGGATTTAAGAAACCTTCCAAGGTTTAGCATTTTGTTCATGGTAATTAATTGAAAACCGTTTCTTCGCAGGTAGTGCATCAGTCAAAGAGGTGGACACGCGTATCGAGAAATTGGAGGACAGTTCGAACTCCGGATCCGGCAGTAGCAGTTCCGGTTCCGGTGAGTTTCCGAAGCCGAAACAATACACTGGTGGGATAAAAATTGTACTTATACTGTTGCGTCTGCGCCCGGGTGAAATAGTTATTTTGGACATCATATAATTTATTTTTGCAAACAATCTTCTTATATGCCCACGACGGCGTTCTTGTGACTTAATCTTAAAAGAATCAACCACTGTCACGGACACATTACACGGACATTTTTTTAGATCATTTAAAGAAGAATTCTCTCAAACGCGGTTTTTTTTCTTCAATCGTTTACGTAGCGCAGGCAACGGAACCTCTCTAAGATAAATATTTCGTGCTTTACTAGCATGAGTGTAGACTGGTAACACAAAATAGTTTTTCATACATTAGACATCTGAGTAAGTTTACAAAAGAAGAAAGTTTTATAAAACATTTGGGTGAAACTGCCTTGTACAAAATACATCGTATGACGTCATACCCGCGGAATGTCATTTTAAACACAATTTCGCCGTACTGTTGCAGGCAGTTCCAGTTCAGGGTCGAGTTCGTCTTCCAGTTCGGACAGCTCCAGTTCCAGTAGTTCGGAAAGCGAGGGGGAGGGTGAGGGCGACGGTCAGGTGGAGAGAAAGACAAAGGTCGACCAGAATACTGTGATGAACACAAACGACGACAGGTGAGTGAGACAATTAAATGTTTTTCTACACAACCACTAAACACCAAACAAAAGGGCAATAGGGCATCGACTTTCGTTTTGTTTTTTTTTTTTGCAATTTAAAATCACCAAATTCTTCCCTTCTTTTCTCTATTTTCCTTAATTTTTATCATTAAAATATTTTATCATATTTAGCAAATATTCTGGTTGCCATCTGTCAACTTCAAAACTTAACTAACAAACATGCTTAGACTACAGAAGTACGATGTTTCTTTACATATATGTATAGTCTTTGATGTACTTAAAACTAGTGATGCAACGGATAGTTGTTTGGCCGGATACCGAATATTCGGCCTCCTCACCAGCCGAATATCCGGTCCACCAAAGAACTAAACAAAAGCTGCTTCTGGAGGGCCTAAAAATGAGTTGTAACGAAGGGGATTCAAATACATAGTAGTGAAGGTGATTCGCCTCCAATGTAAAGAAGGGCAGATAATGGCGCAATCGCTGTTCATAAACTATAAATAAAAAATATACCGTGTAGCAGTGTTTATAGCGAAATACTTTTTTGAGGGGCAGGCAGGGCTTGTTCATAAAAATTGGAGGAATCGATTGTTGCTTTTTTGGGTAACAATCGTTTTTATTCAACACAAGTTGCCCTTAGTTAATTATAAATACTAAACTCTCTTTTTGTTTATTTCTTAACAATTATTTTATTTGTTTAAAAATTAACAACAACAATATTTGCTACGATTAGTTGATCCATTCAACCACTGCTGATCATAGGCTTTTCTTAAGGACTAAATTAAGCTTTTTGATAAGTTTAAGCTGTATGTTAAAGGTGATACTGGTAAACGAATATTGATAATTTGTTGTTGTTTTCTTGTATACTAACTAACAAATTTTCAAAGTTAATATATTAATACTAAACAAAATCACTCCGGCCGGATACCGGATAGCAACCGGATATTCGTTGCATCTCTACTTAAAACTGTGTTCCACATTGTTTAAACATTTCGTGGATTGTGACTGCATAAAACATACGAAACCTATTTAAAATGTATTTTTGTTGTCTTTCATGTTGTTTTTAATTGTTTAAATGTAAAAAAAATCTGCTAGTGCTACTTCAAATGTCAAACGTGGGAAAAACACCACTGATGCGGCGTTGTGCCTACTTCCAGGTACCACATAAGCTGAGAGGGTGTCCCTCCACATACATCTATTACTATTTATGGTATTTTTTTGATTTGATTCGATGCAGTAGGTCCTTCGGCGCCTGGTCGTACGGCCAGTCGGCGCAGTCGGGCACCAACTCGGACTCAGGGTCTGACTCGGACCCGGAGCGCGGAGGCGTCCCCGGGCCCATCCCCGCCCAGGACGAGATCAGCGAGAGCGACAACGAGTCCGCGGACAAGAGCTTCCAGTGCCACATTTGCAAGAAGTGGTACTCGACGCGGGTCACGCTCAAGTTAGTACTCCTAGACTAAAGTGCATAATATTGTGTGTGTATGTTATTTAAACACCTATAAATACTTACCGGTTTTAAATGCGAATTAAATTAGTCAAGTAATCTTTAGCTACGGCCCGATGTACGTCACTTCCCAAAAATTGATCCATTAATATAAGTCGCGTTTTAAACCGTTATTAAACGTGTTTTCGCGTATAATGAGTCAACTAAATAAATTTATAAATCATATTACAAATTAAAAAAAAATGACGACAATGGCTGGATTTGAACATATTTTTTTTTCAATTTCTATTTGAATTTTTATTATTAATTACATGGTGTCAAATAAGTTAGTCTAATCAGTTCAGTAGTTGCCATCATTGCAAGTGGATTATAGTATATAGATTTGGCTACAATAATAATACACGGTAACGCATCCGTTCCAGGATCCACAGACGAAGCCACCAGAACCGTGGTGGTGGTGGCTCGCGGTCCCGCGCCCGCTCCTCGGACCGCTACGAGTGCGACTGCTGTAACGAGACCTTCACGCGGCGAGAGAAGCTCTGGGAGCACAAGTTAGTATCTGTTATATTTTAATACACAGACACGGGAGGCCAGATAATCATGATGGGAGTTCAAACACCCCAGCCATATAACATCTCACTACGATGCTCTGTCGATTTATCAGCGCAAAAATATTTATATTAAAAATATTCGGCCACACGGTCGGGACTTACAGTCATCAGATCGTAACGTATAGATATTTTCTGATTGTTTTAAATTACTCTAGTTTATAAACTATTGGACAGTTGGTTTAACAATATTTAGTTATTTTATGTCTTGAAATATATTTAATGATTCGCTTACTTTGAACGACTTTATAGCTATCGTGTCATCAAATTAAAGGCAGTGGTACAGTTTCTAGTATTAACAAAATGATGCTTATTCATAGGGCGGAAGCACACCGGGGCTCTATGACGGTCCGATGTGAAGTCTGCCGCAAGTGTTTTGAAGACGACACGGAGTTGGCGCAACACGACGCGACGCATACGCCGGACGAAAGAGCCGGTGTGTATAAAGGATGAAAGGAAATTAATTAATACTCATAATTCATTACTTTACTCATTACTTGAAAGGATTTTCGATATGTTCACGCTTTTTTTTTATAACAAAGGAAAGCAGAATTTTATATACTCTAGTCATATAAGATCTGAACAAGACGCACTATCGATCTATTTTAAATATTTCTTACAATTCAACCCCGTGGATGGTTCGAGACCCATAAGGAATTTTAATATTTCTATCACCCATTTTATGTTCAGATTATTAATAAAATATAAATTCGGTGGCTCGAAGGACCAAATGTGGGGCGACTCACTAGTAAATGTTCGCATTAAAGCGTCGTGTTGTATTTGACGGCGCGACACATGAAATTTGACATTTTCTGTCGACGACGTCGGAACAGAATGGCAGCATGACATATGTCAGCCGTCTGTCAGCCGCCATTCTTGCACAGCGTCACACCGGTGGAAGCGGGGCGGCCATCTTGTTCACTTCGGAATCAATAACCGCCAACGCACCACGCACTCGACGAATCGCTTACTTCCGACGCCATCTTTAACAGTTTCTAAGTTGATTTAATTTTAGTATCGTTATCAATGCCTAATTAAAGAGTGTTAGCGTTATATTTTGTTAATCTGTGAAGTTAAGGAGATATAAATCATTGGAGAACCAATTTGTGACTTTGTTCGAGTTTCTGACCCACGTGAAACATGGAAGATTCTGATATAGGCCATCCTGATTCTATATATTTAATAATTGTTTACAAAGCAGGTTGCTTGGAAAGTAGTGATGAAGCTTCGGCGTTCGATCCCCGTCGGGGGGTAAGAAGTGACTATGTAGGGCGGATCTACAAACTATAAACAACCCGAATTACTTCCAGAGTACTGGAATTTTTGCTACAACTCTAAACATAGTTTAAGTTTAGGAATGTGAAAAATATAAAACTATGTAGGATATATCTCACTGCCATCTATTCTTTCAGGGCGCTGCGCCACCTGCGGGGCGACCTTCCCCCGCTACGAGCTGCTCCGGCGCCACACGAACACGGCGCACCCTCTCCCCGCGCGCATGCCCCACGCGTGCCCGCAGTGCGGCAAGCGCTTCTCGCACGCACACTCGCTCACGCGCCACACACACAACCACTCGAAGCAGCTGTTTCGCTGCGTCGTTTGCAAGGTAACTGACATTCTAATGGGTACCAAACCATTCGATGCTCCGCGTTGAGGTGATCGCAGATCTCTTAGCCACATTCACTTCACGCCTAACACGCCGTTATTCTAAAATACATTTGCATAATAAATGCGTTGCGTAACATCTAAACAAGAAGTGCTGTCGACCTACTTTTGGCTTTGGATACTTGGAACTCTAAAACCGAAACGCGATTAAAACGCCTGCATCTGTAGACGATGATTCGTGGCCCGGATGGAATTTAGATATTTCTACCACCACAAAAAATATAAATGAATTAAAAAATGTTGGACCAGTTGGAGATTCAACCCATGACCTGTTGATTTTAAGCCATATACAGCTGACGCTACATCGACGAAGCCCGTCAGAAGTGTTTTGTTTAAATAGATCTAGATTTATGTGCACATAACACTTCATCATAATAAGCTTTATTTTTAACATGATGGCATTATAAATTAAATTTCAAAATACAGTGTAAACTTTATATAGCGACACTGAAGGGACTGTGCATTTTATGGCGTTATAGAGAGTTGTCGTTAAATGGAGAGAAGAAACATTGTATGAAAAACAAGCTAAACCAACCAAAGCCAATTAATTTCGACGCTTAAGAGAGTTTGTCGTTAAATAGAGTGACGTTACATGGAGTTTACACTGTATATTTTTTTCTATTTCATTACATTTTTAAATTTGCTCCTCATCATTTCAGGCTTCGTTCGCCCGCGCCGACCAACTCGCGCAGCATTTGAACAGTCACCTCGCGAATTACAAGCGCCTCAAGCGATAGGCCCCGTTCGCCGGGAATGCGCCCGCGCACCAAAGTGCTCGATGCGATTTGCCATTGGGATGTCACTTTTCGACTCTCGTTGTACATGTTTTAGATCAAATTTAACAAATCTTGTAGCAAACAAGCAAATAAACGACCTTTATTGTCGAACAATTAAGGATTTTAGGTGCCAAGTTTTCTTTCCAAACAGATTTTTTTTTACAACGTCGATAACTTGAAGGTCTGAAACGTTTATCTTTCATTCATAAATTTTTGCGGGTAGTTCGAAAAGTGCTATCTTGTGGCGTGTGGCTAAGTCGGGACGTTGTGTATAATTGGTGTAAGCGTGTGTCTCTCGAGATGTTTTCGTTTTATATAGAAAAACAATGTTTTTTCAGTAGTATATGAATCTACCTTATCTATGAAGTATAACAATAAAGGCATTTTCAAACTGACTGTAAATATACAGGGTGTGTTTAAGCGTGGGCTAATATTTTTATTTAACCAAATTGCTGAGTAGAAAAGGATGCGATCTCGAGAGACGCACGCCGCGTGTATAGAGTCGATGTTTAAAGTTTTAGTGCGTAAGATTTAAGTGTTACTAAGCTGTTTATAGGCCGTTTATAAATGGGCGCATGTGCCTCCGGACATACAAATATGTCTGTATCGTGTTTGTTGTCTACGAAAATTAAAACTTATTTATTATGTCCACAGTACATTGATTAAACCAGTAGCGTTTCTTTTAAAGTTGTCTGCAGTTCTATTTTAACGAGCGTTTAGTTTCTTTTATTTCAACATCGTGTAGTTCTGGTTTATCCAGTATTCTGTGATAGTCTTATTTTGTATATTTTGGGGCTATAAAATCCAAGAATATCGTTTTTACCCACAGGGCATAGGGCATAATAATTGTAATTGGGTACAAAGCTTACACATCATTATATTGGTGTCTGATAACTTTGACTTGTTTTGGAAACTTTTAAAATTACCATCCTGTTGTAGGCAAAGTATATGTAAGGTGTAATTGAGATACACTTTCCGACTGTACTGAAAAGTTAATATTATACAGTAAATAAAATCAATATTGTATATATATAACAAAAATTATGGAATTTCACGCGTTTTTTAAAGAGCATTGTACAGATATATTCGTGTGTCGCAGCGAGATGGTGAAATCGGGCGCATTTCAAATGTTCCTAGAGTTGATAGTAACAATGACTGATGTTTCGCAATAGTTCGTGACTTCTTATATATATATATTTACAGTTTATGTTATAACCCCTATTATAAGTTGAACTCGATCGAACGTCGAATTATTAATCCGAGTCGAGTTTGTGTTGCACATTGCATAATATATAAGAAATTAACGAGTTATAGTACTTTTGAACAAGGAATAGATAACACGCTTTCTTATACAGCGTGATTTTTCACTTGTTGTATTGTATCTTAATGTGTGAGTAAAAATAGTTTTTTTTTTTACAACGGATTCGAATATTGAACGGATGCTCCCAAATCAAAATGAATTTTTCACTTCTATATAATTATAGTATTTAGATGTTAAGTTACTTTTTCATAAATTAATGTCATGCTTTATATTTTTAGTTTCGGGTTCCGAAACTAAAAATATAAAGAAAACTCGACTCGAACTATCGGGGTAAAAATATCGCAATAAAATGTATAGTGTCTCGACAAGTTTCCGATTTCACTGTCACGCTTTTTAGGAGTATAAGAGAAGCGGTTAAACGCCGTTTAGCGTATCGCCGGGTACACACCTATATGAGAACGTGTAATAAAGCCTCTAGTACGAGGAAGGATATTTGAGATATTGATACTATAGCTAGGCGACAGATTCTTGAGTTCGATATTTTATTGCTTTTAATTGGACTTATTATATAAAAAATAACATTCGTATATGTTCAAACAAAAGAGATATTATTATTACTATATAATTATATCATTGAAATTTCACGCTTACTTAGTATGGCAAACACATTTTTTTTGTCATACAAGTTATTTATTATAAAACGTATAGATGCTGAAATCTTGTTGAAATGGTATCTAACATTGAATTTTTAAACTTTTATTTCGTTCGCGTTCATTGTCCAGGTGTGTACCCGGCAAAAATAATTTACTAGTCCCATAGAAGAATGTTCTAGGCGATTTTGTATGGGATATTTTATTATTTGCAACTAGGTAAGACGAAGTGCGGTTATGAAATTTGGAGCGTATTTAGATTTTGCTAATCGTTTGTGCGTGTTAGTCGAATGAGCTGGGAAATTTTGCGTTCGTAGCAGTGCAGGGGTGGCAAACGTCTCTAAGTGTTTATTAGAATTAACTTACGAATGCTAAATGGTTGAATTTAGCACCTTTTTGTCATTTTGTCGGTTTCAATCTACACATTGCACTATTATAAACGCAGAATCTTTCATTTATCGCGAAGTGCCTGAAAAAATCAAATAAGGACACACTCGGAAGGAGTTTTTAATACATTTAGCGAATTAACTGTATAATTGTGTGACGTCATCGTTTATTTTATGGTCTCGTTAATGGTGCAGAGTTCGTGTGACGTTTTTATCGTACCTTCCACTCTCCTGTCAAATATTGTCAACCCCCTTAACTCCTTCGCCGGCGAAGGCCTCTTGGACCGCGTCAATCCCCTGGGTGAGCATCCGTGTAAGCTCCCACCTGCACTGCTGGCCCAGGCTAACCTGGCGCCTTCAGTGTCGTACACCTGTTCCAGCTACGTCTCAAAATGTTTATGTCAAACGGTTGCTCCGTTGTACTGCGATGGATGGGCAAACTATTTATCTATTTATTTTATTTATTGTGTTCAAACGATATTTTATTTTAATACTAAGACTTGTTATTTCTTATTGATTTCATTGAACAAAAGCTAAGATTCAAAAGACCTTTACTTCTTCTGAAGTTACATGTCCGTTTCGTCCTTTTCTATCTTGTAAGGAAATGTATGCGAGAGAGAGAGAAGGCGCAAACATTTAATATTAAACTCGGCAAACTCCTTTCAATCTACAATGACGTCAAGATACCACTAAGTTTTAAATGATGATTCTTTCGTGTTACTGGCAATGCGTGTAGTATGGATTTGGGACTCGCAGAAATTAAGTAAAAAGTCCGAAAGTGGACGTTTTTAAAATCTTCCAGCAATAAAGTGGCTGGCGTGACGCTGATTTCTATTAGGAAATTGGCTTTGTGTATAATACTGTCTGCAATGTCGTCTTCATAACCTTTTACTCACGTCAGAATTCGTAGATTAACATACTTAAAACATGTAATCATATATTTTGCAAGTACTAATATACCTACATATTAGTGTGCGAAAGAGATAGACACCGACACTAGCTATCGTTCTCTTTCTAAAGCTACCATACTTATTGCCGTTTGCCTTAAGATTATGAGACTCAGATAAATGGGCCAATTGTATATATTAATTAGTGTAGTTTAATAAAGGCCGGTTTCCGATCAGAAACCGGCCCTATGTTATGTATATGTAATTATTGAAATGTTATGTGTTTTTTTTGTAGCGTAAGTATATTACGAATATGGGAGCGCGCTCAAATCTTGTCTACGTTCTTGAGTAATCAAATATAGGGTGGATTTCCATACAGGAGATTCTATATAATCAAATATAGACTATTTGAGTGGGTCCTCATATTCAACTATTAGTTGTAGGTTTACGTAATCGCGTTATACGTGGGTGCACCGCGTGGAAAATTACGTGCTAACTGTTCAACTTTTATTTGCAAATGTAAAGAAATAAAGTAAAGAAGTTTTGTCCCTTGAGTTGTAAGAGTTGGGGCGAATTGGGTTCCCATAGGATGAAGTTCAGAATCAGTTCTAGATGTACTTGACTAGTTAATGGCCTAAATTTATAAATAAAAGAAATGTTTTTTGGTACAATGTCAACCCGAGTGTCATTTGGTTGTGTTGGTATTAAACTGCGACTTATCTTGTATTACATTTTTAACACGAACGTTCACGCAGTGCACGCATACATTTTAACTTTGTTATAACTTTATGTCGATTAAGAATTGTTTTGGAGTAATGAATTTTTCTGACGGGTCTGATATATTCTGGTTTTTCTAGTTGTTTTGTACTAGTTTGGTATTTATGCGCTTTAATATTTCGCTTGTACTTTGGATAGAGATAGCATTCATCATTATCATTAGAAAAAGGACCTTAGTGGAGTGAAATAAGGTTAATTTTATATAATTATTGTTCAGTCACACCTACTGCACTGTATTATTTCTCTCTCTTTTTGTTGTGTTCTGTTTTCTTCCAATCACGTAAACAAATCAAACAAGCTGTGTTAGAACCTTTTTTTGTCAACTACCCTCCGATCAGGTTTTTGTTAGATGCTATCTCTATTAGCACGTAGTGAATGTCCTTATTGATGTATGGATCGTAAAAATCTAAATACGCTCGCGGGGCGTTTCAAACGCGCGTGTCCAGTTTACAACGGGTGGAGTGCAAGAGTTCACAGACACAATATTATTAATATTATATTATATTAAATATAGAGTTTTATTTAAATCGTGTTTTAATTTAGTACGAAGTTGGAATTTGAAAGGAATCGTGGACGAGGTAAATAAAACAACGCTGACTTTAATAAAGTCCTTTATATCTTATTTATTCTAGATATTATCTATGTTATGCTAAGTAGGTACGGTGTACTAGACTAGAACTGTGCCGGCGCAGTTAACGCCGCCATCGCTAATGTCACTTTGGCATTTGACAGTGACATTTGTAGCGATGGTGTTAACTTGTGCCAAGGCATTGCCTTGTAACGGGTTTACAATTTCACGGTTTGCACAAAAATTTCATTTTCATTTTAGGTGTTTCCAAGAAATTGTTTTTATTCACACACAAATATATATATTGAGAAAAAAGTGCTTGAACTTGCCACCTTACATTGTTATATTACTTTGCCATATTACATTGTTATATTGGAGGCGTTAGTACTATTACATTTGGGATGTGTTACAAGAAACATCCGTCACCAGAAT